AGATGTGGGTCAATTCTCGTACCAGTAGAGTGCTCGAATAATAGGTTAACCAGTGTTTATACGTACCCATAGTTCAGATATTCCGCCTGCATCTAGAATGAGAGCATGCAAGCATTACCATGTTATGCAGGTAGCCTTCCTTCTACACTCTAAAGATCGTTTGCTGAATACTGAAGGAATACAAAGTGGAATCCTTGACAGCGATACCGTAACACCAGGAACAACCTACGTTGCATAAGGCATCCATCCGTGCGAGTAGGAGGAAAATGGACGCCGACGCTGGGCATCCAAGCAACTACAAAAGACCTGTCTACCACATCTGACCGCTGATCCCATCAAACAATGTTGTACACCCTCTTGGCAGTCCAATAGCACGCCAGCCCAAAGAGCAATAGGGACCCGGTGATCCCCATGAACCACGTTAGGTCCCCTTCATATTTCTGTCCCGGAACCCACACGTTCATCCCCCACAAGCCGGTAATGATATTCATCGGCAGGACGATGGTACCCAGCACCGTGAGCTTTCCTAGCACATCAGCCGTCTGCTCCTGGCGCTCGTTCATCCTTATGTTAATCTGGGCGAGGTAGTTCCCATGAGATCGGGCCAGAATTCTTGTTTGTCTCCGGTTAGTATCCTATCCTATGCTGGAGGATCAAGTTATGAATACGCAATGGCAGGGAAATGAAAATGGCAACTCACTTCTCGTAGTGACTCAGATTCGACGTCATGGTCACAATATGATCCTGAATGTCGCCCAAGTACAGCCCAATCTCGGTCCTTGGGGCCACCTCCCACCGCTCGTTACATCTCTTTGCGAACCCCTTGATCACGTCCGCTTTGTTGCCTAATAACCGGTAGAGCGACATGACCTTCTTTCGGCAGTCCCCGACCCGGCGCAGCATATCGCGGCCCGATGACATATCGCCCGGGTCAAGCTTCTCGGAGTACTCCTTTTGCTTGTCCTTTGCCGCCTGGTCATCTAACGAGTGCATCATCAGGATCGACTCGTCTATCTCGTCAACCTCGTCCTCGATGGCTTGGATGAGCGGGCCGAAGGCGTCCGTGATGTCGTCGATAATCGCATACGAGATCCAGTCGGATGTGAGGATAAGGTAGTCCCGAAGTTGGCGGATCCGCCTCCGCACGTTGGCCGGGTGTGGGGTCGCTGAGAAGTGGAAGCTCAGGACGCCCTCGCGAAACACGACGACGTACATGTTGACTGGCTCGAGAAAATCCTCGCTGTTCTGGTCCTGGTCAAAGGTGCGGTAGTTGACAAAATAGTAGTTTCGGAAGAGTTCCACCTTCTCTCGCTGCTCTTGCATCATGATGTCTTCGGAGGTAAGGGGGTGGATGCCGAAGGCCTTTGAGATCACTTTCATCTCCTGCTCGGTCGGACTGAGAATATCCAGCCACCATACTGGTCGATCCCCATACTTTGGAGGCTTTGCGTTCTTTTCCGGTTCAGGTGACTTCAGGTCGGGAGACTTGAATCGCGAGGGTACTTGGGCGCCCCCGTCCTGTCTGGGCTCGGCCGGTGCGGGACCGTCCCCAGTGGTATACTGCTTCCTCGGTTCGGAACCCAGAGTGGTTGCGGCAGACGGTTGACGCGACGGTGCTTTGAGGTCTCCGTTGTGGCCTCCCAGCAGTTGATTTAAGCCAGAACTTTGCTCCTCGTCTGCCTCCTCCTCATCATCCGAGTCCGAGAGAAGCGGAGGATCAGGAATGAAGAGCTCCTTAAAGGTGCCTCCGGGTTGAACTAGCTCCGAGATAGTTTGGCTGTGGATGGTGCTCTGGAACTCTTCGTTAAAGTACGTAAAACGGTAGGGCGCTACCTCCTCTGCCTGGAACCAGCCGCGGTGTACAGGCCTCAGCCTTCCATTGATTAACTGGGGTTCCGTGATTCTCTTAGCCCGGCGCTCCTCGCTTCGCCCTTCCTTTTCGAGTCGGCTCCATTCGTCCAGGATCGATAAATCTGGCCATTGTCCGCGCCTCCTCCGTGACCTCATGCGGTATGCGGCGAGGTCACGTGCAGCTAGCTCATCATCTCCGATATCTGAGAGGCCCTCTTGGGGAAAGCAAACGTCTTCTTGGGCCTGTAGGGCGATTGTCTTTCTCCTTTCTAATGGTGATGCAGGAAAGCCGCGGCTGTCGCCCTGGTCTGGCTTAGCCCTCGGTGACCGCTGACCGCTTTCAAGATCGTCTCTCATCATCACATCGCCAAAACTCAAGTTACGGTCGGATGGCCGTAGTGTAGGTGTCCCCGGGACCGATGGAGGGTAATTGACATTGTACTTCTTGCTGCTTCCCTGGCTTGAGCCGCGCCGGGACCTTACCAGCCGGGGGCTCTCATTCGACCCATAGCCTCCGAATGTCTCGCTCCGTTGAAAGGGAGTGCTGGCTAGTAGCGGAGCCCCTTCATCGGCTTCTTCGTCACCGCCTTCCCCCCTGGTCATTGCCTCTAATCTGGTGTTGGGTGGTTGGGCCGGAAACGAGGCGCTTGCCGTCATCGTTGACGGGCGTCTCGTACGTAAGAAAGGCTTTTGATCTCTAATCCAGATGGTCAGCCCGTTGCAGGAACCGGTTTGGGAAAAAAGAAAAGCGTTGCCTCACCTATGGTCTAAAAGGGCCTCGCTTTCGAGGCTCGTCGCGCTGATGTTGTGACTCGGTCTAGAATAGAAAGCCCCTGAATCGACGCCGTCCGCGGCCATCTCATCGGGTGGGATGGAAAAGGACTTTCGCCTAGCCCTCTTCTTCTTCCCGCCCCTGTGGTTCTTCCGGCGCCGAGGGGGATGGCCGGAGGAGGATGGAGGGCCGGCCGGTGTCGTTGACCTCGAGCTTGGTGCGCCCGGTAGCGGCTGGTACTTTGGCGGGTCCATCTGAGGGTCGATGGCTGGGAGTCACAACAAATCGACGTCACGGGATGCGCAGGCCCCAGCAACCAAAGGCTGCCGGCCGAGCCCCTAACACGGGGGCGCACGTATAAAAATGCAGGGTGGCTGCGGTGCCTGAGTCCTCCGATACGATGATTCCCTGAGACACTAGGCAGCCCCAGGCTGCTGACGACGTGCGACGAGTATTGGATAAATGGTGTTGTGCGGGTAGCTCGACGTGGGGAGGTTCGAGCGAGAGTAGACGCTTGGTAGGTCGGATTGGCGCCACGTGGGTATGACTTTGGAAGAATTGGAGAAACGGAGGCTCAGTGTAGTCTCAACTTATATGCGGGTAGATTATATTTGATCCCAGGCTGCCATTCGGGAAATCGAGATAACCGAAATACAACTTGAACGGCCGTCGAAAATTCATCATCGAAAACCACGGACATATTGTCGAAAATGGGCCGTTGATAAAGACGCAAGGTCCGTGTGGCGCCGATTCATTGACATGACCGCGCCAAGGTCCGAGCTGGTGATGTCAGGCTGCTTCGAACGGCTAAGGGCAAACCTCAAATCATGATTGGCCAACTGGTGATTTCGGTGGGTCGAAGCACGGTTGGGGAAGAGCTTCCTCCCGTTGCTGTCCCCACTGGGGAAGACGGGATGTCCTGCGGAAATACGAAGGTACATGAGTATGTTTGTAATTGGTATCTCCAGTCCATCCCAATTCTCTACGATATTGGTAAATGAGTCTAGAGGGATCTCGATTGCGGCGTCAGTAATAATGAACGAGGGATATTTACATATATTGAGAGATTGTGGATATATAGAATCCGAGACGACCGAGACCGAAAGGCAAGCATTCCCGGCGGCTTTTGTTCTTCCATTCGAGCTGGCCACTTATTGATCCCCTGAATTCCGTCTATCTTCTCAGTTCCCAAGAGAATGGAAACCGATAAACCATTTATAGATATGCAAGATGCCGCGGCATGTAGCGCCGTCATTCAATGGCAGCTACTGGATTGTGCCTCCATCTACTCAATTACAGCGATGGACGATAGGGTATCTCTGTCTTCACGTGTATGCAGCTGAACAGAATCTGTGGAGCCGGCTCTTGAGCACCTTGAGCAGGACCTTTGGGTAGCGGCTCCAGGCCATGCATTCCAATAACATCCAGTATGGTGCCCTCACCGGCTCCGTGCATATCCAAGCACGCGTCGAGGACTATTGAGTCGGCGGTGGCCCTCCGGCTTTCTGAACAAGCAGCTGTCCAACCGCCAGGTTCGCAATCTCGAAAGCCTTGGATCCCTGCGGAAAGGTTCCAAGAGCTGCCCAGAGGTCTATCAGGGGCTGCATAGGCTCAAGGTCGGCCTTCTTGAGCAGATTGAGCGTGGTTGCAGTAAGGATGAAGTGGCTGAAGCAGCTGTTCATCGACTTCTCGAGATTCAGGCTGAACATGTCGTCGAAATGCGACCAGTAGAGGTGGGCATAGACGCGGAACATTTGTCGAAAAATCGTCTGGCACGTCTCCATAAAGTTCTGGGGGAACCCGCTCCTCTTACCCACCCAGTCCTGGCCCGAGTCAGGCAACGGGGCGCAGAAGGCGGGATTGTCTGCGTACGAAACGCCAGCGGGATCCGTAGGGAAAATGTTGGTGTCGTCAATTTTGCCTGTGATGTACCGTTGGACTAGGGTTAGGTACTCGTAGGCAGGGATCTCGACGGGCTGGAGCCGAGAGTTCAACCAAGTGAAAGAATGGTTACTGGGCCTCATCAGTCACAAGTGGCGGAGAAGAGTAATGGGCAGCAGCAGACTCACGCTCCAGCCGACATCTTGGGACATCTTCTAGAGTTGCAGATTGAAGAGCCATCTTCCTCCTTGTCGTGCACCAAGCGGATGAAAGTGATCAGCATTCTCCAGTGGTCAACAACTAGCAGCTCGTCAGTCTCATCGCCTTGGTTCCCAGCCAACAGACAACGTACCCTGATGTGCGATCCACTCCCCCATCTCCACAGTCTTGGGCTTTGCGCTCAGTGTGAGAAAATTGCCCTTGACAATGTGCTTTGCGTAGTTGGCGTTGAGCCACAGGGGTTTGACTGCGGGCAGATGGTATGAGGCGAGCATTTCCTCGGCAGAGGGCAACATGCCACTGGCCTGGTCCATGCCGATGGTTTCAGCAAGTGAGGGCGAACTGGGGAGTGGCGGGAGCTTCACTGCAAGGTTTGCGGAGGAAGGTTGGCTTCCTTCGGGAGCATTGACCGCAGCTTGAGCGGTTAGCTGCTGCTCGGCACTGGGTGAGCTTGTTCCTGGAGAGTTTGGGCTTCTCTGCCCACGGAAGCGGGCGTTGCTGTGCAGAAGCGTTAGCAGAAGGATGGGTATGACTAGCAGGTAGTTGAGTCTGCAAATAAGGTGGTGGTTGTGGCGGCCAGTAGAACCAGGCGCCCAATGGAGTTGGGAACCTAATGCTACCGCAAAACTTTGTCTCAACCAGCCACGAATAGTGTAGTTCACACCTCAAGCAGGCGCGCTTCAGCCTCTCACCGTCGCAGACAGGAGCAAGCTGGAGGGCTTTTGAGGGGAAGGAACACAGAACACACTGATGGGCCCTATGTCAGATCGTCTTTTCGACCGTTTCCAACCAGCCCAGATTTCCGACGTTGCTTTGCCCTACTGCAAATGGCTTGATAAAGTTGGCTGCTCTGCAGCTCGAAGCCCTCGATCGGGTAAAGTTCCACTTGTTCAGAGCACCCTGCAGCGGACTCCGTACAACAGCACTGAAAACGCACACCCTCGTTCTGGGTCAAAAAAGCCCACGTGCGGAAGGATAGACGACGAGCTGTCTTCAGTGGCCGACTGCTTGGGAGGCTGCTGCTCTTCTGCACCGTTTAAATCTGGACGGCGCCGATGGCTTGATCGACTTGGGCGGGCGTTGGGGATGTTGTGGGGGACAGAGCAGACCCAGGCAATGGCACTCACATTCCAGAAAATAGGTTGGACATGGTCGTGTGCGTCTGGTAGCAAACAGTGCGAAAACAGAGAGGGACGATGCCGCTCGTCGTTGAAAGACGCAAACAGATGGATTGGGAATAGCTCAAATGTATGCCGCTTCGTTCAGAGTTTTGCTGATTCCGCTGTTTACTGATGGATGGCTTCACATCAGTCTGGGACTTTGCATCTCCTGGCCAGGCATGTCCACGATGGATACAACCCCTATGTCCCCCGCGTTGGGACCGAACCCCAGTTACCCCACTGCCTCCTGAGCCAACATCCTTCCAGTAACGTTACGACTTCCATGCAACAATAAACACACCGCCCAATCAAGATCCACTCTCAAGTCTCAAATTACAAGGGGACCTCAGCTTACTCAGCAAAGATCTTTGTTCTTAACGTTATCTAATCTAATTAACGGGAACCAGCAACAGCATCGCCATTGTTTGCTTCTATTCCAACCTTCGTTACAACGGATTAGCTGCGCAGCTTCGCTACCCATACCATCCGAGTCGCTGATCATTCTCGAAGCCGATTCTTTTGCTCCTCCATCGAGATCGAAGCATCATGTCTGACTCCGAGGACCTAATCGATAACATTCCCGATGGGGAAGGCGACGACCTTTTCGGAGATGAGGGCGGCGAGGGTGACGACGCCATCTCAGAGGCCGAAAAAGCCCAGAGTGATCGGGACTTGGTGTCAGATAGGGAGGACAAAGATTCTGACGCGCATCATCGCGATGACGACGAGGAGCCCCGCGAATTTCGTGAGAAGCTTGTCGTGGAAGTTCCTCTTTACCGGCACCGCATTCCGCGATCAAGAGATGGCAGTGTAAGTCATGGTTTTGCTGCGATTCTGGACCCTAGTGATACTTACAGCCAAATAGCTGCACTCGCTTCGAGTCCCGGAATTCCTCAAGTTCAACCCAGTGGAATACAAGCCCGACGAATGGCAGCCAAGTAAATGGGAGCTCGACAACGCCAAATCCGACAATCCCATCCCGGCCATAATGTTCCGACGCGATCCAAAGACGGGACGCATGCAGAGTAATGCAAACATGTACCAATGGAGCGATGGCTCTGTGACACTCGCGATTGGGGATGAGCATTTCGAGATCCAGTCCAAACCTCTGGCGCCACCACGCAATAAGCCATACAAAGAAGTGCAGGACGCGCACTACTATGCCGCGGCCGCACACCTGACAACGAATTCTTTGCTTGTCGTGGGGCATTTCACGGAGCAATTCACTGTCAAGCCCAACAAAGAGCTCGAGGATCACGCGCTGGAGCGGTTGAAGGCACATCTCGCCGGCGCCAAGAAGGACCGCGGAGCCGACATGATCATCGTCACAACCGAGGATCCGGAGCTTCAGAAGAAACAGGCCGAGCTCGCAGAGAAGGAGCGCATGAAGCTCCAGCGTCGCCGCGAGACGGCAGCTGCTCGCGCGGACGGCCGGTACAAGGGCGGTGCACTCTCCATCGGCGACATTGAAGGCCGACGTGGTGGGGCCGCGGGGAGAAAGAGAGGAGCTACCGGGGCCGTCAAGAAGAAGCACCGTCGCGACGAATACGACTCGGATGATGATCTTCCCAGTGGGGCACGGCGTCCAGATGGTTACGACATGGACGATGGGTTCCTGGTCGATAGCGATGAAGAAAGCGAGGCGGTGGAAGACGACGAAGAGGAGGAAGAGATATTGGACGACGAAGATGACGAGGATGAAGCACCTCGGCCGAAGCGGCAGAGGACGGCCGAGCCAGATGAGGATGCCGAGGGCGAGGATGACGACGCCCCGGCTCCCACCGACACCTCAAACCGCCGGAGACGGCGTGTCATCCAGGACGAAGACGATGAGGAGTAGGTTTTCTCCGGATGCATTGGGGTTCATAAAACGATTCTACTGGGTTAGCGCATGGTCATATCGGCGCAATTTGGTCTCAGAATAGGGAAGGCATTTTATTGATGGAGCTTGATCTCCTTGATATACCATAATCAAAAATAGTTTGGTGTCCCTGTCCTATAATCCCCCGCCTTCCCTGGAAACGCCCCGATCGGCGAGGGTCCAACGGCCGTCTCTTCGTCCGAACTTGAATAGCCGCCGTAGTCATCCGCCCTCTCTGGCGGCGCGCGCATGGCTTCCAGGAGATCGGGGCTTAGAAGTGGCGGATGATAGGGTTTGATGCTGTGAATCTCCCGACCCGAGGGCATCTGGGCAAGTAGCGGTCCGGTCGGTGGTATCACTTGCGAGAGCAACTAAAGGCAAAGATGATCAGACACACCTCGGGCCATGCCATAATGAAAACCGTCTACTCACCGTATCATTCTGCTTGGTCCACTTTGCCTCGAGCATCTCAATCACCCTCGTCTCCTCCAGCTTTCCCGCATCCGTACCCCAATCCAAGCCTCGTTCCACCTTTTTATCCTCCCTCCTTTCGCTCCACTCCTTCCTCAACCCCCTGAATCCGCCTTTAGTCCCCTCCGCCTTCCGCTCAACCCCCAACTCCTGCAACCCAGCATGCAGCCAGGCGATGGCCGTGCCCGTCTGGCCGCCGAGGTTGGCATCGATGCCGAAAAAGCGGCATGCCCGGGCGCGACTTGTCCTGCGCAGATCCTCGAGGTACTTGACGAACGCCTCGCTGATCTTTCCGCCTCCACCTTCACCTCTCCCCGTCGACCCTTGCGCCTGCGCCTGCGCCTGCGCCTGCGCGGCGTGGTCCCCCGCGGCCAGACACAGCCTGGCAAACAGGTGCGCCCGCACCTTGGGGATGTCGGGCGCCTTGTACATCCACTCGGTGTCGTTCGGGTTGCGGGCCTGGGCCACGACGGCCGGGTAGGGGTCGTCCTTGAGCACGGCCAGCAGGGTCGCCTCGGCGAGGGCGAGGGAGCGGAGCGCGCGGATCGTCGGCGCGGAAATGTCGGCGCATGGCGGCGCTGGGGGTGCGCCGCCGCTGAGGAAGAGCGCGTCGGCCCGTGCGCAGAGGTGGTCGTAGATGGACGCCGCGTCGAGCAGCGCGCGGCTGGCGGCGGTTATGGCCGTCTGCCGCTGGGCGGTGCCGACGGGTGCCGTGGTGGTCTGGTACAGCGGCTGCAGAGCCACGCGCGACTGGAGCGTGTAGGCGCTTGCGAGTGTCGACAGGACGAAGAAGAGCTCATACTCGAGAGATTGAATCTTCACGCGCGCAAGTTCACGGCCTGGAAGGTGGCTACTGGACAGAGTTGGGCGCCATTCTATTATCGGCGTTGCCTTGAGGATGACAGAGACCTCTTCGCCGTGTATGGGTTTGTTGGAGAGGCCATTGTCAATGGCGAAGAGGTAAGGGAGGTAGGTTTGGATGGCTGATATGACCGATGTGAGATTGGGGCCTTGGGAAGTTGGAGGCAGACGCTTGTGCTTTTTGAGAGTATCACGCACGACACCGCGGTGGGTGCTGGCTTGGAGGGGTAAGGAGGGATGTGATTCACAGTCGAAGCTGGACGAGAAGGAGAAGGAGGAAGTGGTGGGCAGAACAAACGGGTACGGCATTCTCAGCTCTGCCTCAATTTGCGTGCTCGGGAAAGTCTAGAATTCGTTAATTGCTTGCATTTATCTGTCTGATCTCGGATTCGGCTGGGAGTTTGATGATCCTGAACCTATAAGTATCAGGTAGGTATTGTGAAGTTCTGATGAGGGGCTGTGAGTTGCAGGGGTGACATCAGAAGAAGCTGCAGCTGGAGCCGGCCCATAATACATACCTTACTGTATCTGTAAGGTACTGTACATACTGTACCGTACCGTAACATCAACGCGTAAAGTCAGGTACAGTACTTGTACCGTATCCCCGGGAGCTTGGAACGCGCAAGCTCCATCAATTCGCTACAAACGACCCACAGTTACTCACCTATCCCGGTCTGCTGCCACATTGCGCGTAACCGAAGGAAAAGCCCGACAAGTGTGGACTTCAAGCCAACATCCTCCGTATTCTACACATATGCGGCCTCCTCCGCCCCGACATCTGCGGCATCTCCGGTGACAATGGCCGGGCCTTCGCCTTCTCCTCATAAACCAAGGCGGAAGGCCAAGCAGCGGGCTGGCAACGCGACAGGCAGCCTCAGCAGTGCCAGCTCGGTCGAGACATCGGTTCGCACTCCGTCATTCCCCCTCGCTGCTTTTCTCTGGCCGGCAAGGGGCTCCGTCTCGCAATGGGAATTGCTGCCTCTGATCCTCATGACCGCTGGGCTGTTCCGCTGGGCTGCCGGACTCTGGGGCTACTCGGGTAAGCAAAGTCTTGGTCAATTAGTCCTTGGCTTATATCTCGACAGATGAACTGACACTACGTGTTGCGCAGGCTTCGAGAAACCGCCCATGTTTGGCGACTACGAGGCGCAACGGCACTGGATGGAGATCACGACACAGCTTCCCATATCTCAATGGTATTTCCACGACTTGCAATGGTGGGGCCTTGACTACCCGCCTCTGACGGCGTACCACAGCTGGCTCTGCGGCAAGGTCGGCTCGCTCATCGACCCTTCCTGGTTCGCTCTTTTCTCGTCCCGTGGCATACACGACCCGACGCTGAAGATATTCATGAGGGCCACCGTGGTGGTGTCGGAATACCTGATCTACGTCCCCGCTGTCGTCGTCTTCGTCCGTCGTTTCAGCAAGCTGAATGGCGTTGCAAGCTGGCCTGCTTCGGTTGCCCTTGTCGCCATCCTGATGCAGCCCGCCACAATCCTCATTGACCATGTTCACTTCCAGTACAATACTGTGATGCTTGGCTTTGTGGTAGCAAGCATGTCCAGCATGCTGGCAGGCCGCAATCTCTGGTCAGCCGTCTTCTTCGTCGCCGCCCTGGGCTTCAAGCAAATGGCGCTGTACTACGCCTTGTCCGTCTTTGCCTACCTCCTTGGCAGCTGCGTGTTCCCGCGAATCAACATCCCCCGTCTCGTCTCAATCGCAGCAATCACAGTAGCATCGTTCGTGATCCTGCTACTGCCACTAGTCGTCGGCGCCCTCTACGACGCAAGGCGCGGCATCGATTCTCGGCCTGACCTCGACGGGCCTCGCCCCCCACTGCCATTGTTCCAAGGCCTCGCAGAATATCTCGACACGGAAGCCTTCTACTACCCTGTGGTCGAACAACTAGTACAGATGGTCCACCGGGTCTTCCCTTTCGCTCGCGGCCTGTTCGAGGACAAGGTTGCCAACTTTTGGTGTGCTCTAAATGTGGTTGTCAAGATCAAAAACTATCCGCCCAAGCTGCTGCAGCGTGGTGCATTGATTGCGACCCTGGCGTCGATCCTTCCTCCGAACCTTGTTCTCTTCTTGCGGCCGAGGAAAACCCTGCTACCGCTGGCGTTTGCGACCACAGCATGGGGCTTTTTCTTGTTCAGCTATCAGGTCCACGAAAAGAGTGTCTTGCTCCCCCTGATGCCCATGACCTTGCTACTGGCAGGGAATCAGGGACTCAGTAAGAATACCCGTGCCTGGGTCGGCTTCGCCAACATTCTCGGATGCTGGACCATGTTTCCCTTGTTGCAACGAGTCGACTTGGTGGTGCCGTACACGGTCCTGACGCTTCTCTGGGCTTATCTTCTGGGTCTTCCACCGACTTCGATCAGCGCTTACACCCAGGATGGATCCCGCAGTTTGAGCCAGTGGGCAACCCTCTTCGTACACGGTGCGTTTTACTTGGCCATGGCACTATGGCACGTCCTGGCCATGTCGTTGGCTCCACCGCCGGACAAGCCGGACCTGTGGGTGGTGGCCAACGTTGGTGTTGGTGCTGCTGGCTTCTCGCTCTGCTATCTGTGGTGTCTATGGAGACTGATGCTGGAAGGCGAAACCCTGCCCGCGTCATGGGTCGGGAGGGCGAAAACCAAGACTCAATAGGGGCTGCCCGACAAAAGCGGATGTGTCTAGCCTCATAGTTATATACCCAAAGATTCCGTTTTATACTTACCTAGTCATTGCTCCGGAGTCAGGACCACCCGAGCGCATGTGTGCCGCCGGTCACAACCGACAAGTCAGTGCTGATCAGCCACCACCACGCCATGTTACCCAGCAAGCTACGTTACCTGGTCGCCGTTGGCTGCTGTACAACTTTACGATATGTATGTACGTGTGGGCGGGCCGTTGCAGCAACTCGGTCAAACCAGCACAGTTCATCCGAATTCACTGGATTACTAAACCAACCTGACATCGAGCGGTTTTATGCTTGTTGGGCGTCATCATGAAGCGGCTACCTCGCTACTGCAAGGAGTGTGCTGACAGGATCCGGATCTTCGAGTTTTTATTCCAGAACCTTGCATCTGCTGTTGGGCCCTGAACGAGATCCCTTGCGCCCCCACCGAACGTCCGGATAGTCTTCGTGGCGAAACCCCGAAAGACGGTTTGCAATGAGAAATAGCTGCGTCTTTCCAGTACCTCTCGAGCGATGAAAGCGTCTTTTGCATCTAATAATAATGATGCTGACTGGCGCACCTCACGATGTTTATGAGGCTGGTCTAAAAAGGGCCCGAGCATGTCTCGCACCGAGGGCCTGGGCCCGACGCCTGTGCCTAACGACGACAATAGTGTTTAGCTTGCATAGACCGAAGGCCGACAGCGTCGATCGACGTGGTGGTTCTCGTGGGAACCAATCAGTCGATGCGTGGTCACTGCAGGATGGGCTCTTGGCATGCTTCGAGCCCTTTTACCCTCCGGCAACTGGGGCTTAGGCGAATCCAAGACTCGGTATCCGTGAGACGGTGAGGCCAATAACGTTGGTCAAACGAATTCTGGAAAGGGAAGGGAGCCCGGTCATAATCTTGGAGCACTGCGAAGTACAAACACCCTCCTCAGCCCTGCCGCTTGCGTCTACGAAGTACATACAGTACATACCACAAGCTCTATTTCCGGGTAAAATTGCTAACGTTACTGCTCGCTGAGCTGTCCCGACGCAGAACACAGAGGGATGGCATATTGTCTGTGTAGGACGAGGGGTGGCGCTCTCACAAATCGCACACTCGAATCCCTACACTACCCTAACTGATGTACCGGTACACTACATGGGCTGGCCATCGGTCGACCCTAGGTGGCGTGACTGGCGTCTTCCCTTGAGGAGTCGTTGGAAGTATTCTGTGGTGCTTGGCAAGAACAGCCTCGCTGGTATTCCGGAGGTATGAGTCCTCAACCTCTTTGTCTGGCTTTGTCTTGCCCTCGACATCTCTCTCGAGTCTCGCACTGCAGACCAAGAGACTCAGAGAAAAAGAGCACAGTGACTGTAGATATGGGGCCAAGTTTCCCTCGCCCTGGATCAACAGAAACCTATGCTCATTGCCCTTACACTGCTCCTGACCGCTGGCCCAATGTCGTGTTAGCTTGGTCCTGTACGGCCAGCACTCACAGCCACCAACAAGGCTCCAGAACCCGGGCGGCCGTGCAGCCGGTTGGATGCCACGCAAGGTCGAGGTGCATCTTCCCAACCGGGCTCGTGGTCATCTCAGCCCACAAGCCATTTGCGGCCGACGGCCAAGATCCCCCCCACCCACCGCCGTATTCCTACCTTCCACTCGAGGATAACGTTACCTGAGATTACGGCACTTATTAGAAGGAAGGGCCCGCGCGCCACCCTAGCTCCCGCTCTTTTCCCCGGTTCCCTTTGGCCGGGTGTCAGGTTCGAAACTGAACCCATTGTTACGGATACAGAGGACGCTGGATGATCTGGCGCCATGCTCCTCTCACGTATACTCACCGTGGTGGTTGCTCTGGCAGCCAAAGTGACGGCCCAAGATGACATCCATGAGACCACATCTCCAACGCCTACCGCAACCGAATCACTGAGTTCATCAAGTGTATCATCGACGACGTCAAGTTCATCCGGGCCAGCAACAATTGCTATAGCAGTTGGCGCGGTGCGTGTTTAAACAGTAGATGGACTATAACAATGGCTGACAGTGTTCCAGAAAGGGCATGTATTCACCCCTAATGAAGTCAAAGCCAATGTCGGCGATATTATCAGTACGTTTCTCGCCCGTCCAGTTTTTGCTCCTTGATCAGCCCATCCTGACTTACACGGCACCATTGCCTCAGGATTCAACTTCTACCCTGGTGGCCATCGGGTTGCCCGCGCGGCGTTCCAATGGCCGTGTATTCCATACGAGTATGCCACCACCAACAAGGCGGGCTTCTACACTGGCAGATTTGACCCTCAGGTTATCACAAACCCGGTACGTCCTCATAACCTATGTCACGTCCTCAGACGCGACTACTAACAACATCAATGTGCCACAGCCCCCGCATTTTGATGTCAGGGTGAACGACACTGAGCCCATATTTTACTACTGCGCAGCACCAGGGTCCTGTATTGACTACCACATGATCGGCGTCATCAACCCCAATTCGACACACACCTTCGAAGCCCAGCTGGAGGCTGCCAGGAACGCCCCGTATCAACTCGCTCCAGGGGAACCATTCCCAACCGAAACCGCCAGCCCTAGGCCGACTCAATCTTCATCTGGCTACGGCTCCCAATCCGACCCGTACTCTTCAGGGAATGAAAGCGACGGCAACAGCAACAGCAACAGTGGCGACGGTGGTAGCAGCGGAGGAGGCGGCGGCGGCGACGGTGGTTCGGCCCTCAGCGCGGGCGCCATAGCGGGCATCGCCATCGGCGGGGCCGCCGTGCTCATCCTCGCCGGGGCCATCATCTACCTCTGCGGCCGCCGGGGCGGGTTGGAAAAGGGGTTCCGCAAGTCAATGGCAGTCGCCGCGGCTCCCGGCGTGCTCGAAGCAAACTACGGAGGGGGGCCCAAAAGCCCCGGGCAGGCGAGCATGTCAACCTTTGCTGCGCCCGACGGCCGACATGCGTCCTTTTTTGGACAGCAAAGTGCCATGTCTCATCCGCTGTCGCCTACTACTGCTCAGTTTGCGTTCGCTGGTGGCCAGGGAGGATACGCCGCTGCAGATGCGCAGGGGTATCAGTACGTGTCTTTTCTTTTCGCTTTTGTTTGAGTCCTTCTCGGCCCTTTGTTGCAGTGCTTTGTGGTGATTCATTACTGACCGTGGTAGTACCCCCCGGCAACCCTCGCCAGCCATGCCGCCACCGCCGGCCGAACTTCCTACTCAGGATGCTCCCAACCCCGTGCCGTCGCCACCTCCCGGCTATGCTCCGCCCGGGGGTTCCTGGGCACCCGGCGTGAAGCCGTAATCTGTTTGGAAAACATCGATTGCTTTTCTGTGTGTTTTGGGGCCTACAACTGGCTCGGTGTTTGGATACCATGCAACTAAAAACTTAGAGCCGTGTGGAAGACTACTGGTACAGATCAGTCACGGCTCGGCTATAGGCCGCGGCGTTCAGGGCGTTGTCCATTATACCTAGGTTTATAATACCTAACTGGATATTCTTGGCGGTAATGTCGAAACTCGAAATGGCAGTGATACAGTGTATATCGTGGACAGTTTCACCCCCTTTCCATAAGGCGCCTTCCTGATGCTTCCCCTCCCTTCAGCCGGCAGCTCCGCTCCTTTTCACCTGATAGATGCCCATCCCGGTTTCGACGGTGGTTCGCTCTAGCAGCTGAGCCGCGCCTCGTTCACGCATCATCGCACTGCCTTGGACCATGGTTGATCAACGCTTTGTAGCAAGTCCACCTGTTTGAAAGGGGTAGCAACGGCTCTTGAACTTGGGAAATAAATCTATGCAGTGCTAACTCAGCTTGCTGGTTCAGGTAGATGTGTTACACAATATATGAATTGTATGTTTAATCGCTTACTGGCTTCCTATTCAAGGCTCTTCCTCGGTACCTGTATCTAGGTCTTGAGACTACCAGCGCCGCTGACTTGCGGAAAGGTTGGCTATCATGAGATGCCGCACGACCTGGCTTAGGTACAGTACTTCAACCAGGCATGACATCTGTTAGCGTGGCCCAAATTTTGTATGCAAAAATCGTCCTCTCGACTACCCCTCTTAACACAGCGGCCTGACTGAGGTGTACATGTACGTATCTCAAGATTCCAAGGTGTCGCAGGATGCATCACCCAAACCTGCCTACCTCACTGATGGCCAGCACAAACACTCGAGTAACACGTACCATGGACCTTGTATGGTAGCTCCGAGAGTCGCGTTTGCCCATTGCAGCTTACAACTTTGAGGATATGCCGCTATTATGGAAACACTTCCAGAGAGGGCATGACTGGTTGTGTTTTGCGCCTTGGTTCCAGGCGCCAGCTACCTTTATCTATCCGGTCTGATATGGGCAACTGGCGTCCACCCTCCACATATCATCACTTTTTTCCCCTTGCGCCGGACAGCAAGAGCAAACGCCCATCATCAGCCTGGAACCAAGTTGAATCCCGAGTGTCCGAAGTCAAGAGGCGGCGAAACCTCGTAGCCACATGGCAAGTCGCTTTCTTTGTTCCCGGCCGTCGCAGAGGATCATGCTCGATGGCGGTTAGCTCAAAGGAGAGGACTGGCAATTCAGTCCCGGGGGAGGAGGTTCGACGGAAGAAGCCACCTGCTGGGGTTTCGCAAACGCACGATGGCGAGATGAAAGATGACGGACAGGAGTCGGTGGTTTGTTCGCTTCAGATTCTGCTATCGAAAGGGGAATCAGCTGATTGTGAAGCTTCACCTTAAGCACCTACGGATCCCGGAATGGCAAGCACGTCATTCCTTCTTTATCGAGCTCAATACAAGACTAAGACTAATGGACGGTATGTTGCAAACCCCGAGTGAGGAAAGTGAAATTGCCTCCGGCCCCTCGCGCCCTGCTTTAGTGAGATCTAGGAAGTCCCATTACGGTGAGGTGGGGACTTCGAGAGGGTGCGGAACGTAGCTACCCGACGATGTAAGGGTCTTCAGACTCGACACTTGTTACAGTACCAGATGTATCAGCTCTTTCATAGTCGCTTTCATGTGCGCTTCCCGGCGTTTTCTGCAAGGCAATGTGCATCGCTTGCCTGCCGCAAGGGCGGTTCCGAAACCCTGCGGCCTAAGTACCGTTGGTAAGCACTACATTATTTATAACCCAAAAGCCAATAGAGTTTCGAGTCCCTGTGCGGGTAGGTGTACGGCCCCACATCGGCCTCGACAATCCTTGTGCGGGCGGCACTACACAGGTGTTGGTTGAGGACACAGTTGTAGATACTCCAATTCCTGCCTCCGAGCTCAGCAACCTCAAATTCTCGTGCAAACACCTCCTTCGTCCGCCACAGCCTGCTATTCCCGCGAGCTGGTCATCTCGGTGTCTATCCAAACTGCCGCCCTTTGCCTGGGTGTCTTGCCTGGCGCTTTTCGCTTCCAGCCCCTTCCAATTCGTTAGCTTGGCCGTCATCCGGCGCCGGTGTCTTCAAACACTCCGTCACTTCTCAAACAGCTCCCATAACCATTCGACTTCTTCCAACCAACTTCCCAGCATCGCCAGCCGGACTGCCAGTTATTGCTTACCATTTCCATCGACTCCGACGCTTCCATACATCTTCGTGGACCAATGGCGCAGATGCGAGTACAGGGCAGTTACGGCATCGGACAGCCGAACCCCTTTGGCGGGCCGAGCGAGGACAAGACAGAACAGAGTCCTCTCGACGCAATCCGGCAGCAGACGAGCAAGATTGAGGATCTTCTTGACACGATCAGCGAGCCCATCAAGCCGTGTGTACTGGCCCAATTGACTTACTGCTTTGCTAAGAACCTTTTGTTAACATGGCCTTCTCCGGGATAGCTATCTCCCCGCCATCGGCCGCGGCCTCATCGTCGTAACCTTTATCGAGGACGCTCTCCGAATAATAACACAATGGAGCGACCAGCTGCTCTACCTGCATGAGTACCGCCACAGTACGTTCCCCTTCCATCCCCCTCCCTTCCGGACGCAGCCGGAGCTAACCACAACTCAAACCCCCTTCTTCTTGAACAGTCCCTTCCGGCTTGACGCATCTCTTCCTCCTCGTCAATGTGATTGCCATGGCGACCTGCTCGACCCTCGTCATCATCCGGAAACATTCCGAGTACGCCGTGTGCGGCCTGATGGGCGTTGTCGTGACGCAGGCCCTCGGCTACGGCCTCATCTTTGACCTTAACTTCTTTTTGCGGAACCTCTCGGTTCTGGGCGGCCTCATGATGGTGCTTTCGGACAGCTGGGTGCGCAAGTCCAAGGCGTTTGCGGGCCTGCCCCAGATCGAGGAGAAGGACCGCAAGATGTACTTCCAGCTGGCCGGCCGCGTACTGCTCATCTTCTTGTTCATCGGCTTCGTCTTTAGCGGCCAGTGGTCCGTCTGGCGCGTCATCGTCTCAATGGTCGGCTTGGTGGCCTGCATCATGGTTGTGGTTGGCTTTAAGGCCAAGTTCAGCGCCACGTTGCTGGTGGTCATTCTGAGCATTTTCAACGTGCTGGTGAACAACTTTTGGACGGTAAGCCCATAACTTCTGCATTTTTTGAGGCGAGTTGGTCGGCAGAAGATGCGGTTCGCTAACGGTATTTTGTTTGCAGCTCCATGAGCACCACCCCCACAAGGACTTTGCCAAGTACGATTTCTTCCAGATTCTGTCGATTGTTGGCGGCCTTCTGCTGCTCGTTAACAGCGGTCCGGGCCAGTTCAGCATCGACGAGAAGAAGAAGGTCTACTAAGCCATGCCATCATTATGTCGCATCAGTTTTGGTGTTCTAAAACCTTTGGAAAACACGAAAAAAACATGCGGTCTTGGGCGAGCATGCCGGCTTCAGCCGTCAGGGGGCGTCGTTCGTCATGGGACTCTCGCGGAGACCGTGAACGGGGGTATTTCACGAAGGAGCTTGCCATTCCGGACTGTAAGCCCAGTACCATCGTCGTCTTTGCTATCAAATGCATTGTCGTTTGACACTGCGTTGCCATCCTTGAGAACCAGTCATGGACGACATTCTGGGAAGCAAATGGGATGTCCAACCTGCTTCTAAAAGCGAGAAGAAAATTCGACAAGGTCAATGAGTAAGAAGTTTGAGGTTCAAAGACTTCTGTGCAGTTCTGTGCTTTTTCACCGTGTTTGCTATTTATACATTGTAGGCTTCTATCTGCTGCATCATACATATGAGACCTAGACAAAAGGGTCCTCACCTCCTTACTGTTGCCTTGATACTGCATCTTTACGATACTAGTACAGTGCGTTCTCAGTCTTACGCATAAGAGTGGTGAGTTTTGTCGGCTGCGGAATCCCTCCTTCAGCTTTCGACTTGGGGCGATCAACCGAGGGCAAGATATGGCGTCTCCCCTGTCATCGTCTCCTCCCGGCTGTATGCCACGCTGGTGACCACATCACGCCTCGGAACTCCTCGTCCTTGAGATTGCGATCGTGTGGGTTCATCGACTGGCAATCGGCGCAGCAGAGGTGGCCGAGACTCGCCAGCCGCTGGGCGTGCGGGCCTGAAGTGCTCTTCCACTTCGCAAGGCTCTCATGGACTTGACAGGCTGATCAACGACCGTTCCTCCCGGGCCATACCGTGAAATAATAGTTGGTTGCCGGTGCTTTCGAAAGAGCCGCCTACGGGATGACCAAATGGTCCATCGACCTCTTCGCGATATCAATAATCGTCATGCACGTTGGCTTTTCGCCGGTTGACGAAAGAGGGATGTAAAAGGGGCCAGGGTGGTGGACGGCGCCCGACGCCACGAGCTGGTCGAGCAGCTGGTGGCGCCGGCGTGAACGCTCCTCCATCATGTTGATAATATCCTTGAGTCCCGGCTGGCGCGCGTGGTCGCACCCGGCGCCGGGGGTCAGCTCGTTAATGCCGTAGACGTCCATCTTGAGCAGCGCGCGCACCGTCAGCCGCCACAGGAGCGGCTCGAGCATCGTGCCCTCGAGCCACTTGTTGCCCCCGCACTTGGCCAGGTCCTGCGAGGCCACCCAGCCCCAGAGCCCGCCGTAGTTGCGGAGCGTAAAGAGGATCTGGCGATGCTCCGCGGCGGCGGCCTCGGCCTCGGCGTCGACCATGGCCAGGATGCGCATGTACGCATTGGACAGCGACGGGAGCAGCGCGCCGAGCATCAGCATGTTCTGGTAAGAGGTGATGGGTACGGGGTGACCCTGGCAGCCTGTCTCTATTGGCGGGTCGCCGCATACTTTGCAGAGAATGGTGTCATGCGCTGTTTTGGCGGCCGTGCGAGCCACGGCCATAGCTTGGGCGACTTCCTTTGGCAGGGTCTGGAGAGACTGCATGGCCAGGTATAGCGCTGCCAGGCAACCGCATGTTTGGGTGCTGCTGTCCTCTGGCGGGGATTCTGGAGTGCTTGCAGAGTTGGAGGATGGCGGCGAGAGACTGGGTGCCGTCTCTGCGAGCTCGGCCGACATGATCTGGCGGACTTGCTCGGGGGTGATCTCCTCGATTTGTGATGGCGGCAAGGAAGACGGTACCTCGAAGTCTATGTCGCCAAGACGATCGCTCACGGCCCCAAAGGGCCTCATTGAGCTGCCAGATGGCTGGCATGGGTTGGCATACATGTCTGTGTCCAGACTTGTGGCCGCAGCGGCGTCGGGCAATGGCAGGAACGTACTGTTCGGATCAAGCAGGTTTAGGAAATTGAGATCCGAGTTGTTCATGTCGAGGAAGGACATATCAAGGTCCATGCCGATGGTGCTGTCGAACTCGATGTCCGGGATGAGGGCTGTGGCAGGCTCGGTCGCTGGAACAGACCGAACTAGAGCTGGATTTCCGGCTGGCGCTTTTGGCGCTTCTGGCATCTCTGGTTCGACATGGCGCTGCTTCCTTGGCCTGCCCATGCGCTTTTGCGCCGAGTATACGCATTTGATTCCCTCACGTTTGCAGCGCGCGCAGCCGTCTATTTCCTTGGAGCAGGCGAGCTTTCTGGCTCCTAGCAAAAGTGTCAGATGGGGACATGATAACACAACAGGGTGGCCCGTGAATCTGGCACGTACGGCACTCATCGCACGCCCTGCGCTTGGGCTGGTCCTGACCCTGGGGTTTCTTTTCGCCCTGTGCGTCCATGATTTGATTTTACGATAGGTCGACGGCTTATTGATTCTGAACTCGCTGCGAATAATCTTGGTACCTTAGGTTAGGCTCTGGCGTGTCTGTTGAGAAGCGACTTCCCCAGCTTTCCAAGAGAAGCTGACAGCTTCCGTTTATCTCGGCGTCAGAACCCCAGGTGGCTTAGCCCCCAGTCGATTACACACTCAAGTTCTCAACGTCCCTTCTCGGCAACGCTCAATGCAATCCCCCTCTGCTTGGTCTTACATAATACGAGATACGTACTATACATACAAGTACAGCCAAAACGAACTGTATCCATTGAGTACAATTGTCCTATGAGAGTCACGATTCTCGATCCATCAAGGTGCTTGCTTACGCAAGACCCTCTAGTCATCACAGTCGAACGATACCCATCGAAACCACCAACGCGCCCAGTTTGAGACATCTCTCTTCAACCATAGGACAAGTGTACTGGACACATATAATCATCAACTGTTGCATCCGTATACTAGATCTCAGTATTCAATGTATTAATCTCACCCAAGGTGTGGACTTAAACCCACAATCTTAGAAATTGACCAGTCAAAGGCTCAAGCCAATGTCAGCCAATGTCAGAGGTAACTTAACGACTGTTACGTACGCTACATGTGCTGGTATTGTATGTATAGTACAGTACAATATACCTTCTTAATCGAGCTAATGCAGTAATTAGGGAGCATCAGCTTTGGGCGGTGAAGAAAAGCTCCCCGCCAAAAAGTTCATAGAATTGGCAGAAAAAGTCCCACGCTATGGAACTTCTAAAGTACATAACTCAACTGCAGTCGGGGAATAGACCAAGCGAGTCAACACAATGGGGTCAAAACTGGCAGAGAAGAAGCGCAAATCGAGGGCATCAGATTCCGACTCCGATGACGAGCTCGCCAATGGGCTTTTTGACGGTGTATTATCGCAAAGCGAAGACGAAGACAACTTCCCATCCGAAGACGAGGATAAAGATGAGGATGAGGATGAGGATGAGGACCCCGACGAGAGCGAGAGCGAAAACAGCGCAGACAGTGAGGACGAAATTGAGGAGGACGACGATGCCATCCTAAGCGACGATATTCCCTCGGACATGGACGGCGAGGAGAAACTTGAAATCACAGAACCCGGTGTCGACCCAAAGCCGAAAGAGGAGGATAAGGAAGAAAAAAATTACAGGATTGAGAAGAGTGCCAATGGCGGTGTTCGATACGTATACGAGTGCGTCTAGTCAACGCGAAATGCTTGGGTCCGCTGTTCACGATCTAGAGGCTGACTCGGCTCTGATAGTGAGATCGACCCTGTCTACGACTCCGACGACTCCGACGCCCAGGGCCCGGTCAACACGATAGGCAATATCCCCCTAAGCTTCTACGACAGGTTGGTGCTCTCGCTAACGCCGAGAGTTGGATTGCCATGCTAAGCCTTTGATTCTCCAGTTATCCCCATATCGGCTACGATATCAATGGCAAGAAAATCATGCGCCCAGCAACTGGCGATGCACTCCAGAGCCTGCTCGACAGCATCGAGGTGCCCAAGGGGTGGACCGGCTTGACAGATGTGAATACCGGCAACCCTCTGAATCTCACGTACGTCGCCTAGACCCAGCCTCGTGGTATCGCCGTTCTAACAAACAGCTAGAGACGAGGAGCTGGAGCTTGTTCGCCGCGTTCAAACGGGTCTCATACCTGATGACCTTCATGACCCCTATCCCGACACGGTTGAGTATTTTACATCGATCGAGGAGAAGATGCGTAAGTACAACATCACCTCCCCTTGAACCGGCTCCTGTGACTGACAGCCCGCAGCCCTCAGCAGTGCTCCGGAGCCCAAGCGGCGCTTTCTCCCTTCCAAATACGAAGCCAAGCAGATTATGAAATTGGTACGGGCCATCCGAGAAGGCAGAATCCTACCATATAAACCCCCAGAAGAGCGCGAGAGGGAAGAGGAAGAGAAGGAAGAGGTGCACTTTGATCTGTGGCAGAACGAGGAGCCGCAAGCACCAAACCCGATGCACATCCCGGCTCCAAAACTCCCGCCCCCTGGCTACGACATGAGCTACAACCCACCAGAGGAGTATTTGCCGTACGTAAATCCCAGACGTCTTTGTCCTAAACGGCGGTTTTTAACACTGAACTGCAGGACCAAGGAGGAGCGAGAGCAGTGGGAGAATGCAGACCCAGAGGACCGGGAAAAGGATTACCTGCCGCAAAAATATACTGCCCTCAGGAGAGTTCCAGCTTGGGCCGGCTTAGTCAAAGAACGGTTTGAGCGGTGCATGGTACGAAGGCCGAGTCTTTTGCAGGGGTCCAGCGAGCTGACGTTGCCATGGAACAGGACCTGTATCTGGCCCCTCGAGTGCGGAAAAACAGGCTCAACATCGATCCAAATTCGCTGCTTCCGAAATTGCCATCCCCTTCCGAGCTCAAGCCCTTCCCCACAGTGGTCCAGACAGTCTTCCGCGGCCACGAGGGCAGGGTAAGAAGCGTGGCAATTGATCCGGTAAGTGTCAGCCTCAGTCCTTGTAAGTTGAATCGGGAAAGGTGCTCTTTGCTAACATTGCGGCTCAGTCTGGTATCGCGTTGGCAACCGGAGGTGACGACGGTACGGTGCGTGTCTGGGAACTGCTGACCGGCCGCCAAGTATGGTCCGTCAAGCTAAGCAGTGACGAACCCGTTAATACTGTTCGGTGGCGGCCAACCAAGGACTCGTTTATTTTGGCTGCTGCTGCTGGCGAAGACATTTTCTTGATGGTTCCGACACATGCCAGCGTAACTCCGGCTCTGGACCAGGCCAGCCGGGACATCTTGGCGGCAGGCTTCGGGCACGCTGCAAACGGACAACAGCAAGCAGTTCCCGTCGGCAAGGAGCCCCCGGCGAAATGGGCGCGACCCGGCACGAAACTCGAGGACGAGGGCGTCTTGATAAGGATCACTGTGAGATCAACAGTGAAGGTGATCAACTGGCACAGGAAAGGTGACCACTTTGCCACTGTCTCGCCAACCGGCCAGAGGAGTGCTGTGGCAATCCACACTCTCTCAAAGCACCTAACCCAAATACCATTTAGGAAACTATCCGGGCTTGCACAGACAGCAGCTTTCCACCCGTTGAGGCCGCTTTTCTTCGTGGCCACTCAGCGCACGATACGGTGTTATGATTTGCAGAAGCTAGAGCTGGTCAAAATTGTTCAGCCTGGCGCCAAGTGGTAGGGTTTCCCACTACATTGTATTCTGCCCTCTGGTGATTATTGACGCGCCCTTACGCTACAGGATCTCATCGTTTGACATCCACCCGGGTGGTGACAACTTGATCGTCGGCAGTTACGACAAGCGTCTCCTGTGGCACGACCTAGACCTGTCCAACCGGCCATACAAGACAATGAGGTTCCACAGCGAGGCCATCCGCATGGTCCGCTACCACAAGGGTGGATTGCCGCTTTTCGCCGATGCCAGCGATGACGGTTCGCTGCAGATTTTCTATGGCAAGGTTCCGAACGATCAATTAGAGAATCCGACCATTGTCCCGGTAAAGATGCTCAAGGGCCACAAGGTTATCAACAAGCTCGGCGTACTGGATCTCGATTGGCACCCTCGGGAGCCATGGTGTGTTAGCGCTGGGGCTGATGGGACAGCTCGCCTGTGGATGTGATGATTAGACTCGGATTGGATGAGCGGATCCGCCCAAGAGGCATCATGTGTACATAGTGGTTTCCTTCGCAATGTTGGCCGGTATATTATCAGGACAGGTCTGTCGGCGCGATATGCCATATCTGCTGCAGTCATTGGGTAAGAACTGCACTTTGTTCGGGTTCCCCGTCGGGCTTTTACCGCATATCATTCTTCCACCCATATAGTGTCTTTTCGTGACATGGGGGGGAAGACGTGGAAGTCCCATGCGTCGGGCCCAAGAGAAAGCCCAGAAGAGAGGAAGAAGGTGACTAGCAGGGCAGTGCTTAGTTGTCTCCGCAAACTTTGCCGCACCCCGGCTTCAACGTTGGCTTCACCGCTTCAAGATTGCAGGTCTTTGCATGAATAATGTCCGGCGGCGCCTGATCAGGCTTCCGCCGGAGTCTTTGCTTATTACTAACATATGAGGGTATGTCCTTACTTTTTCCTTCTCCCTTCTTCCGCCGCCCCTTTTCATTACAACCCCTTCCAAATCCAGCCCCGTCCATCCCTTGCCCCCGATCAGTCCACAACAAAACAAAAGAATTTCACCTGCCCTTCTTCAGACCATGGCTTGCACCCCGTCAGCAAACTTCGCAAACAAACCCAGATCCACCGCTTCGGCCATGGCCTTGTAACCCGCGGGATTGGGGTGCAGGTAGTCGCCCGAGTCGTACTCAGCCGCCAGCTGCGTGTGATTTTTCGGATCTCGGAGGGCCGCGTCAAAGTCAACGACGGCGTCGAACCGGCCGCTCGTGCGGATCCACGCGTTGACGCGCTGCCGCTGCTCCTCGCGCGCGGGCCCGCCCTCACCATACGCCTGGCCCGGTCCGCTCATGGGCGTGATGGTGCCGCCAAACACGGCGATGCCCGCCCCGTGCAGCCGCGTGATGATCTGGTCGTACGCCTGGAGAAGCCGGTCGCCCACGGCCGCCTGCGCCGCCCCGTCCGAAACCGTGGTACCCAGGTCGTTGACCCCCTCCAGCACCAGCGCGTACCGCACCCCGCTGTGCTCCAACACGTCCCGCCCCACGCGCCCCAGCGCGTTGGGGCCCAGGCCGTCGGCTAGCACCCTGTTACCGCCGGCCGCTTGGTTCATGATCGCGATGTCGCGCAGGTCGATGGAGGAGCGGCGGCGGCCCGCAGCCTGCAGACGCTTTAGGAGCTGGTCGGGCCAGCGGTCGTTGCCGTTGGTGGTGGAGCCGCGGCCGTCGGTGATGCTGTCGCCTATGATGGCCAGCGCGGTGTGGCTGCGGGGGAGCCAGGCTTGGACGGCCGAGAGGAGAAACCACCGGTCGATGCGCTGCGCACCAGGGACACTGCCGACATCGGCAGCCGAGACCCGGTCGCCCGGCGCCAGCCAGCTCGAGGTGCGGCTGCCCGGGTGGCCGGTGATGCGGTAGCCTGCTTGGCCCGAGGCGAGATAGACGGTCACGGTGAGACTGGTTTGGGCTTTGACGGAAACCCGCAGCGGGTCGGAGACAACGAGGGCGCCGTTGGGAACCTGGAAGGAGCGTTGGCCGGAAAAGGTGACGTCCTTGAGAGTTTCCGGGCGAATGGCACTGGATCCTGCGGTCCCGTTTGATGGTAAGGCGACAGTGACGGCCGTGATGGGCAAGTCCGAGCCACCAAACGCATTGCTAAACTGCAAGCGGATGGTAGATGCGTCCTGGGTGAGATACACGGTCTGTCGAATTGTGGTGTTTTGGAAGACACCGGTTGTGCCGTTCTGCCAATGCATACATAGTGAGTTACGTGGTCCAGTTCATTGTTGTTCACATGCCCTTCCGGCCCCCTGAAGTAGGGAGGCGGAAGGCGGGAGTTGAGCGGGAGAACTGACATAGGGCGGGCTGGGCAGGTTGTAAGGTTCCACCTCTTGCGGCATGGACGTCCATATGTCTATCCAGCGGTCGTCATGGCATGAGGCAACCGGGAAAGAGGTTGCGCTCAACACCAGGCCGACAAGGAGCCCCTGGAGGCCGAACCGGGCGTTCCACATGGCGATGAGCAGAGAGAGGTTCCTGAGTCTCTGACAGCTCGATCTCGATTCGCTTCTCCTCGTTCATCTCAACTCGGAACGCGCGGTGGCTGGAAAGACGGCCGGTATATATGTTCGCTTAGAACATGGGGATCATGAGGATCCGGAGGAACCGGAGGAACCATGGTAACAAGCAACTGCATTGAGGAGAATTCCGGGAACCCGGAATGAGACAGCTCGCCAAGTCAATCAGGCTAAATGAAGCATCGGCGATGCCACGATGCCGCGCCTGAGTAGCTGTTGCCCGCACCCCAAGAGTATCGAAAGATCAACACTGGGTCCGGAGCGGTGGTTTCCTAGTCTCAAAATGCCCTAGTTGATGGGGAAAGCGGATCCATGAAAAATCGCGAATGCTACACTCCCCGCACACCTGGTTCTAAGGATCTGGAGCAGCGGTGTTGACTTTAGTCCATTTGAAGCAGAGAGCAAAGACCGGATACGTACTCACAACCACAATTGACAGCATACCTTAAGCAAAGGTACAGATTGATTGATTGCAGGTACGGATACAGTACATCCATACACGTCGATGATGTCAGACATACCCTACAGGATCCTAATTGGGAAAGAGATACTGGGAACACCTGTCCTTTTAGAATCCCGCTAACATTGGCTCCAGCAACAACAATCGGATCCATGAATACATCCCGTCCTTGATCCCACCAACAATACTTTACCTATACCCTTACCCAGAGACAGAACCAACAGGAGAGAAGAGTGGTACGGCCAACCCAACCGATGCCTAAGACAGAGGAAAAAGTCAATGACCTGAACCGACCCAACGACAATTGACGCGAAACGAAACAGCAAAAGACAAGTTGCATAAGGAAAGGGCAAGCATGATATGGAACAAGGACAAGATGGTCAAAAAAAACACGAGGGACTAGATGACAACAACGCGCGAAAGGAATAACCCATCTCAGCCGCGACAATTGATTGCCCAGATACTCGTCGACAATGGACGCCGACCGACCGGCCTGCCGAGACGACGGCTACTCGCTGTTGAGGCTGATGCGCGAGAGAGCACAGACGGAAGCATCCATCGGGGCGTTACACCAAGCACCCGCACTGGCAACCTGATCGTCGGTGGCTAAAGGGTGGCCGACAAACATCCACTCCTGGGCCGGGATCGTGGTGCTTCCCATGGTGGTGGGGCTCATCGAAGAGCTTCCAGTGAAGAACGTGCTGCACGCGGTGCTCCGCGGGAACCCCATCGAGAGGCGATGGCCCATGCCGGCACCGACGACCCAGCCGGAGACGCTGGCGACGTACAACTGGGATTGCTCGCGCTCGTGCATCTCCAAGGTGAATTGGGTGAGAGGCAGGCTCGGTGGGTATGTGGCCGACACGCTGTGCTGGCTCCGGCAGCCAGTCTCGTTGTTTCCCATCATCGTGTCATCCGTGCCTGCCGTCTCGGTCGAAGACCCGTTGGACTCGGGCTTGTGGGTCGCGGCATTCGAGAAGCCTGCGTCGCAGATAGCGCTTAGGAGGGCAGCGGCAGCACTATTCGACGAGGCGTTGGCCACCTGGCCCGACGGCATGTTGTCGTCGTTGAGCTGGGGGGATCTTGACTTGGTGTGAGATCCCGTCTCGAACTCGTTCCCTACGATGACCCATTCATCGCTCCGGGAGGATCTTCTGGTGGGGCTGATTGGGGGACGCATCCCGAGGGCGGTTGTCGTCGCGGTCGAAGCTGGGGTAACTGTTGACAGGCTTGGGTAGAATTCTTTCAGCATGCTGCCGACTAAACTGGATACGGGCTGCTACTTGGGAGGGAAGTCTCACTGGGAGATGTGGGAAGCGAGGAGTGCGAATCACTAAAGGTTTCGAGGGGGACACGTAAGGGGAGACTCGAGCAACTCGGACGAGGGCAGCGGACGAGGGACGGGGGGCCCTAATTAAAGGCGGCGAGCAAAGACGATCGGGCTCCATTTTTTGGGCGGTGAGTGTCCGTTTGCCTCCTGCGGCTCTGCCCTGGTGGGATACTGACGACTGACGCGGGGTGGAATACGGGCGGTGAGGGGCGGTGCGGGGAGTTCGTCGATTGATGGGATGGCAGCTTACCAGCTCACAGGAACTGCATTTTGCCAGCGACCACCGCCGAACGCTAGTCTAACGGAGTGTGAGCCGTACGAAAGAGATGAAATAAAAACAATCCAGCCTTTCTTTTCCTTCTCCAGAGGGGGGGAATGGAGCCAACGTCATGGTCGTTGCACAGCTGGAACGGAAGTGCTCACGTGGGGGCTCCAGGTTTCAAGCTAGGAGAGAAACAGGGCTGCCGGCCAGCGCCCGGAGCCGAGACCGGAATTACTCTTTGGTTGTATGGGGACCTCGAGATATACCAGCTACCTACCTAGGTCTGATTGACCTCAGCAAAAAAGCGACAAATCTGCTCGGGCATAGCGGAGTGGTGGACTGTTGGGTACTTAGGTTTGTAAAGAAACAAATGCAAACGCAGAAGTCCACAGCGGGTTACCTTCATATTAATCGTCATGCGGCCGGGGCCAGGCCAAGAGTAACTGGCATCAAGGCAACCGTTTCTTCCGGAACGGTCACCGAGATGTGGCATTCATCATCCTGCAAAAGCTTCGGATGGATACACAGGCGGCTACTACAACACTACAGACTAGTGTTATGCTCGCCTCACTTATGAAGTACAGGTTGACTCAAGACTTTCATCTGGCTCGGCCGTCAAATGTCTGTCGCTTGGCGCCTCCCACCATCGAGTTCTTACCTTTACGTATTTGGTGTATGTATCGTACTAATATTGCCGTCCGTACAATTCACCTTACAAAATACGCACCATTTAGGTTTGTACAGTACAGTACGAATACAGCACCTCACATGCTCGTGTGCATTCACCTCGCTCCATGGCAGGGCAATAATTAGACATTTGCGAAGGGAGGCCGGGCAATTCTCGCTGCTGTCTGCAGCTACGAAGGTAATTATACATATTCCGATTACGGAGTACCTTCTTCAGCGCGTTGTAGGCTAATGCTATGATGCGCATCTTACAGCTTCTTTCTGCCTCCAATACAACCGGAGCGACTATGCGCTGGGGTGTTGAAGGACACGTTAATTTCAGGGAGGGATTTCTCATTCTAAGCTTCTACAGCACCTAGTCGCACACTTGTGTGTGCCTGTATCCGTGACATATGCCATCCCATGTCTCGCATGTCAAGAGACGGACAGGGTCTCGGGTACGAAAAGCGGGCTCGGTGTGGAGCCTGACGGCCGATCTGCCCCGCGATCTGACAACCACACTACGGAGTGATCACCGGTCGGTATTATACTGTGCGCTAGTGTATTGTATGTATGTAAGGTACATACAGCACATACGTACCAACGTAGTAGCCATGGCAGAAATGGCGGAGGCGAAACGGGACTGGTCAGTAACTGAGCAGCTCAGTAAACTTGGCATTCATCTCAGCGCAATGTTGCTAAAGCAAGACGAACTGTCTTATTGGAGCCTCAGCCGATGCAGACAAAGGTCCCGGCAACAACGCATTTGTTCTCTGAGCGGCCGACGCCGATAACCTGGAAAGCCATCAAGGTCGGGTGCATCATCGCATCCATCTGAAGGTGCCTTTAAACGTAAAGACGGGAGCAAATAGGTCACTCCGTATCCTAATTTGTTCAAGGCATTGATCACGTAACCATACGGCAAACGCTGTGAGGCGGCGACCAGGTGCAACACAGTGCTGTAGTGTACACTAAGGTACCAAGGCGAGCAAGGGCACATCTGGAACCCTTCGAGAAGCTGTGGAGGTCTGAAGTGCTTTTTGTTCGTTTTGCGATCTGCAAAAGGTTCAACGGGCCCCTGCTAGGACTTGCATTCCTCACCCCTCCAAACCCAGGACTCAGGCCCGTCACCAATCAATATCCCCTAATCCGTGCAACTCGTCGAGTCGTTAACATCCATGATGCCCAGTCAACAGCCCAACCCAGACTTGCCTGCGCAATCCACATATTAAATGCGGAGAGGGTTGCTACGGGTGAATTCGTATCGGTCTATCCCATCCTTGACCGATCCGTATTCTGTAGAGAAAAATAACCACCTTTCTCCAGGAATGCCGCGTCATAGTTCCGCTTCCTCGGTCATCTTCCAGGATGGCTGTGTATCAAAGTTAGTCACACGCAAGGAAAGAGTGCCGCATCACCACTCCCCGGCTGGCGGAAGTTCTTCCGGGCGCTTGGGAGTCAGACGACGTCAGATCTCAATCTCAACTTAGACAGTATGCATCCTCCGCTCAACCTTCTTGGACAGCCAGCATACCTACGAAGTAGTTAGTCACTCAGTTCCTACCTACATATTCCGGCCCTCTTTTACAGCAGGGCACTTAAATTCGTACCTTGGTTACACATACCCCGCATACGAATACTGTGTACAGTACATGAGAATCCAGACCGCATCGATGCATCTTATCCTAGCAGGGGTCATCGAGAAGGCAGAATTCCTGGACCTTGAACTGTGACCTGCACCTACACGTGTAGCTGCTTCATCCAGTGTCAAGCTTCGAAATCCCAGGTGGGTGGGATTCAATTCACGATGCGGCATCCCGCGGGGCAAAGAAGCTTCATCCCTATTACATTCCTTCCTCACCGCTCCTCCTGCAAGCGATCAACGCATGCCAGTTGTCAACTGCGTTACACAAGCGAACCGGAATACGCTGCCGCGTAGGCAGCGTTTCGTCTCTTAGTAGTCTACAGTAGTTCTAGGTACTCTGATCAAAGTTGGCACGTTTGGTTTGAATATTGTCGGGTAATCTACATGTCTCAAGGACCTGTTGTGCTGAGCTACGATTGACTGAGCCCCCCTGTCCCCACCCTTCTTGCTAGGGATTGTCGATTTATACGATTACGCCAACCAAACCCCTTGACACCGATCCTAAAAAATGCCGGATCTGCCTTGTCCCGCACCCATCGTCACACTCGCCTATCCCGTTTGCTTCCTGCAGATCAAGCAGGGAAGACAGCTAATGTAAGTCTATTAAGCTGTCTAACTATTGGATAGGTCCCCAAATGGCAGGCTTCCAGAAGGACCCCGAAGGATTTCTTTTCGCATACTTGTGCACCCGGACCCGGCTGGACCAGGATCGTTGGATAATGATGCGTAGTTCCACACTAAGATATGTTTTCCCATGAAGGGAACCGACCCAGTATTAATTGGATGCAAGCAAGAGGCAGGAGAGGCTAGCAGCAGACGCACTCAAGGCGGGCGAACAATCACACAGCGCCTATGCTCTGGGCACGCTCTCCTTTCGGCATCCGTTCCATTTGCCTCTCCCGAGGCGGCTCAGGGTCCTTCTCTTTCTCCTTACCCTTGAGACTGCTCTGTACCGAGGCACCCCACAGCGCGATATCGCTCGCCTTGCGTCGGAGTCCGCCGGCTTTTAGCCGTCTGACCTCCTGATACGCTCGATCAAGCTCCATCTCAATGCCACAGCGGACCTTGAGTGCTGACACGGCCGGCCACACGCTCTTTTCACCCTTCAAAATCCAGTAGTCGACCGTTTCCTTGGTCGGCGTCTCCATCAAGCGTGGGAAGTCATTCACCGAGACGTTGGGAACCAGTGTCAGGCTAGCGCTGGGAACACGCTCGTCGACGAGGAAGCGACGGATGCTCAGTGGCAGAAGCCCCAGCGTATCAAGTTGACGCAACCGGTGCCGGACCTCCAATCCAGCCATTCGCGCAGCGAAGGTCGCAGCCTGGCTAAATCTGCTCTGTGTCTGCATTATGGGGCCGTGCATATCGCTCTGGAGGAAAGGAATCAAGTAAGGCCGCGCCTGGCTAACAATGAAGTGGTTCACATTGAAGAGCTCTGCAACACGAAGTAGCGGGGACTCTTGGTCCTTGTACGACACGTGGGTCCAGTGCTTGAAGTCGACTGCGGCTGCGGCCTTCCAGGGAACAACGTTCCCATTCGAGTCTTTGCACATGATTTTGGTCTGCCTGTGCCCGTAAAATGTGGATGTTGAGGCATTGGACGCGACTGCGGCTGTCCATACCAGCTGCCAAACGTATCAGTTTTGGTTCCCACTTACATTCATTTGAGCTGGACGAAGACCTACCACATTGGGAGTGGTGATGTAGTTCAGGACAGTTGGGATGCCGGCCTGGTGGGCTGTCACGACTGTGATATTGAGGACCCGTTTGCTGCGTCGGTAGGCCTCCTCAAAAGTCATGTCCCCGATGTTAGCCCTGATGCAATCTTCCAGGACTTTGACGTCAAGGAAGTACCCCTCTTTCCTGAACCTCTGTATTCGACGCATCAAGGTCTCCCATCGGTTCCACATTGATACATTGACCCGCTGATTATGCTGAGCGGGATCCTTGCCCGGCTGGGTGAATGCGGAAAGATCAATACCGTCTCCCGTCAGCATCTTAGGCAGATCCTCCTCGGAGTGAGTCGCCACCAAAGCTGCCATCAGAGCTCCTGTTGCCGTTCCCACGATGATACGAGGGAGCAGTCCTCTCAGGAACAATGCCTTGGCAACACCCAGGTGGCACAGACCGAATATAGCACCGCCCTGGAGCACAAGAGCGCTCCGACCGAATGCCTGCCTCGTGTCGTGAACAAAGTCAAGCTTTGTCTGCGTCGTCATGTTGGCGTTGAGCGCCGGGCTCGGCATCTCGGAATTCCTCGAGCCGACGCTCCATCCTCCAGCCATATTCGCAATAGCCGTGATCTCATCCTCGTCCCTTGCCGGCCCGCCCGGTGTAGAGGTGCCACCTCGCGGCGGCGAAGACAGGCTCGCGATAGCCTCAATGGCCTCGGCAACCTGGGTAACATACTCCTCAATGAGAAACTTGGTCCCGGCGAAGCTGACATTGTACAGATGCGGAGCCGTGATATTCCCCAGGTTCCTGACGAGCCCGGACCGAAGCCAATTGACGAGGGTGTACACATCGCTGGAAGCTCGTGCCCTCTCAATGCTTCGGAGCCGCTCGTTAATCAGCCTGTAGTCGTAGTGCCTGCTTGTGGGGTTGTTGCGCCACATGTCCAGGCCGAGGAGGTTGTCAAGGTTCAGTGCTGCCTCCTCCCATTGCTCGAAGTCGGTGGCCTTGTTCAAGGCGTTGAGCCAGACCTCCACGGGAGAGCGGCTTTGCCACCATTTTTCGAGTTTCTGTCCAGCCCATCATAACCACCATTGTCAGAATGGGACCTCCCCAATTCAGGAGGGCAAGCACTGTGGGGTAAAGACAACGTACCTGATGCCAGAACGCGGTCACGTACACGATCAACCGCCAGATCGCGCTAATGATCACCCACACCATCCTTCAGCGCTGTTGGTATGCCCAGATGACCCAATGCTTTGATGATATTCGTACGTGTAGATATGTCCAAGACGCGAAAAAGAAAACAAGACGCAAAGTCGATGGTGGATGCCGCCAGCGGTCGTCTTTCGAGCTTCAGTATAGGTTGGCAGTCCCAAAACTAATAGCCATGTCGTGCCAGGCGGGAAGAGTGAGTGGAAGCAAGGTCAATGTAGAGCTATGGCAGTCGGGTCATGACGGACCAAGCTTGATCGGCTGATGAGGGACGGGCCTTCCGCCGTCGCCCATTACAACTGCTTTGATGAAACGAACTATACGTAAGGAAGGAAGCAAGGTATAAGATGAATGGAAGGATGGATCCAGTTTCTAAGTTCGATACTGCGGGTGACATTTTGTCGCCTCCTGCCTTCGAGTCGCAGGGGGTCCGGATGTTTCCAATGGCATGTGAAAATGCGTTCCAAGATTTCCCGGCTCCAACCCAGATGCACCCCACAAAAATAACCTGCGGTCGAACACCCGTAAGTTACCGTAACTTACAGTAAGCTGTAAGGGGCCTTGATTCACTGGGCCCTTGGCAAGTTGGCTCTCTGGGTGCTGTCTCGGAGCCGTTGGCGAAGCAATTCCATACGGCTTGACTTCTAAAGGTCCAATGTCTAAGGTGAATCGCCTTGTATTGGACAGAACTGCCTCACTGGCCGCATATGTTTGGTCTTCAAACCTGCTATCTGCGAGTCCTCTGGATCTAAGTGAATCTAAGTGATACAGTATCTCTAAAACGACTCCCATTACGATGAGTCCACGAGGTAATGGATCATCTAAACCAAAGGACAAAACGCCCTTGATTAGAAAACCTATTTCCCCGAACTCGCCTTCTTCGATGACAGACATTGTCTCGGGTATATAACCATGCAAATCTATACAGCTCTAACGCGTACCCGAGTCCAGCCAGCCAGCGGTTGCCGATCTGTAGAACGAAGCGAGCTCTAATACCGCTACCAGCAGAAACGCGGGCGACAATGCCAAGTTGTCCGGCGGCCTGAAGTCCCGAGTCTCGATTTTGACCGCTCTCAGTAGAAAGAGATATCGCTCCCCGTTGGTTGCGTGATTGCCCGCCGAGATCTTGCCTCCTCGACTGGCGACTTCAGTCTCCAATCGGTGGTGTAGGGATCTTTTGGCGGAGTAACTCGGTCTTGACGGTTGACTCCATCTCGCTGGAACTCATTTCGACGCTGCTCCAGCCCGTCACTTTGTTGGCAAGTTCGAGTTTTTTCTCGCATGCCTTGTATACAAGTTCCTCAACGGTGCCTTCGCTGATCAGCCGGATGACCTCGACTGGCCGCGTCTGCCCCAGTCGGTGGGCTCGATTCTCGGCCTGGATGTCATCCTGGGGATTGTCGGACTGGTCAAAAATTATGATTTTGTTGGCGGCAGTAAGGTTGATGCCCGTGCCTCCCGAGCCAGTCGTCAGGAGGAAAACAGGGATCGACTCATCCGAATTGAACTCGTTGATCAACTCCTGCCGCTCACTGACATCGGTATTTCCCTGCAGCGAAAGGTATCCGATGCCTTCCGAGGCGAGACACTCTCCGAGTATCTCGATGACCTTCGCGAATCTGGTGAACACCAGTGCACGATCCCCGTTTGCTTGGTATTCTTTGATTAGCTTGAGCAACTCCCGGACCTTTGCACAATCCATCCAGGAACCGGCGGGAAGGTCGTAGCTCCTGATGCAGCGGTAGTCTCTGCACCAGAGATGAAGCTCAAAGTCGGATAGCGCCTTGAGCTCATTTATCAAGTGGTCAAGCCTTGGCTGCTTCAACTCCGACTGTGGGACTCTCTTCATCAAAATTTCGGCCATTTTCTCGACGTCTCGATCCTTGAAGAAACGGCGGAACAGCTGGGGATGGAGAGCCGATTTTCTCAACTGTATCCAGACATTGTTGGTATCGTTATCGCGGCCCTCTTTGACCGCGGCGCTGGAGCCCAGGGAATCGTCTTTGAACCGTCTCTCGTATTCTCGATACAGAGACTCTTGGACAGGATCCATTTTGCAAGTGATGACTCTCGCTGTCTTTGCGGGCAGATCCCGGAGCACCTGCTCCTTTCTCCGCTGGAGTATGAACGGTTCCAATATTGTCCGGGCACGAGCTACCCGCTCGCTATGCAGTAGAGCGCCCTTCGACACTGCCATCAAGGAGAGTTTCTGGTTGAAAAGCGCCTGGAGATTATCAAAATGATCTTGGAAGAGACGCGGCTCGACGAACTGGAGTAGTGCAATCATTTCCATCAAGTTGTTTTGGACAGGAGTTCCGGACAAAACGAGACGCCAGGTTGCCGTGATACGGAGCAGATCTCTGTACAACTTGGTTTTCGGGTTTTTCATTTTGTGGCCCTCGTCAAACACGGCCACCGTGGGCTGGAGCCGGCGGAGATTGGATATGTCATCATGGCGAGAGAGCTGAGAGTACGATGTTAGAACGACATGGTGGCTCGCCGGGTCATCCAGGATATCGTCCGCGATCTGGTCTCTGGCCGATTGGTTGCCCTGGTAGAGGGTGACGTTGAGCTTTGGCGCAAACCTCTTGAATTCTGCCGCCCAGTTCGCCAGGGTAGAGGGTGGGACGAAGATAACGTTGGGCCACGGCCGATTGGCTTCTTCCTGCCCGTATGTCTCCCAGTCTTCCACGATTGCACACATGAGTGAGATGACTTGACATGTTTTGCCGAGACCCATGTCGTCAGCTAAGATTCCTCCGTACTGGTTCTTATACAGCAGATATAGCCAATTGAGGCCGTAGATTTGGAAGGGTTTCATAGTACAGCCCTCCATGAGTTTCGGCTGGCGCAAAGGGATCTCAGTGAATTTCACAGAGTCCCCTATGCTGATGGGAGTTAGCGGCTTCCCATCGTCCATCTTCGTTTCGTTTCGTGGCTGCCCGGTTTGGTCGAGTTGCCATTTGGATGTGGTTGATTTGATGAAGTCGGCTTGAGATTCACACACGGCGATTATGTGGTCGATCTCATCCAAGGAGCGCGCATAGGACTTGACCGCCGACACGATCTCGTCACCAATGGAGACTTTCGCCGATTTCCTGCCCTTTTTCTTTCGCGACATGGTCACTCTCCTCGCTTCGTCCAGGTCGCCAAACGGTTGCCGCGCCACCATGACCTTTGCGCTATCCTCTTTGACATTTGCAATCGCAACTAGCTGCATAACATCGCACGTGTTCAGATAATTGAGGACCCGCTCATCAAAGGAGCTTTTTTCTGCAGTCTCGCCTTGAGAAGATTCGGGCCCGGGAGAAGCCTTTGTCTGTCTGTATGCGTCCGTGCCATCGTCGTCGCTAACGAGGTCAATCAATTGTTGTTTGGAAACTGAGGAATGGCTTGGATTTGGCTGCGAGCTCCCAGGACTAGATGCGCGGGGACGACGGCCTTGTACGAGTCGCCGTCGGGCCTTCGGTTTTGGAGGTGATGATTTCCGCAACGACTCCAGACTCTCTTGTGATGAAGGAATGACCCAATCCTTTTGAAGCACGTATGGCTTCGCGGAGCTCGTTACCCGGCCGCCAGAGGATGTTTTGGTATCCTGTTCTTACAGTCAGCGGAGAACATCAATTTGGAAGGACCAATTGTGATTACTTTTGCAGCTTCAGAGCCTTTCCCTGCCCTCAAATCGGGTGAGGGTTTCCGCAACGAGCCTAAACTCTCTTGTGACGATGAAACCGACACCCAGTCCCTTTGCAGCACGTATGGCTTCGCGGAACTCGTTATTCGATCGCCTGAAGAGGGTTTGGCGTCCTGTGCTTACAGTCAGCGGAGAGAATCAGCGGGGAAAGACCAAGTCTGATTACCTTTGCAACTTTCGAGTTTTTTTCCGTCGCCGAATTGGAAGAATCCCTCTCCCGACGCTGGAACGAGGAAGGACGAATATCACCCCTCGACGGTTGAGTGTCGTCGTCCGACGAATCGCCACCCGCGTATATAGGCGCATCTAGCTCGTCGTCGGAAATCATGATATACTCCCGCTTCGGTGCGCTCTTCTGAAGGGGCAATGGCTGACGAGCGGGTGCTCTGAAGGCGGTGCCAGCAGGCGCGATCGAGTTGGCCAGTCGTCCCGATCGTTGCAGAAGAGATTGCGGTCTGAAGGGAGACGAAGCGGGCACTTCCACGATGGATTTGGGCGACGAGCCGGCCATTGGCTGAGGCCGCGAAGTTGGATGCTCTACAATTTGGGTTGGCTGAGTGAAATAAGGTGATTGTTCGACCACGCTGAGCTCGTCGTCGTCGATGTCTTCGAAGGCGAGTCGGCGCCTGCCGGCGGGCGGTGAGGAAGAAAACTCCATTGTTCGTCGAAGTTTGAGACTCAATGTGGAATCTGAGGAGAGAAAATCACGAGAGACCCGCAGTCTGAGGCTCAGGGAGACGAGCAGTAACGAAGGGCTTGTAGTTGATTTAGCAATCACCAACCAGTGGCTCTGGAATTCAGGGTTCACCGCGGTTTCACGATGGAATTGATTGCTTAACAAGGAGAAACAATGTGGATTCTTTGGACGATTGAGCGAGCTATCGTGAGGAACAAAGGCGCAGACCCGATCAAGGGCACAATCCGCGTTCTTTCCCCTCGATTTCGGTTTGAAGAAGTCAACAAATCCATGGAGTGCAAATTGAGAGAAGCACCCAATGTTCGTCCGATCGGCGACCCACACGCGTCCGTCGGTAGGTAAATCTAGTGGGGCGACGCGACAGAAGGCTCCTCTGCCAATTCACGTTTGCACGTGCGCCAATCCCATCAATTAACCCCTGGTATCCGTATTAATTACATACAGTACCTTACAATACCCCCTTGGTTTGTTCGCTAGCGCCTGACTTGAAGACAGTTGAAGACAGGGCTCAACCTCAAAAGTCAGATCTCGACAGAAAAACAGCCACTTCGCTCACAGGTATAATAGGTAAATAAAACAACAATTTTGAACATTGCTAGATGCTTCATTTTTTTGCGTTGAAGTATTCCCTCCGGCTGTTGAGCTGTATCTTTTTGAAATCTGGACTAGGACCTCTGTCCTGAGTTCCGCGCTAACAAACAAACAAGGGTTGTATTGTACACAAGGTCGTCTAACAGCTCGACAGCATACCTTACCACTGCTCACTTCAGCATAACCTTTCCCGTTTGAAATTCTCCTCCAAATATATCTCGGACCGCGAGACTCCCTTCAAAACCGTCTAGAGGCCGTCTTCCATTATATACTGCAGCAAAGGTTTCCTCTTCGCTCCCTAGCTGGACTGGTCGCCTTACTCTCTCCCTTTGCTTCTCCAATCGTACAACACAGCAAGGTCTCACCTCTCTCATCTCATTAGACTCATTGCCACCATGGCCACCCGTAGAATCATCTCCCAAGAAAAGACACTCCTCGAGAAGGATGACCGGATCGGTTCCAGCCCAGCGGCCAATGAAAAGTCCAACATCCGCCCAGCCGTTCCCACGTATGCTACCTCTTTCCTTATCCACCTGGTCTCATCGCTAATTGCATCACCTTCTCTCAGGTCCGTCATCGTCAAACTCCTAGCCTTCACTTTTGCCATGATAGTGATGCCCATCAGTTCATATTTCCTAACCGTGAACACTGTGTTCGGCGGTGCGTGACTTCTCTCTTCCGTTATCCTCACATTGCCTTTACATCCAAACTTTGAATAAGGGCCCCCGTTCAGGGTACGATATCATCCTGACAATCTCACAGGCAACTCGACGTATGCCGGCGCCCTTGCGGCCATTATGGCCAATGTTGTTCTTATCGGATACATCTTGGTGGCAATGGCGGAGGACCAGTCGGACCAGCAACAGCAAGGACAGTCAGGGGAAGGTGCGCCAAAAGAGGGCAAGAAGGACAGGTGAGAAAGGTTAGACTCTTTACCCTTGTACTATGGCATGTATATGATCGGATCGACACGATATCAAAAACACCAGTCTGGTGTTTACCATGGGATGTCTGGGGTCCCTACCGAGGCCATGATAAGCACCCGGTTCTACGCAGTTGTGGCCCAGGAAAAAACATCAATTGGCGGAATCGCATCTACATGCGGGATGAAACGGGCTTTTCACAGCACGATGACTATGAAGACTGTCATTTCTTCCCTCTCTACAAATTAGCTTTTAGCATTGAAGACTACGTAAATTTGGCACCTATCCCAACTAGAGCCCCAACTAGAGCCACATCGGCTCCTGTACCACATGGGAAACTGAGCAAAGGAATGAGAATAAGGAGACATAAGCACCATGGGAAGGAGATGCTAGGTAGCTGACGATCGCCTCCAAAACAAGACCGCTCTCATTAATTTCCTCGCGGATCAATAGTAGACCCAGGCTGCACCTGCAACATGTCCGTCATGCGCGTTCGATCGGTAAACATCTACACATCCCCGCTTCTTAGTATCATAAAACCCATTCCGAATCCCGCTGCCCAGTGCTCAAGTAACTTCAATTCCGCTCATCATTGTCCAAGCCCTTTCGCGCGCTTTCTCATATCCATGATCCGATACCCAGCAGCAAGTTCATATCAAAACGGCGCAGTCTCGAAAAAATCAATCAATATTTACCATACCAGCTTTCGTGCAGTACCGGCCAACAGTCCCCGCATATGGTGGCCGGGAGAAACAGGAGGGTATCGAAACAAAAAAACAAAGAGGGCGCTATTCCCGTCGAGCCGGGCCGAGCCCCCCGTTAGCCATGTCTGCTAAAACGTCTCGCAAGCCAACTCTTTCGCTTTTCGGGTGCTGCAGGTCGCTGCTGCTGGACATGGTCGGTCGATATTGGTTTCCGTAGCACCGTTCCCTGGTCCTTATGGGGAACTGGAGGCGGGTTCATCCCGTTACCGAGTGCGCCGCTTGCCTGGTGATCGTTGACACCTCGGCCGTTCATACCGGCGGCACCTTGCATGCCCAAGACAAATTGCTGTGGCTGATAAGCAGGCCCTTGGCTAAACCCAATCCCGTAGTCATTCGCAGGCTCCGTATGGCGTTTGGGTGGGGACTGTACACGCTCAATTGAACTGTTGTCGCTGCTGGTTGGATCGGTTTGATATCCTGCTGGGTCGGCTGATGAACCACTTCCCGCCGCGCTCGTGACTGTCTCATAGGATCGGTGGTTGCTAGGAATGGGAGATTCGTTGACGTTCGGGTGGCGCTGTCCCGGACCGTACTGCGGCTCAGGATACATCCTCGGCCATCCCCGCCGGGGACCCTGCCCTGGAGGTCCATAGTAGCCGGACCCTGCTTGCTGATCGCAGTAGGTGTCTCGTTGGCCCATAGCGCCCGGCCTGAGGTCATACTGGCTGCCATCGGGCCGGTTGGCGTAAACGGTAGAGGCAGGGCGACTTCCATAATAGCTGTCGTGCGTAAACCGACTGGCAGTGCCATCTGGCAGCCTAGTGTAAGCATTATCCATAGTCCAAAGCGATGGAACAACCTACTACCACCGTAATAGCTCGCTCTCTTGTTGCCTCCCCATAGCCCGGGCTCCGGATCTGTTCCGACGGTCCAGGTTAGCAAGTCCCTCTGTTTCGGCGTCTTGAGGTGGCGGTAGTACCTGGGCGAATCATAGACCTTCGGTTGCTGTATCCGCCATCAATCGCTGCCTCAAAACTCCGAATAGTGTCCAAGGGACGCTCCCATCGACTGCGGGTTGGATTGGAGCGATCGGGGTCCGCTGTCATTGAGCACGGATTAGATATTGCACAAGGCGCAGGAAACGAATACAAAACATACCAATTGGGTTTCCATAAGCGTCCTTGTGTTGAATACTCCTCAACGAAGCGAGGGAAGACTTGACCGCAGCGGCAACCTGGGCTGTAGGGAACCGGTGCATTAGCCTAGAACCGGAGGGTAACAGAGATGATATTGCGATACTCACAAGGCTCTGCTTCCTGCATGGCAAGTGTCGGGTCTGCCTTGCTGTGCAGTCTCTTAGCTTCCTTCTCAGCGGGCGTCTCATGCAGGTCGATCTTGTGAGTTCCAGAACCGGTAGACTTGTGAGACTTGTCAGATCGGAAGCTCAGTGTTCGGGACTTTCTGGAGGGCCTCTGCTGCGCTGAGTGCAGTTGGGGCTGGTAGTTCTGCGACGGCGAGGGCTGCTGGAACTGATAAGGCGGGACGGACGGAGGATAGTTTGGATAGTCGGCCGCGGACGCCATCTTGTCCGCCGGGAGAGACATCAAGTTTATTATTTCGGGGCTTTTTCCTGCCGGGGTGTGAGCGCAAGATTCCTTGCCGATTGATCCACAACGGGTCCAAAGCGATCGTGATGTGCAGCCGAGCCTCCGATAGCAGTTAGGCTGGCTGATCTGGACGGAGCGCCGAGGTGGGGGGTATCCACGAATACCGATATCTGGTGTTGCGATTGCGCTGCCTGCTTTGTTGGTATCTGCAGAACCACAAAATGCCTGTCGCAGGTCCTTTGAAATCAAGGCGGCGTGTCTGGCGTGTCCCGTCGTGGCCGTTCGTGGTCCAAGCAAATTGGAGAACGCGCGGAAACAAACAGCCAGGCGGCTCGCCACAAGTAGGTGATTATGCAGCCGTAATGCCCGTTGACAGATCGTGAAGATAAGGCGTCCAGGCTGACAAGGGTCGAAATCGCTGAGCTGACTGTACTTATTCACCTCGCATCCCCAGAACACAGTTTTCCGAATCCCGTACGGAGTTCTTCGCACACCAGGACAATTCAATCCAATGCCCTTTCTGCGCGGTCTCAATATGTAGGTATGTAGGTATGTTCTTTGCTCTGTTGCTCGATCTCTTCTCGGCGAGGAGCCGATCAGCGACGACTAGGTGATTTGCAAGTGGAGTCCAGGGGGACTTGCTCGCAGTTGTTGAGACGGCGCTAAGGCCGGAGGATGAGTGACAGTGGGTGAGTGGCTTCTGACAGCCCGGCCCGTGACGTCAGCACCGCTGTAGCAACGCAGCCCCCACCGAATGAATTTGTTACAGACCGAACACCACCGGGATGCGTCGGGTGGGTGGCTGCTGGCGATATTCTACGGAGGTAGTTATGTAGGTGGTCGAAGCGGACCTTTTAAAGGGGATCTTAACAGCAACGGCGAAGTCGTTGTCTGCCTTAATTTGGCTCGAGGAGGGTAATTGGTCGTGTGGTGAATACGAGGCTCGCCGTAAAGAAGTGCTTTGCATGCGCAGCAAGGAAAAAGAAGCGCTAACGTTAATCAATGTTTTTGATCGATGTTGCTCGCGCTAGCGCATACTGACTCGGATAGGAAGTGGATGGTCCGTGCCCGTATTCCTTTGACAAGGTTCGATTGGCCTAAGAGAAACGAATAGAAACCGATGCAAACAGCAACTGTAGTTTGAAAGAATAATCGAAATGCTGAACGAGCGTGAGTGAGAGATGCTTGATGGATATAGGGGCCACAGAGCAGGGGGCAACAACGAAGCGTCCAGGTGTCCAGAAGTTTCAAGATGGAAAACTCCAGGCAAAGCCCTTGGCGGGATACCAGTATCTTAAAAGGATGATTCGATTATGGGTGCCGTTGAGAGGATGGTCGCCTGGGAAAGTGGGAAGGCGCGGGGCGTAACCCATGCTTGCCTTGAATGAATTCGCCAATGAAATTCGGACCCAACAGGGACAACTCCGTACCTTTCTCGATTTTTGATGTTCGCCGTGCGACCAACTTCCAGGTTTCTTCGACAACGCACCACTCTGTCAGAGTACCCTGACAAGCTTTTGATTGGAGAGCAGCAAGAAGATTGACACCACCGAGCTACAGTACACCGTTGATCCTCAATGTCGAGTAATCTACACCAGCCTTACCACACAACGTTATAAACTGTACTGTGCTGTATTCGTACCTGGCTGACGATCGGTTGCCCCAGGCGCCCACCTGTCTGAACTGGGTCCATCCTTGGCGTGTTGTAGCGGGTCTGGGGTGATGGGCGGAGTGGATTCGTGGCCAAGCCAAGAATACGGGAGACCGCTGCGCCTCAAATTGACGACGCATCTGCCAAAACCCGTCGCAGTGAACTTGTTTTCTGCATGACACCCCTCACCATCTCTAGCCATCCGATCCATCTTGAGGCGATATTCTCACAATCATGCTAGCGGGCTCGAACCAGGCCGTCAGCAATGCATAAACCCAGCGGTAGCGGCGGCCACAGCATAATAAACCCGTCCCGTCATTCACTGGGTTGGCATTGTGTCCTGGTCGCGATGCTCGCAGATCACCCTTCGGGAACGTTTCAACTTTAGAGCTGCAAGCAGCGGGACACAGCGGGGACACAGTAACACTGGCAGTAGATCCTACCGGTACTGCATATGTAGTGCGAAGTAGGCGTTAGAGCACAAGCTAACTTTGTAATATTGAGCAAAATGCAGGGACAGCCGTGCTCTATTTGCATCGTACACATGTGGTCGTGTGGATTAGGCCTTCTGCCGGAGAGGACCTCCTGGCTTAAGGTGTGTCTCCTGCTGAGCTGTTCGCTGATCGACAATCATGACGTGAAGCAGTGAAGCAGCCGTATAAGTATAGATCCTCATCATCGGTCTAGATTGCCGTGTAAGCGTCTTGAGGGGTTGTGAACCAGAAAACCGTCGTTGCTTATCGCACGGCAGGCTCTATTCTCCAGTGTGGCTGACGGAGGTTCTCTTGCAGCGTCTCTGTCCAACAAGAGCTTAGGCACTGAGCCTCGTTTACTGGTGGACTCCTCGATTAAGATCTCGAACAAACTCAGTGAGTTCTCTCCCACGGCAAGTCTACTTTGAGGTAGGTACTAGTAGTTAGCGTAACGGCCAACGGCCGGGAACCTGCATGCTGCATGTCAGTCTTTGAGCGTAAACCGGATATCCCAAGCTTCATCAGCCCGTCAGGGTATCAATAGGATCGGCCAAAGCAGGTTTTCTCTGGTACATACCTACATAGCCCGCGCAAACCTCAAGGGGCGTTTCGATCCACATTGTGAGCTATACTACATGTAGGTGTACTCCAGTCGATCGACTTTCTGTAGTATCTAGCGGAGTGATGAACGAGATGTCTAGAGAGCCTATTTCTGTGTTTGTCAGAGGGCCTAATATAAGTACAACATACGTCCAAAAAGGTCGTGACGGCTCGGTATTGTGTAATCTCAAGCCGTTTAGGCATGGAAGGCCTGAAATATCTCGCCGAGGTGCGATATGTCTAGAAGTAGGTACCTACCTACCTAAACCCCCTATCTAACGTATAACTTGCAATACGTTGATGTGTAAATCATTTGTCCAATGCCCAACTTGGCAAGAAAATTGCGAGAATTCTGCAGGTCGACCATCCCGAGCCTGCTAACGTGCGGATAGCCTTTGCGCATGCTATGGACATATAAGATGGAGAACTGTGGGGAACTTGGGATAGCTTGCGGCATTCTTTCTGATTGTCTCGGGTTCTTATACGGTAACGTTCCTAGCTGTGTTGGTGCGACTCACATGTGATCCTGACATCTTATCGAGAAATTCGAGCTCTTCCACCGTGAAGCCATAGCGCCCCACTCCACTTCACTTCACCACCGACGTCGCCCCGGGCGCGCTGAAGGCATGAACTGGCAACAGCTCATGGGGACAGACGAAACCACAAGGCGTACATACATACAATACCAACACGCCTTGTAGAGTGCCATGCCTCCATTCGGCATTCCAGAGTCACCACATGCACTCCACTGCTCTTTCACGTCGGCCTTGGCGTCGAGTTCCGGCAGCCCGTTATCGCCGAGGCCCTCACCCAAACCGCAAACCATGATCGACTTCTTTCTCATGCCCTACGCGACGAGCAGCATCTTCTACGCTCTCTCCGCAGACCAATCGCTAGCGAGCTTCCTGCTTCGGACATAATGTCAATCCCGTCGACAACCGACATAGGTTCGGGCGCTCGGGGTATCAGTGGCTCTATATCCAGGCCTAAATCCTAAGACCGCTGTCGACCGCAAGGAGTACACCAACTATAGAAGGGCCTCCTTGGTCCTCTCATCGACTAAATAGCACAAACCTAGCCTGGTCAGCCAACTAAGAGTCGGTTTCTAACCATAGCACACTCAGTGCGCATACTCCTACTACACCTTGTGCTGTTGCAATGGCCAGACAAGCTGCCCTCACCAAAATCGCCGGCAAGGCAGTGCGCCCTGTTGGACTGGGACTGATGGTTAAGCAACCAAGCCTCACGGGGGAATAGGGTGAGACTTGAGGGCCATTTGTCTACCCAGTTCCGGGCTGATACTGAAGTACTTCTACTGTCCCAGGCCTAACCCGCCCTTGGGCGCTCACCGACTACTCCGCCGCGGCCAAGATCATGAAGAATGCACTTGATCACGGCGCCAATTTCTGGAACGGGGTAAGCATGCTGCCCGCTGTACCCTCACATTTCTGTGCGGACCCTTTCGAAAGATCCACTGTGCTCATCTGAGAGTCATCTTCACGTCCAGAGTCTGCATTACGGGCCTCCTCATGCAAACTCGCTGCAGCTGCTCAAGTACTACTTCGATAACCACCCGGAGGACGCAGACAAGGTCGTCCTCAGCATCAAGGGGGCATACGACCCCAAGACCCATACCCCGGATGGTAGCCCGGAAGGCATCCGGGCGTCAGTTGGGGAGGCCCTCAAGGTGCTGAATGGCGTCAAGAATATCGACATTTTCGAATGTGCGCGCGTTGACCCAAACGTGCCGATCGAGACGTCGGTCCGTGCTCTGGCAGAGCTTGTCAAGGAGGGTAAAATCGGCGGGATCGGGCTCAGCGAGGTCAGCGCGAACACGATCCGTCGCGCCCACGCTGTGCATCCGATTGCCGCTGTGGAGGTAGAACTGAGTCTCTTTACTACCGATCCGCTTACCAATGGTGTGGCCGACACATGCCACGAGCGTACGTATTAGTACCTATCCTCTGATTGCTCATGGCCCTGGAAAGTGACGCTATGTTATATCACTTCGTGCTAAATAACTGGGTACCTGATTACAATAGTTGGCATCCCTCTCATCGCCTACAGCCCCATTAGTCGCGGCTGGCTGACGGGCGGGTTCCACAAGCCAGAGGACATACCCGCGAACGACATGCGTCGCATCCTGCCACGGTTTCAGCCGGGTGTTTTTGAGAAGAACTTCAAGCTCGTCGAGGCGGTGGAGCGGATTGCGAAGCGCCGCGGAACCACCGTCGCGCAGTTGGCCATCGCGTGGGTTCTTCGCCAGGGGGCGATTCCTATTCCCGGGTCGACAAAGGTCGAGAGAGAGTTGTGGAGAACTGCCAGGACGTTCCTTTGACCGAGCAGGACCTGCAAGAGATTCAGAAGTTGCTGGATGCTCTGCCTATTGCCGGAGAGCGGTACGGGGGACAGCATGAGAAGCTCCTTAACTTGTAGGCGAAGGGTTGGATCTCGGAGTAAAAAGCCAACAGGGGACTCTTGGGCTCCTCCTTGTGGTCGATTGGCAAGTTAGGAGGAGTCCCAAACACTATCTCAGAGCTCAGTCGAGTAAGTTCCCGCAGTGGAACCTGGTTCATTTGATCCTGAGGGTGGCCACGCTTCGGTATATCAAGCAAAACCAATCCTGAGGCAACGAATGTACATTGACGACCCCGAGACGGAGTTGACAGGTAGGAGTGCTATATTACATGAAGTCTAGTGGTCCTTCTCCTCCCGTCTAAGGGGTATCTCCTCACTAACGACTTACAGCCATCGTCGTACAAGCCCGTGGAAGCACCAGCAAACCCGCCACATGGTCGACGGATGCTCAACATTGCTATCCAAGGCAAGTGACAAGCCTCCCATTAGTACACGGGCACCTTGAAGGCGGGGAAGTCGTAAGTCCAGGCCTCAATACTCTTCTTGTCCGTCACGCACTGAAAAGAATCAGCTTTCTTCCAGAGCGGACGTGTCGGCCACTGGCAGAGCATCTGGGTCTCGCCGGAATAGTCGCCCGAGGAAACCGTGGCATTGAGGCGGGTAGGCTGGACGCCGTTCTCCACCCAGTCAATCATGATGTCCATGTTGTTCTGAGGGTAGGGGCCGGGCTGGAGCGAGTTGCTGCCACAGTGGCCTGCGCCGGGGACCAGGTAGAACTGATACCACTTGGCCATGTCCTTGAGAGCCTTGTCATCCGCGACACCGGGGTACATAACGCTCCGCACAGACTGCCAGTAATGCACCGAGGAAGCAGAAGGGATGCTGGGGTCGGATTCGCCGTGGTAGTGGAGCAGCTTTCCGCCAGAGGACTTGAAGGTGGTAAGATCCGGCAGGGTTGTCTGCAGGGTGTCCAAGTACCGGTACATGCCAATTGTCATCCACTCAACCAGCGTGTCGTACGTGACGCCATCCAGGTCAGACAGGTTGTCCAGGTCGAGGAGCTGGACGAACTTGGTGACATATTCGCCTCCGGTCGAAGGGATGTTCAGTTCCCATTCACCGCTTTCCGAGCTGTAGGTCGGGTTCGCATCCGAAAGCTGAGACCCAATCTGCCACGAAAGATAGGCCCTCTCCCCGGCGGTGTTGTGCAGCCCATCGTAGATGGCCTGAGCGACGGCGACGCCCTCCTTGGTGACGGTGCCGTTCTGAGCAGGCTGGTAGCTTGTGGTGCTCCCCGAGGTCTGCTGACGCTTCTGGAACCCGAAGCCCAAGGAAGTGCTGTTCTTCTCGGCGCAGTAGTAGGACTGTCCGATGATCGACTTCATGTTGAAGTTGAGCTTGCAGAGATCGGTGCGAGAAATGACGCCGTCCTCCCGACCATCGAGCTTATCGCAGCCCTTGATTGTGGCGTTGACAATCGTATCGAGCTCACAGGGGGGCGGGAGATAGCCAAGAGTCTTTTCCACTGCGGAGGAGAAGACGTGGTGGACTTGCTGCTGGGCAAAGCGGAAGGCCGGGGCGCCTGCGATGACACCATCGTACTCGTCGCCCCAGCGCTGAACCTGGCTCATGCCCTCGCGTCCACCGTCAGAGCAGCCCTCGAAGTACGTGTAGATCTTGGTGTCGTTGGAGAGTCCGTAGAACCCCTTGGTGATGTACTTTCCGATCTTGGTCTGCCAACGACGTCAGCCACCTTTCTCCCTGGTCGTTCCAACACAGTAGTAACTCCAACTCGTTACATTGTACGTACCATCTCGCCCAGTGCTTGGTAGCCGAACATGTGGGTGGCATACCAGTTGATGGATCCATTGCCATAAAGGACGACCTGGTCGTACGACTGGTCGAAGGCGTCGTATCCAGCATCGGTGGCCCCGCCGGCGGCACCATAGCTGAGACCTCCCGTGGCAGACGACGAGAGGGAGAAACCGCCTCCACCGCCGACGTAGAAACGGTTCTTGAAGTCCGAAGGGCTCGGAAAAGCGTACTTGAGATTGACCTCGTCGCCCTGGCCAGGGTGCGTGTACGTGACGGTGACAGCGCAGTATTGGGTTGAGAAAGACTGTCTTCTCATCATTGGCATGCCGCCGCCCATACCGCCACTGGTGGAGGAATTGGTCACCGTGGCTGTGACGGAGGACGGAATGAGACTGAGGCCCAACAGCGTGCCATTGGAGGGCAATGCAGCCTGCACGTTTGATACGGTGCAGACGTCGCTCAGAGACAGGGCTCTGGCGGTGAGCTTGAGCCAGGAGGACATGGCCGGTAACGGTCGAAAGTTTCGATGATAAACGAGTGAATCCTTAGTATGAAACGAGCGGAAGCAGTTGGGTCAGAGTGGTAAAGTGAAAGCCTGGGAGACAATCCACGCAGCGTGCCATCGTGGCCTGATCGAGGGAGGGCGTGGTCGGTTTTATTGTTTTTTCCCCCCCTCCTCATCAGTCGAAACTCACGACGGCATACTTCGTACACATGTAGGGGTTACCATGGCTTCGTCTCCGTTGGACCTTGCCCGCCTTTGCAAAGCCACCCGGCAGCAATCGTCATGAACCTTTCGCAAGGCTCAGCCCGTTGCGGTTGGCCCTTGGGTGAAATGAGTTGCAAGTGGGACAGGACTCCATGATCTCCATGATGACGTTATAACGCGCGTCGCACCTCTTCACCGGGAAGAGCAGGCCTCGGTCTAGACTCCGGCGGTTTTGTCGGTTGAATTGGTGAGAACCAAAGGGAGAACCGGATGCTCCTCATCAAAATGCTTGGGAAAGGGTGACGGAAAGAACCCTAGAAGGAAGGAACAAAGGTAGAAACAGACGCTCCGCTGCTCCGCTAACTTGGTAACTGCAATCATTCAGCACTCCCATTCACAGCTGCTCCCGAGTTCAGATGTCGTTCGGCTGTCAGAACAACAGCCGGTGCTGTGACGCTGCCCACCTAGGGTAGCCATGATAGCAAGCCCCTGGAATCAGAATGAAATAGGAGCTTGCGCGGCAACTTCAGCTGATTCGTCCGACATCGGCTATTGAGGAGTATCCATACCCATGTAGCTATGGTTTACAATTTTCGTAGTTGCACTTCCCTACGTTGTAAAGCGAGACTCCATTCTTAATATCACTTATGTTAATTGCACGATATTCAGAAGCTTTGAGCCCAACACCTATTGCGCCCACTAGCCTGTAGTGTTGCTGTACCTGCAGCAGCGCATCGGCTGCCAAGCTTGTCTTGTCGTGATTTTTCGGGATGCCAAGAACGGCAAACTCCGGAAATCTTGCAGAGAAGATCGGCATCCAAGACCCGCCAAGACGGGGCTGCGAAGCGCGCTCGGGGCACGTTAGCTGAGTTCCACGTGGAAATTCAATTGCCGGACCGGGTGGACCCATGGCCCGCAATCTCCGTTCGACTCCCGTCCCGGCAGGCGGCCCCCTGTTTACCAAAGGTACGAATAATTACAGACACTTCACTTCACGTGGCAAGCTGTGGAGGGAGAATGTTAGATCATCTCCGTGTAAGTTGCTCTTTATGAAATCGACCCAATGACAAGCAGAGGCGTCTAAGCATCATTTCATGAACTTGTGATCGAGAATACGGATACTACAAACAGTAAAGGGAGTTTCCATAAGCACCACCCATCCTTCAGGTATTGTATATACAATACAGTGCATACCTGTTCTCTTCATGAGGTGTTGCTAATGTGAGTTCGGTATTTATAGCTCACCTAGTCTCTCCGTTCCCACTACCCGCAACCCATGGGACTACCCTACTGAGCCTCATATGCCGAGCTCCACCTACCTACGCGGTTCTATTCATTCTCCCTACTTCAGCGATGCGCCGAACATCAACAGCTTTTGAATGGACCGGATCAGCTGCCAGGGACTGGCGGTGTTGTCTCCTGTCGTATTCCTCAGCCGATGTTTTTCCCGCCCGACCTTGTGCAGATGAATCGAGGCGTAGCAAACCCAGAGGCAATGATGGGCTTAACGGGCCCGATTGGGTTGGGAATACGATAACAAGATGAGATTGTATGCTGGCCACCGATACTAGAGCCGCTGACCCCCGGATTCCCATCCAACGAGCCAAGGTACAGTACTCGACTACACGTACGTCGGGCTTCTTTTATTGCCATCCGCCCTGGCCATGCTCTGCTCGTCAAAGGCTTGAAGTCTGAGACCTAGCTCGAATGGTGAACGAGCAGATACTCATCCGGGCCTTGAACCTCAAAGACAGCCATAGCCTTTTTTGGCCCAGTTCAAAACCTTCTGCGGCTCAGATGAGGCCATGGTTTCAATATTCTTCATCCCTGACTGAAGGTGGGATTGCTAGAATAATTCTTGTGATGCTCGGGTGATGTTAGCTAGTGCTTCTTTCCCAGGTTGTTTGTAATGGCGACTCCGATTAGAAAGGTTGTAGAGGATTTCAGGGAGACTCTACCTTGGGAGACCTGCCTATAATATTGATTTAGGTTTGTTCTGCTCGAATTCATTCCCAGCGTTTCTGTCCCTCTGTCTCGGCCAGCCTCAAGCTGTTCTGGCTATGTAGACTGTAAAATAGTCCTCAGGAAAGTTCGTCTGCTTTCCCACCTGACACCCATTTGCTTGCCCAAGCACAGTCCGAGTGACGGTGGTCTGTAGCCACTGCAACATGGTCGGTGTTCTCCTGGTGTGCCAGTCGCCATCATCTGCCTCCCAGCTCTTTGTTCGTCGTTCTCCCCACGGCGACCTCCCGGTTTGTCCTCCACCGCCCTAAGCCAGCCGCAGTATCTGTTGGGAATTCTATATGTCAATACTTCCCTTTCTGGACCTGGTCGCTCTACCTTCGGGTCTTGATGAATAACTACACGTATACATCGGCAGCAGTTTGATCAGCAACTCTTTCCCTTGATGCTCAGTAGCTGGCGCAGCTGGGTTCAGAACAGGGGTAGTCATAATCAGCGGCTATCGGACGGGTGTGTCATGTCACGCGTTTGCTGCACCAACTCGGTGTTTCAAAGCGCCGGCACTCTGAGAAATCCGTTATCATCCTGAGAGCGCTAAAGTTAGCAGTGAATTCGAAGCTAGCCATAAGAGAGAGCCTCCGGTGGGCCATGGATCTGGTTGACAGGTCTGTTGATAAGTGCGTCGAGAACCCTCCAATGCCAGCCTTCCTCTGCTTGACACCACTGTTGGCTACGCATAAGGCCACCCATCTGGTCGCAATTGCCGCGCATTGAACATTCAAATCCGAGGCTGGCCATTATCTCCCTCTTCATGACACGGAGAAGACGATGGTCTTCCCTTGAGCTTCCATATTTCCCTGATCAATTACGCACTGTCTCGCACCCGGTTTTGCGGATCCTCAACGGCTTTTTGATCATTTGGTATTGCCTTGATTTGAATGCTAGAAGCAAGGCTGTGTTTGTAGAGGCCTTGCCTATCCCTGATGCACCGAAATCATGAACCACCTTTACCAACCAACTCCGGCCCAACCCATTTGCCTTAAATCGAGGAGGGGTAGAGCATGATGCGAACCGAGGCGCCAAAAGATCTCGCAGGAAGAGGGTTTGTGAACTTCGCCCGAACAACACCAGAGTTACCTGAAAGAGTCAGTCCAGTCCATTCCACGCTACGAGATCGTAGCCGTCAGACAGCCTACCATGTGGTCTCGTCACCTTCCCCCAAATGACACGGATCTTGGTGCCGCGCACCTCCTTCTGGCCCCGGTAAACGTACGCGACCTTCTTGCCAAGGTAAAAGCTGTATCGCTCGTTAACCCCATCGCTCGTGTATCGGGATCTCGCAACGTACTTGGCAGCAGCCGTGTCATCGACACCCTCGATCTTGATGAGGCTGGTCCTGGGGTGGGTGTTGTGGCGTCCACGCTGATAGCTCAGGTGGCGACCCCTGTATGACGAGCGCAATTAGGTCAACGGTTCCATCAATAGTCCCTTCTTTCCGGCTGGTTATCGAGCGCTGCGAGATTCTGGTTCTTCGTACTGCGCTTCCGGGTCGCAGCTCGCCTCCCGATTCGGATGTCTCGCTGGGGATTGTACTCACTTCACGTATACTAAACAATACAATCAGCATGGCTCAACGAAGTAGACTAATGCACACAGAACAATTGCAGGATGTCGCGACCGGTCATTCCCGGTCTGCGCCAGCGCTGTCGAGGCAGAAAGCAAGGGTGGGCTCACATCTATGACCAGCTTCGGTAGGCATCTTGTCGGTTTGAAGTTCCCCGAATGATCAAAAGCTCCCGGCCACGGTCGAGGGCAATCAGCAAAATGTCGCTGCTGATTCGAGGTCCGGCGTTTGGCGACGTGGTTATGGCTCTGCACTTCGATACCCCAAACGAATTCCAAAATTCGCGTGGTGCGGGTTGGTAGGGCTTTGGCGTTCAAAGCGGGGCGGATTAATGTGGCACCGACTCGCAGCTTCAGATACTGGTGCAATTGGCTGGTCATTGGCCTGTGGGGTAAGGTTTTCTTCGGTAATTACATGAATACCTAGTGTTATATCCGTATATCCGTAGATTCGGTGAATCCATCTCTGATGCATCACCAGTTCACCAAGATCGATGATTAATCAACACATACATATGTACGACACCACCCAACCATTATCATTGCCAGCCTCGCCAGCTTCTCGAGAAAATCACAACAGACTCTCAACAAAGCGCCTCAAGTAGTTGTGAGGTATAAACATGTAGTTTGCGCAACTTACATATGATGAATTGGCTGTTTTATATTGGATTTCCCGTCAAGCACCTCCATTCCCGAGCCACTCTCCCGTCAGTCAAGGCTCAAGCTCAACTGTTCTTACCATAAGAGACTCTAGAATGTGTGGCTCCTCAGCATTTGTACCACCGCGGAGTGGGGGATTAAGCATAGCCAAGTGCCCGGGTGACAAATCTGGGCTTGCGAAGCCGGCCCGGCCGTCGGAGGTTCGAATTTGCTTCTCAGGGCAGACAGCTGTGGATGCCGCCGACCAACAGGTGTCCGATTATCGATACGGATATCTCCTGAGAATTGGCGCCGAGCTCAAGAGTTTTAACCTCTCGGCTCCTGCCCGCGGAGATGTAGCCCCAGGCATCGCATGTCTTCTGAGGAATCGGTAACGCCCAATCAATGACAGAATAGATGCCCATAATATCTCGAACCCCGAGGAGTCGTGAATGCTGCCCCGAGTATTTGAAGCTTCCACCTGCAGCTGCTCTCACGTTTTCGTGATCCCCTCGCGACAGTCTAATACGTCAGGTACAATACAGTCAACCCCGCGCGTGGGGGAGTCAATTCTGCCGGTGGCCAAGACCCCATCCGTCTAATGCTGTTTCAGGACCTTCGCAATGTCATATTTGCCTGTGTTGTGGCTTTATCATTGAGCATGTTCGTCCGCAATGGTTGCGGTATTTCTCCGTGAATACACCCGCAGCAAGCGGTGGGAAGCAAGCAAGGCCTTGTCGCCGCTGTAGAAACTGCGCTACGCAGTCCACTGTCCAGTGTCGGACCGGGAATGTGGATTGGCAGCTTTCTTTGTGAATTTCCACGCCCCACCAACCTCAACGGGATTGATGCGCTTGAAGTTTGGGTTGGCGGTTCTGCCGGTACACGTACAGTACATGCCTACCTACCTCCTGTGTTTCCAGACATTGTTGCTACGGATTGTGTCACAGAGAACAGGTAGCACCGCTGCTGCAATCTGGACGTCACCATAAAGGACGGCTACCCGCCTGATATGTAGATTGGTTCAAGACTCGAGGGCTGCGGAAGTCCAGTCAAGCTCCCGACGGTCTTAGGTCCACGGGTATTAGGTACTTCGTAGTTCGTACCTTGGAGCTCGGCTGGACATGGATCCGAAATGGACTTGTATCTTCGTCTATGAATTGCGGCGGGCATGTGGTGACTAGCTTACCTAGGTAGGTAGAAGGTGGTTTCGTCATAGAAGCCTGCCTTCGCAGTCTCCATCGCACACAAAATATTGGATGCACCGCTAGGTAGCTCGGTCGCTGAATGATCTGAAGAAAAGCGGATGGAGGTGGCATTCGGAGACGTCGGATTGAAAGGATGTGCTTCCACAAGGCATGGAAGGTAGCAACCCACTGTAATCACTCCCGGTCTAAGCTTCGAGGTCCCCAACAAGCATGGAAAGTAACATATCCGTACTTAGGGTACAGTACAGTACGTAAAGGCGGGGTCGGTCCCTGAGTAAGCTTCCCCTCGTTAAGATGCCCTGCTCCTTAACTCCAGTCTCCTCTGCACATCTCACGTCCCGTCCCACCCGGTGCTAGAAATACCATTAACCCCGAGCTTTCGAACCTACCCCATCGTTCCCCGTCTTCCGCTCGTCTTGTTGACAACATCTGCCTCCCAGCTCTCTTCAGGCCGTTTCCAGATCTCATCATCCTTACCGATTCCCTTTTCTTAACTCGAGACACCCGAAAAGATGGCCGACCCGCAAGCGTACGTGCTTGTCCCTGACCCCGCGATTCATCATCACTTTCTGGTGGGGCAAAGTTAGGCGACCAGAAGAGCTCTGCCCAAGCAAGACTTGGACGCGGCAGCCTCGGCAGCAACCTTGGCCGCTCTGGAAGCATTTACTCGAGCTCGATTATGAAGGAGACCATGAACTGCAAGGGGATTGGATTACAGTTCAGCGCTAATTATGTCTCAGTGCCGTCGAGCTCAAAGAAAATACCGTCATTGTGGTGCTCGGCGCCTCGGGTGACCTGGCTAAGAAGAAGACGGTATGCGCCACCATCATGGATCAATAGGAAAAGGAAAAAGGGTATAAAAGCACATTTGGCTAATTCGTTGTACAGTATCCGGCTCTTTTTGGACTCGTAAGTAGCCCTCCCTTTGGGCTCGGTCGAATTGCTTGACTGAGCCCACCCCAATAGTACCGAAACCAGTTCCTCCCCAAGGATATCAGGATTGTTGGCTATGCACGAACGAAAATGGACCATGACGAATACCTTCGTCGTATCAAATCGTACATAAAGACGCCAACCAAGGACATTGAGCAGCAACTGGAGGATTTCTGTTCTCTATGCACATACGTATCTGGCCAGTACGACCGGGACGATTCCTTCATGCAGTTGAACAAGCATCTTGAGGAGCTGGAACAGGGTAGAAAGGAAACCAACAGGTTGTTCTACATGGCGTTGCCGCCGAGCGTTTTCACCATCGTCTCACAGCATCTGAAGAAGTGTTGCTACCCTTCGAGAGGCATCGCCCGGGTCATTGTAGGTCAACCCCCCGTCTCACCTAACTGCTTTGCTGACAGAGCTGCAGGTTGAGAAGCCGTTTGGCAAGGACTTGGCGAGCTCTCGGGAGCTCCAAAAGTCCCTTGAGCCTGACTGGAAGGAGGATGAACTCTTCCGCATCGATCACTATCTCGGCAAGGAGATGGTGAAGAACATTCTCATCCTCCGATTTGGCAACTCGTTCCTCGGTGCAACATGGAACAGGCACCACATTGATAATGTGCAGATCACGTTCAAGGAACCTTTCGGCACCGAGGGCCGCGGCGGCTATTTTGATGAGTTTGGCATCATCCGGGATGTCATGCAGAATCACCTGCTCCAAGTGCTCACTCTTTTGGCCATGGAACGGCCCATCTCTTTCTCGGCCGAGGATATCCGAGACGAGAAAGTAAGAGTCCTTCGTGCGATCCCGGCTATCGAACCCAAGAATGTCATCATCGGCCAGTACGGGAAGTCACTTGACGGCAGCAAGCCATCGTACAAGGAGGACGATACTGTGCCCAAGGACTCGCGGTGCCCGACATTCTGCGCCCTCGTCGCCTACATTAAGAATGAAAGGTGGGACGGCGTCCCCTTCATCATGAAGGCGGGCAAGGCACTTAATGAGCAGAAAACGGAGATTCGTGTGCAGTTCAAGGACGTGACTTCTGGCATTTTCAAAGACATTCCCCGAAACGAACTCGTAATGCGCATCCAGCCGAACGAGAGCGTCTACATCAAGATGAACTCGAAGCTCCCTGGGCTGACGATGCAGACCGTCGTCACGGAACTTGATCTCACGTACCGCAGGCGCTTCTCGGATCTCAAGATTCCCGAAGCCTACGAGTCGCTGATTCTGGACTGCATCAAGGGTGATCACTCCAACTTTGTCCGAGACGATGAGCTTGACGCAAGTTGGAGGATCTTCACGCCGCTGCTGCACTATCTGGATGACAACAAGGAGATTATCCCGATGGAGTACCCATATGGTAGGCAACCACGGGAATTGGTAAAGCTTTTTCGCAGTCGCTGACTTCTTCCTAGGCTCTCGGGGCCCCGCAGTTCTTGACGACTTCACTGCGTCCTATGGGTACAAGTTCAGCGACGCCGCAGGATACCAGTGGCCGACGACATCAGCTCTGGGACCCGGCAACAAGCTATGAATGGGCTTAGCAATGCTCCATGGCGTTATCCGCTGCAAAGCGCTGGCGACGACCATGGACGCAGTTGAGCGTCTAGAGCTCGCAGCGAACCTGGCATATAATGATTGGGTGGTTATTAGAGATGATTCAGTGTTTGGGCAATGAACACCACAGCTAGAGGTGGCTTTGTTTTCTTCGTCTTCTTTTCCGATTCCTTTTGACTCTGAGAGAGCGTCAGGCAAACGCAGGAAAACCGGTGAACGAGGATGATAGCGCAGGAGGGATTCTGGTTTTCACACGGTCGCTGGACTCATGTCTTGATGGTTAGATGGTGATCAGCCAACAAGTCTCCTGTTAAAAGAACAAGAGCCCAGCGCTTTGCGGTGCCTTGAATGCAAGATTAGACGACTCATGATTCGGCCCATCACGGCGGTATCAATTCCGACATATGCGGCGATATGCTCTACTTAGCCCTGGTAGTCGGCAGCAGGGGTCTAATTCAGGGGCTTGTGTCCATGGGAATAACGTTACGGATTACAGCCATGTTGTGCAGGTTTCCCGTCTATCAATGTATTGATATATTCAATATTGACCTGAGACCTCGAACCAGTTGAACGTGGAAGACGCAGCTATTGTACTGGACAGTAAGCAGTTAGGTCTACGGAGTGCTGCTGGAAGGTGGGGTACAGCTGCCAACTCACAACGATATACGCTAGGTATGACGTAAGGAGCCTCTCGAGGTTTATAATTTATTGAGGGTAAGGTTTACGTCGGGTACTACAGCTGTACTTTCGACAGTGCTGGTTCGGAGAATCCAATCAAAGACGGGATTTATACGCACCTGAGTACGGAGTACCATTGCTGTGCTTGACAGTAAGGTAAGGTATACAAGTACTGCGAAAACACGGATAGAGAATGGAAGCCATGCAGCCTATCTCAGCTTTCTCAAGGGAGACTACCTTAGTAGTTGGGGTTGTGAGGGACTGGCCCATCACCGAACCGAAGCATACAAAGCTACGGAGCAATTCCTAACCCACGGATTAGGGACGTAAAGTATGTATGTATGTATGTATGTACAGTACAGTACAAGGACTGGCAGTCGGAAGTTCGGAACACGGCGACGCCATGGAGGTTGATGTTTGCGCGGGCCTAGGCGACAAAATGTAAGTTACGGTATCCGTACTTACATTACCGATGCTGAGGTTTAGCCGCCCAAACGCACCCCCGCTCTGGATCCTGGATGCTGCCTAGGGTGTGGAAATTTCAAGGACCCCATTGAATTTCATTTCACGGTTGGCCTTGAATTGCGAATTGAAATTTCATGAAAAACGAATATAACCTAATACGGCAGGCAATAAACCCCGGGTTAGGGTTATGTATGGTCAACGATCTTTCTGCCTCACCGTGAGACGCTTCCTCCATGGCCTGGACCTGCCTTGCACTGCCCTGTTTTACAGGCCAACCCCCTATTCGGATTTCATGAAATTTCACGGCCTGGAGGAAATTCGGAATTTCCAAAATTGGCCGAAAGTTCGCAATTTGAAAATTTCATGTCGACACCCTAATGCTGTCAGATGCGAGGTTACACCAGAAATTTGGCGAAGTAGTTGCCACATTTCTCAGGCAGAGAGAACGCGGTCCGGCCTAGTCTCCACAACCCCGGCTGCAAGAGGCGGATCCATCCCGATTCTTTGAGTGGGCATCCGTGGATGGAGGTTTTGAGAATCCTCCCATCACTGTCCGACCCGGCGAGCACTCGGTGCGTTGCATTTCCACAGCAGAGGCAAAAACGGCGCTCCTCTTGGAATGCCTGATTAATTACGAATACGGAATTGCCATTTGGACGCGAACCGAGCAGATAGGAATCCTTGTTCCTCCTCGTCGCGCAGCTGCACGAGGCGCACATGCGCCGACACTCGAGCGCACGACAGAAAACCGACGGACCAGATGCAAGCAGCGGATGCGATTGCCGTCCATCTCTCCCAGCCAGGTCCGACTGAGGGTTGTGCTCGGCGGGGTTGCCGCTACCACGGGCTCTCTTTAGCCCTCTTTGTTCGGTAACGACCGTCGCGCTAGGGACCGAGCGCGCTCGGCCCTCAAGCTTTCCAAAGTTTGCTTTGCCCGCTGCGTCAACCTTCGCTGCCCTGACGTTCGCTATCTCCTCTCTCCGGCGATATTCCCCGAAGCACAACAGCTCGCTATCCGCGATATTTTCAGCGCTACGATATTCCTAGACCCACAGCTTCTTGGGATCCGCGAGAGCTTTGTCACCCTGGTCGCGGCGACGGCTGTGACGAAGCACCCGGTCAGTCCGGGCGGGCTGACGGTTAGGGCCGGCAGCGCGGCAGAGAGCACCGCTTAGGACGTCGGCCGGCATTCAACAATGGAAAACAGGCTACAGAACGGCGTGCGGACGAACCATGATAGGGACACCTGGACCAACGGACCAAAAGGAGGAGCCGCGACTGCAGAGCGGGAGGAGCATCTTCTCAAGGGCAAGGCTAAAGAGAAGATTGGAGATGGCTCCGCCATGGACGTCGATAGCGACCGGCAAGGACCGCCGGTCGCCAACGTGGACGAACTTCCCGACGAGCTGCAGCACATCACGATTGGCATCCTGCCATTAGACCTCCTCCTCAAGAGGCTCGCGCAGTTCTCTCATGTCACACTCCAAGACCAGATTCTCACGCTGGCATCGAGACCACTACCTCAGAACCTTGCCAACGGCAACGCAAACTATCACGCAACCGGAGTTGAGGACACATCCCCCGAAAGTCTTGAAAAGAAGGTCCTGCTCCTGAACACCATCCAGGAACTGCACACCAAATGGGTGAAGACCTTGGTGATTACCGAGTGGAGCAAAAAAGCGGACCAGGTTGGGAAACTCATCGACCTCAGGAGCCATCTCATGTCCAAGTTGGAGCTGTTCAACGCCACATTTTTCGACATGATCAGGACCAAGCAAGATCTGCTCTGGGCCAAAGTTCCGAGTCCAGACTTGAAGACCGCCCTCGAGGTACTTGCCAACGGAGAGGCTTCGTGGATGCCTGACGTAAGTTGCAAATGGCGTGGGCGCTGACGCGGGTGCTTATTAACGTGATCGCAGTTTGGCTACCTGGAACCTCCTCCCCTTTCACCTGCGGAAAAAGAGGCATGGCTTCACGAGATCAACGTCTACTTAAGCGCGAGACTCGGCATCCATGAGTGGGAAAAGATTCCCGAACCTTTCCGGAATTACACCATCGACTCTGGCAGGGTAACGTTCAGAGTCGAGGGCGAATTCGAGGTTGATCTGACTATTGGGGACGAAGATTTCGAGACGCAATTCTGGTTCATCGACTTTAGGTGTCTGTTCAGTCCCGCCCCGTCAGAGCTGTCTGGGCGTGCCAGAGCTTTTATGGAGCTCAAAGTCAACGAGGCGCTGGCGACAGAAGGCCTGCTTGGCTGCTATAAGTACTTACACGAATTCACCTTGACTGCGAAAGTGGGCGAATTCGCCCGTCAGGCGGTGGAGCTGAGCACGGCCAGATGGGTTGACACGCTCAAGATTGAGAGGCTTGACCGAGCCTTGTCAATTCAATACTGGCTTAACCGCCCCCACTCTCAGGGGACAAAAAGCTGGATCATACTGGGTGTGAATAGCGGCAAGGGTCTTGATGGAGGACATGGCCAGACGCCACCGAGCCATCTGACCTTGCGGTGGTTCCGCGATGGCAAGGAAGTCAAGGACATTGAAATTCAATTCGACACCGAGTCGATATCCACCGAAAACTTGTTGACGACGGTTGTCAACAGACATATCGAATATCTGCTCTCATCAATGCACAACAAACTTCTTAGCAAACCCCGGTTTACCCGGCAGCAGGCGAGATTGGCGTTGAAGATTACCGAGGGAGAAGACGTGAATTCTTCATTGACCATGCAGTTGCTTGATGAGGAGGATGTCACCGTTCAGGTTGAGCCCTTGACGGGCACTTTTGTGTTGCTGCCGCGCTCCGCCGTTGTTTTGGACGGCCAGAGAAAGTTTAATTCAATGGCGAATCCAGCTGAAGACGGGCCGTCTGGGTTAGAGCAGCTCAGGTGGATCTACACGATGAAGGATTTGCACACTCGGAGCAAAACTGTTGGCTGGGCGGTCCTCCTCACGCGACCTCCTATCTCGGGAGACGAGGTGAAGAGCATTGCCTACTCGGCTACCCCGTCCTCACGAGAACCCTTCCAGGCGGTATGGATGAGAATTCCCGAGTGGGATTCCCGATGGTTTGTCATGATGAGTATGAGCCTGGGCGGTGACAATTGGTGGCTCATTGAACTGTAAGCCCAAACTCAACCCGTTTCGACAATCATCCATAGATGGTTCTAACATATATCTAGCTCGGAATTGCCTAGCCCCGGGCAACGACCGGCCGTGAGTGGCAGCCGTCTAAAAAGTTTTACCAAGCTCGTCATGTCGCCAGACCAACTCCGCCTGTCAAGTAGCTTCTTCCACAACCTGGCCGCCCACACGTCAGCAGTAATCTCCAGGATCACTGAACTCCGCGACGCCCACAAAGACGGTTTGCGGCATAGCACCCACCAGACCACAGGTTTGAGGCTGCCTCCCGAGATCAGGATCCCGACGCTGTGCGTGCCGTTGTCTGAGCTGGTTCCGGCTCGGCCCGGTTCGAGACCTTCTCCTCTCACAGCCTGGGCGAATAAGGTTCTCGCAATCGATTTCAAGGGACTGGGGCCCTCCGAAGAGGTCCTTACGGGGCATGCCGACTCGCTTCAGAGGCGAGAAATGCGGACGGTGACCATTTCGGAGGCTAGGCTTAGCATTAGGAATCCTGCTAGATTCCGATTTATCAAAGGCAACCTTGACCGCGATATATTCTACAACCCTCGCATCGGCCAATTTACCTTTAGGCTTCGGGTACCGATGGGCACATCCACGATTCGGTTGCTAGCATCCCGACTACAAGCACTAGAGCGTCTGCTTGATTTCGTTGAAGCTATTCGGCGCGCTGGGAAGGACGTGGTACCAGAAAGCGTGACGCTCCGGGAGATCGTGTTCACCTACGGCGACACTGAAGGACAGCGACCATGGAAAGCGCGGCTTGACCTTAGCAGAGAGCAGCGTATCAACGTCATTCTCGAGAAGGGCAATCCACATCTCCGAATGATTGATCATCTGCGGACATTAGCAAACTCGGCGCGATTCGAGGACCTTCCGGCCTGGCTTATATTTACCCTCCCGCTCTGCCGGGCCCTAGAGCGCCTGGAAGACACTTGGGGAAACATTGCCGCCCCCGGGCACGGTTCATGCTATGTTTTCCATAACTCCCTGGGCTGGGTCGGGATCCGCTTCGTACTGAGCTCGCCCCTCGGCCGACGGCTACTCCACCTCACCATCAGAGCCCACAAGCGCGGAGCCAAGCCTATGTGGCACGTCACTCGTTCCGACTGCGACCCGAACGCAAGGAACGAAAACGACGATTTCAACAAGGTCCTGAAGCAGCGGGTCTGGTCAACCAGCGGTAGCGGCTTCAAGGGCCTGTCGACCGGCGCCGCGGCTCACCCGGGTCAGGGAATCGAGAACCTGATAGCGCTCATCGGCGAATCCATATTGTCCATGGTCAGCACACCTCCGTCTTCGAGGCCGCAGTTGCAACAGCAGCAGCAGCAGCCGCAGCCGCAGCCGCAGCCGCAGCCGCAAATGCAACAGCAACCGCAACCACAGCAGATCATGTCCGGCCCGCAAAGGGGAGCCTGGACACAACACTCATGAGACAGCATAGCGAAATGCTCATAATGAAATGTTATTATACCCCAGTAGGCAATGCAGAAAACAGATGACATGTTTGCGACTTACGGACTATTCAAGTGACTATTCATCTCGGTGATGTGAATCTCGTGCTCGTACTCCTGGCTCGGACATCATTGAATGGTAGGCAAAGTGAATTTTGCATCTCACCGGGAAATAGCTCAGCGGCACGCATATGATGCTCACAAGGTTTGACATACATGGTTTACATACCCCCGTGCTTTTCCCAAGGGAAGTAAGTGTAAGTACAGGATCTGATGGCGAGTAAAAGCCGGGTATTCACAGCGTCTAGTAAGCGGGTCGTTCTAGTCTATTTCTTTACAATGTCCTCGTCGTCCTGGTGGTCCGGGGCGTTGAACCGCAGCGGTAACAAAACCTTGGGCACCGCGACGAACTTGGTCTTGCCGAAGCGCGCCAAGCCCGTGTCGCCGACCGACAGGGACGGCTTCAACTCGCTGGTGCCCAACCACTCGGCCACACCACCATGGGCCTTGATGATCCCCTTGATTCGGGCCCTCTCCTCCTCGTCATTGATCGCCTCCACCGACTCCTCAACGTTGTTGGGCCCCCGCCACGCGCCGCCAATCTGCATGGCCACGTCCCGCGCGGCGCGAACGGAACCCAGCACGCCGGGCGGCGTGTACGACTGGCCCGCGACGGCCAGGCGGCCCTTGAAGGCCCACTCGAGCTCGCCATGGGCATCCCACATGCGCTTGCCGTGGCCGACGACGTGCTGCGGGATGCAGTTCCTGCACAGCTTTGTCGAGGCGACGGCCTGCTGGGTGAGGGACGGGTCCAGGCGCAGGTGGCGCTCCACGACCCTCTTGGCCATTTCGACGGCGTCGGCGGGGGAGGGGAGGAAGCTCTCGGGCAGGCCGTCCCAGTAGTGGCCGCCGAGCATGACGGTGAGCTTGGTGCCATGGATGGTGTCGGCGCCGCGGTTGGCGACGTCGGGCGAGGCACGGGACGGGACCTGGAACTCGCGGTCCGAGTCAAAGATGACGCCAAGGGCGCATTCCGGGTTCTGATCGAAGTCCACGGCTTGGGGGATCAGGTAGCCAAAGCCGTGGTACGGGGCGTTGGCGAAGGGGACGGGATACCAGAGGTTGACGAGCTGGATGTTGACGGCTGTGGACTTTGCCAGGGAGGGCAGGTGGCCGTCTGTCAGACCTGCGAGCGTCTTGGCGAAGATGGTCGAGACTACTTTCTCGTATAGGACAGGCTGTGGCTGCTTCTTGGAAGTAAGCTAAGCGGCAGACTGGTCAGCGAAAAAGGTAGCAAAGTACTCCCAAGCAGCAGGGCCTTACTGCAACTCTATCGGAGCCGTTGAGATAGCGGATCGACTCGATAGGCTCGTTCGTTTTGATGGTGACGTTGGGATTATTTCGTAGTGCTGCGGCCAGCGCATTGGTTAGCGTGCTGAAACCACTCCGGAACCATATGGCATCGGCGTCTCTATAACGGCGTGCCAAATCAAACGTAGCCTTGTCCCTTGTCAAGACTTCCATCAGGTCGAAGTCATACTGCCGTATCCAGGCGCAGCCGGTTGGGGCTCGACTCTTGCTGGGGCCTGCCAAAGCATCGGCAAAGGGGCCATTCCTCAGACTCAAGTTCCACACATCGCCACCAGTGATGCCGTGAACCACCCCTGACAAGATTTTGTCTACTATCCCTGGGCCTCCAAGCCACTGGCTGACGTATTCTCCTACAGACATGTCTTCCTCTACGGTAGGTCTCCGGACGAACATAATTCTAGGTATGGCGCGAAAGAAGTCTCGGAAGGCGGGCTCCATAAGCGTCGTCAGGCAAGTGAGGAGGGTCGTGGATCTATTGGGAGCCTGAACTAGGTGATCGGGATAGTAGATGTAGCCAGCGAGGGGGGAAGTGCTGACATTGTGCACCAGTTCTCCAGCGAGACCGAGGTGGGCCACCTGATAGAAGCGAAACCGACGGCAGCAGTCAGCAAACAGGACCCCCGGACAGCGCCATTGACGGAAAAGAGAGACACCAGGAAAAGAGACGCACCATGTCGAAGAAGACCAGGTCATCATAGCGGGGGATGCGGCCGGACGTCTGCGGCTTGATCATACGGGCGGCCCGCTCGAAGTGCACGGTGCCCTTGTTGCCGTCGGGCGTCTGCACCTCAACCTTCTCAGTATCGACCCAGCCGCCCAGACGGTCGTTTGCCTCGTAGAGCGTGATTTTTGCCTGGGGTAAGACGCGGGTCAGGTACCACGCCGTGGTGAGCCCTGTCAGGCCACCGCCCAAGACAGCAATGGAGCGTGGGGGCGTGTAAACGCTAGACGCGTAGTGTCTCGCCCCGCGACCGCTGCATTGTGATGCTATAGCCAAGTTCGGGGTAGCAGTACTCGGTGTCGAAGCACGGCCATCTCGCAGACTTCTTGGCCGTCGTCGCCGTTTAGTATTGCAGACGCTGCTGAAGGAGCTCAAGAGCCGGCGTGAGCTAGGCGAGGAACCGCGCTGGAGGCCGCGGCAAGCTTGAATCCGTGCCAGACAGCACGGACTGGTAGCGTACATGTCGAGAAGGGTCCTGAGGGCTGCATCCCGCATCCCGATATACTAATGCGAGCAGACAATGGCTCGCTGAAATCCCTTGCCTGATGAGCCAGGCAATGGATGGGGTTGCGGTTGCAAGGTATTGTATCGAATTACTGTACTGTACTGTACATACATACATACAATACAGTGCCGAAAGTGGCGTGATTGAAACTAGGAATTCAGAAATCCCAGACCACCTTAGGTACATAGACATCTGCTGCAGTAATCAGGAACACTTGATCCCAATGGATCACATACAGGTCAGGTATGTAAGCACAGTACTGCGTGTCTATGAGTGCAAGTATAAGGACGATACAGTTACAGGGCGATCAGTATCAGCCTATCCGCGCAGAATACAGTAAGGCAATATTTCCATCACGAGATAGGCAGGGAAGTGTCGATAAGAGTCGGGGTACCTTACCCGCTGTCAGGCGTGGAAAATCGCTCCGTGAAAACCTAAACGCTGAGGATCGCGTCACCGAGGTTGACGGCAAGTAGAGCATGCGGCTGTAACCTGAATTCTAGCCAGAGACGCTTCTGAACCCTACTTGGGCCCCCATCCGCTGTGATTAGGGGACAAACAACAAGCTGTGGCCAGAAGAAAGGTACCGCCCTTCAGATTCCCCAGTCCAAGTGCATCTAACCTAATGCATTCCCTTCCTCTCCTGAACGCCGTAACGTGGTAGTAATATACATACAGGACAAAGCTTACAGCCTTCAGATACCATCCGTTCCTGTACCACAAGGCATTCGTCTCCAGTTCTGAAGGGTATCTTGTCATCCATTTTCTCGTTCCTTGAACCGACCCATCCTGTTGCCCCCTGCCGTCCTCCCCGCTCATACAATCTAGATCATGACCTCCGCTGTTCCAGTATCAAAGTGATGCTCCTCTGACCCGGGAAGAACCAAATCCTCGGGAGCGCTCTCATCAACAAACTTCCTCTCGCTGACGTGCTCCTTCGCCTCGTCTGCAGTCCACACCTTGTCATGGAAGGTGCCCCGTTGGCCCTCCTCGTGCATGAAAGGGCAGTTGCGGTTGGTGCATGGGCGGTACTTGCATGGCGTCTTGATGTGCGTAAACTTGCAATTTGGCACCTTGCATTCGCCGCCGTTCCGGCAGGCGGGCATGGTGGGATGCCGGAACGGGCAGTGAGGGTTCGCGCAGTTGGGGAAGAACTTGCAATCCTGCTCGCTCTGGTGCGCCACCTTGGTGGCTGGTGACGGGTGACGGCCGACACACTTTCGATTCTTGCAAGCGACGCCGTAACTGCAGACGTCCTTGAGGTCGATGGTAATGCCGGGCGGTGCCGCCGGTGACTGATGCGCAAACTTGCAGTCCTTATTCTGGCAGCGCAAGTTGAACCGGCAAACAGTCTCGTCCGGATTCGGTGCTTCGCGCTTCGCCTGCTCGGCCCCTTCGCCCTGCGATAACGCCTCGGCTTGGCCTGCTTCGGATTGTTGTGGTTTTTGCTGGAGTGAGTGACCATTGTGCTGATGGTGAGCCCCGCCGCGCCGAAAGTGGCTCTGTCTCCCGCCCCGGTCGAACGGCGGTTTGCCATGACCATGTCCACCCTGGTGTGCTATGCTATTTTGTTGCATAAGGAGCTGTTGCTGCATCTGCTGCAACATGCGGTTCTGTTGCTCCATCATGGCGAGAATATCCGGTGCGATATAGCCAACGCCGTTCGCGGGACTCACTCCGCCCATTCCATTCATAGCAGCCGGGGGGACGCCAGGCATACCGCCCATGCCCATGCCTGCCAAACCAACCGAAATGTTTGTAGCGCGGGCGTTGGTGGTCCGAGGCTGTCTACCTACGCCCATCCTCGGCCCAGCTGGTGGGCCCCTCCCGATCCTTTCGTTTCCGGACTGGTTGCGGACTCTGTGAAGAACAGAGTCATGAGTCCGGTCCAGTGCGCGGTTGATTTGACCCATCATGCGCTTCTCTCGGCCGCCACGAATATTGCCGTTCCGCATCGCCTTTGGTCCAGTGGGTCTGCTTTTCGTTAGCATGACAGAATTATCAGCAGGGGGGTGACAGAAAGACCTACGCATTCAACCCTGTGGCGGCGTCTGGTGTAGAATCCATGCTAACGTCCAGAGAACCATCCGTCGCTTCTTCCTTTAGCCCGTCCATGGCGTCGGAATGCTGTTGCGGGGCGCCGGACCCTAGTTGAGCGCTGAGGGCATTGACTTGCTCAAACAGCCATTTCGCGAAAGCAGGAGCAGTCTGGTCTTCGGGGCCGAGCCCCAATAGGTCTCCGGCGATTTCGCTGGCGATCTCAGACTCAGTCTTGCCGTTAGCCAACATGAGTACAAAGTACTCGGACATAGCTGAGCCTTCGGCGCCAGGGTTGGCCCATCCTAGTTCGGCAATTTTGCCTTGGATGGCCACATTAAGAGCATCCGCAAGCGGGGTGCCGGCCGCAACCTCGACAGACATGTTTGCGAATAGCTGATCCGGCTATGATGCGAAGGGGTCGCTGATTGAGGTTGGTGGATATCAGAAGCGCTGATGGGAAGAAGTTGACGTCTCCGGCTGCGCAAGGTCGATATCGAAGCTCGGGCAAGGCTCGGTTTGGAGTTGTGGTGGCCAAGGCAAGCCTCGAAACGCGACCGTGGCGATGTCCCTGAGCGCGCAAAACGGTCCAAAATAAAGAGAAACGGAATCTACAGGAAACAATGCGCCATACGATGGATACACGCTGTCTCGGGTAGATGCGTTCGTCAAGGGGATGCAATTTGAGGTTGGCGGGTGAAGTGAAAGAATTCAAGCTGCAAGGTGCGAAACTACAGTATGGCCCGGTAAATAGTGTGGCTAGGAAGTGGCTAGAATCTTTGTGAGTGGCTGCTTAATAACGGACTAGTCACGTGATCTCATTTAGCGAAGTCGTTGTGGCTGGTGTGTCTCTTGCGTCAAAAGTCCCGGTCTAAGACTTGTAAAGACTGCGAACTATCCGTAAATACGAGAGCGCTCTCCACACGGTGCCGAGCGTTAAAGATCCCGCTCATGTCCCGCCCTGCCGGCAGTCAACATCCAGGCTCAGAACTTTAATATTATGCACGCTGACGTCTTCCACTCAGGTATCCAGCTTGAAGAGCAATGGAAACGAGGTGCAGCCACTCTACACTGGATACACAAATAATACAGTACGTCTAGAGTTATTTGTGTGTATTGTACGGAGTAGCTTCAGCCTGCTGCAAGTCATGTTATAATCACTGGACCGATCTTGATATCACTCGCCTTAGGTTCCAGTGGCCTCCTGGAACTTTGCAGGCTGCAATGGCTCTCAGTGTTGTGCTGTAGTGCAACAAGAGCTACGGAACGCTCATGCGCTAGCCAAAAGATGATTTTCGCACGTAACCGCAGGTGCAAGGAGATGGCATTCTTCTATCGCTTGGCCAGGCGCCATCGAGATTGCTAGATCGCTTCCCCAGACGCCAAGGACTCTGAAAAGGCAGGCGACACCCTCAAGGCCGAAAGGCGCAGCAACCCATGGAGACCCAAGACGTGGATGAATCTGAGGAGGGGTTCTGAAAGTGGTGTAGCTCGCCGCGTCTGGGGTGCAGACGTAACGTTGCGCCACGTCTTGAACGATAAGTTAGCGGCTTAGAGAGATTCAGATCAGCAACTTCTCACCATCGCGTTCACAACTTTGGACGCTGCAGGGGAAGGAGACAAGACGCGCAAACAGCTTTTTGCGGTTAATACTACATATACATCGTTCGCTTGGGCTTGTGCTTTTACTTGCTGGATCCAGGCAGGTGGGATTGTCAGAGCCGTCGTCCGTAAGGCCGCAGAGGATCTTCGCCCCCGCCGTTGCATTGCACAAGCAAACAACACCTTACAGAGTCACAGCTGGGACGAGCCTGTCGTCCCATCTCGCCATCCATTCACCGTCCACCGTCCATCCAGCAACCGATATTCGGGCCGCAGGACACGCATGATCTGGGCTTCTCTTCCCACGTAGCCACTCTCTGCCACTCCCGGGCTGCGTCCATCCTGTCTGCAGTGCTACGGTGCATGGATGGATTGATTGAGGCCCTGTCAGCCAACCACCCAACGCTACATTCCATCTGCGGATTGTCCCCTTAATATACCCGATTGAGCCCTTCAACCAAAGTCGCAACGTGTATATGTAATAATAACAATCAAGCTTCCTTTACCTGTCTCCGTCACTCACTCACTCCTCCGCTCTCATAACATCGGGTCTCACTCCCTCTTGACGGGCATTTCCTCGCCAGTCCTTGAGACCCCGACAAACACATGAGCTGCTATTAAGCCGTCGTCATGCTCTCACTATTACCTTCTTTTCTCTGCTTGGCGGTCATCGCCCTGCACCCTGTTGCCGCCATATGGCCAGCGCCGCAGAGCTTCACCAAAGGCAGCCAGGTCCTGTATCTGCATCAGAACATCCGCATTACATATAATGGAGCATTTGTACGCTGGTCTTCCTCTCGTGAGCATGGTTGCCTTGCCGAGGATCTGGATACTGAATATTGGATGTCCCAACAGGTCCCATACACATATGGATACTCACCGAGCAGCCTGACCAGCAAGGAGGTGGTCCAGGCGGCTGTGTCCAGGACTCTCGCGGGCATTTTTAACAGCAAGTTCGTGCCGTGGCAGATGCACAAGCCAGGGTCCAAGTTTGAGCCGGACCTCGCACAAGGCCAGAAATGGCTGCAAACGCTCCAGATTGTCCAGACAGGCGAGGACCAGCCCAGCGCATTCAAGCCCCTGGCCGGCGAGGTCGACGAGTCGTACAACCTCACGGTGAGCGCCGAGGGAGACGTCCAGCTAACCGCCGTCTCGTCCATCGGAGTGCTCCGCGGCCTCGAGACCTTCTCGCAGCTGTTCTACCAGCACTCGGCGGGCACCTTCTGGTACACGCCGTACGCCCCTGTTGCCATCCAGGACGCGCCCAAGTTCCCCCACCGCGGCATCATGCTCGACACGGCCCGCCACTTCTTCCCCGTGGACGATATCCTGCGGACCATCGACGCCATGTCCTGGAACAAGATGAACCGGCTGCACGTCCACGTGACGGACTCGCAGTCGTGGCCGCTTGTCATTCCCGCCTTGCCCGAAGTCTCGGAGAAGGGCGCCCACCATCCCTCCCTGACGTACTCGCCCCAGGACGTCCAGAGGATACAAACCTACGGCGCTCAACGCGGCGTGGAGGTGTACTTCGAGATCGACATGCCCGGCCACATTGGCGTAGTGTCCTTGTCGCACCCGGAGCTCATCGTAGCCTACAACGAGCAGCCCTACTACTGGTGGTGCGCGCAGCCGCCGTGTGGCGCCTTCAAGCTGAACAACACGGGCGTCGACGCCTTCCTGAAGACGCTGTTCGACGACCTGCTCCCGCGCCTGGCCCCTTACTCGGCCTACTTCCACACGGGCGGTGACGAGCTAAACAAGAACGACTCGATGCTGGACGAGGGCATCCGCTCCAACGACTCGGCCGTGCTGCAGCCCCTGCTGCAGAAGTTCATCGACACGCAGCACGCGCGCGTCAGGGCGGCCGGCCTGACGCCCATGACGTGGGAGGAGATTCCGCTCGACTGGAACGTCACCATGGACAAGGATACCGTGGTCCAGACGTGGCTGGGCGGCGAATCGGTCAAGAAGGTCACCGAGCTGGGCCACAAGGTGATTGACAGCAACTACAACTTCTGGGTGAGTATACTACTACCTTCCGAATCATTTCCCCCAGGCTGACAAAAACCCACCCAAAAGTACCTCGACTGCGGCCGCGGACAATGGCTCTCGTTTGACAACGGCGCAGCCTATGTCATTGGCTACCCCTTCAACGACTGGTGCAACCCGGTCAAGAACTGGAAGCTCATCTACTCGCACGACCCGACGGCCGGGCTGACGGAGGAGCAGGCCAAGCTGGTGCTGGGCGGCGAGGTGGCCGTGTGGAGCGAGACCATCGACCCGGCCAACCTGGACACGCTCGTGTGGCCGCGGGCCAGCGCCGCGGGCGAGGTGCTGTGGTCCGGACGGATCGACCCGGCGACGGGCCAGAACCGCAGCCAGATGGAGGCCACGCCCAGGCTCAACGAGTTCCGCGAGAGGATGGTGCTCAACGGCGTGCGCGCCTCGCCCATCCAGATGATGTTTTGCACCCAGGGCAGCCCCAAGGAGTGCGAGTATCCTGCGTGAGGGGAGGGTTTTGTCTTGTTTTTATTTCTCTTCGTTCATTCATCCTTTTTTTCCTCGGACGTTTTGGCATGACAGCATGAGAGTATGATCGGTTGGGCGGGAAGGAGTTAGAGGGGTCGGTTGGGAGCGGAGATTTTGATTATGGACTTGGGGAGCCATTGGAACGCTGAGTCGCTTGGATTCTGGGCAGGTGATTCTTGGAAACTCAAACTTTGCGAGATAGCGAGCCAACTACCTTAATAAGTTATAAAGTCCAACAAGCCGGAAATCAACTGGCGTGCGCCCTCCTTTCTGAATAATGTTTCTGTGAGTCAAGGGCACCACTTGTGGGTTGTACTTGTAACTGTACATACTTACTTACATACTTACCGTCAGTACGTCCGGGTAAGACGCGGAGCAGATTGATTGCCCGACGGTCCGATCGCTCTGCCTAGGTCGGCAAAGGGGGCCCAAGCATCTTTGCCGGCGTGACTCCGTGCGATGGCGCCAACCTCACCTATCACGCCTATCTCCCATTTCGGCGGTCCGCGGATCCCTTAACGTTCTATACCGGTGCCGCACAGCCGCTCGCTCATCTCGCGCCTTTACACAGGCTGGAATCCCGTCCGCGGAACCCTGAGACGCGTAAGCCGGTAACGTTGATTATGTATGAGAAGACGAGGCTTGAGTCAGAGTTGCTCAGTGACGTGGTTAATTTCAAGACATCCAAAAGTCTTGAGTATGGCTGGATAGGGCAGAACCTGTAATTGGTCTCTTGGTAGAAGTTTCGGCCGAGAGGAGTCCTCTGTTTTTAGTCAGGCATGGGTTACCGATATGCAGTCAGATCTTTATCCTAGCTTCAGGTTCAAGTACCATACTACACACCACCCGGTCCAATGGGAGATGCAATGGCTCAATAAATGGCTTCCTTTCACCATCGCGTCGTGCACTGTTACCTATACGATGTACGGAGTATACAGTACTGACTCATACTAGGTAGGTTGTGTGCTCAGCATTCGGTGTTGGAAGTCCAATTCACTATTCCGTATTGTATTGGTAATTTACCTGGCGAGCCAGGTGAACTTAAGCGAGAGCTGGAGCCGCGATTCGCTGGAGCCGGAACACTGCCGAGCGTTCAATTTTGCCGTTAGCGCAACCACACAGACATTCCTATCAGATCTGCGCCGGTTGTGGGCAGCTAACAGTTATTTGACATTTTTTTCTCTCAAGGTGTTCCAACCAGATATTGTTTGATGTTTGGCTGGTCTCGCCAGGAAAAATACAATTGTGTAGAACAAGGCACATGATTTTCTGTTGGACATTGTAAGTCGATATGCATTCCCTGCCATTGGAGGCCTGAAATCGCTTGCTCCCCGATAGCCTCGGCATTGCCATCTTGGTCATGAATTTCATAACGCGGCCCAGACACTACTCAGGCCGGTCCTTGATCTGCACCCTCCAAGCATCCACGGATAGTCACAAGGCCACAGAGCTGCGTCGTGGACACGTATAACCAGGAACCGGTGGGTGGCCAGAAGCGGGAACCTGAGGCTCAGAGAGTTGTTGGTTACAGTCTTTGAGTCTTGTACCACGTATATCACCGACGAATCTTGAACGTGGTAGGACGGGCCCGCGGGATGCGAACTTTCTGGGCGCTGATACAGTCGTAACAGAACCAGTTTCGTCGCTGTTCCGGAGACTTCGCTGCCAACGGTACCTGTACAGTACATACTTACATCCCAACCAGGAGGGCTATCAGCGTCGTAATGTATGCCTCCTCGGCCTTCTCCACCGTGCCGTTTGTCCAAGGTGGACAGATGGTTACCCGATAGTGTACAGTACATCATGGAATTCAGCCAGTGCACCATGTCCGCTCCCCCGCCGTTGTCAACTTAGACCTTTAATAGAAGTTTAGCTCCCCTTTTCCATCCTAGGTGTGCCTTTCTTAAGTATAAGCTAGGGGTGCTTCCCACATCATGGAGGTACTGCTGTTCACTGTTCCACCCGTCGAGAATCTGTGACGCACCTTTTGTTACCAGCGAGTCCTTTGCGAAAACGTCATAGCCGGGAAAAGAGAAGAAGCTGTCCTAAGTTTCTTGACATTTCCAACCCTCCACGCCGCTGACTTGGAAAAGCTCGCATTTCACGAGGCATTGAGTACCTCGGCGTCGTACTCAGCTCCCTGGAGCCCTTTGCCGGAATGGGGTTAATCGAAACACTCGTTGAGCATGTCACGCTCAGGTCGGTCCTGGTCCTGGTGCCAGGCCTGCTGCTGAGTTATATCCTGAATGTTCTCGTAGTAAAGCCGCTGAGGGAGGATATGAAGCTGGCGAAGATGCCCGGGGCAAGACCTCCCAAAACCAGGTCTGTTGCTCCTTTCGGTGAGTATGCTTCTCTGTATTAGAGACCGACCTGATCTGCAGTGGCGAAGGGAAAGATGAGGAAGGTTGGCTAAGACAGCGCAGGTCTCGACTGCATCTACAAGAATATTCGCGCATCATACAGACACGAGACGCTCCCTTTCTGGAGGTCCCTTTTCGCCTATGCCAGGGGTGACACGGCAGAGTGCCGCCTGGCCGGGCGGCGCATCGTCTTCACCGTCGACCCGGAGAATATCAAGGCCATCCTAGCTACCCAGTTCGGGGATTATGGAAAGGGGGAGCCCTTCCATCAGGAGTGGAAGGACTTCCTCGGCGACAGCATCTTCACCACCGACGGCAGCCTTTGGCACAACAGCCGCCAGCTGATCCGGCCGCAGTTCATCAGGGACCGCGTCAGTGACCTGCACGTGTTTGAGAGCCACATACAGACCCTGATCCGCGCCATCGCAAATGGGGGGGCTCTGAATGGTGAGAACCAGGCCGTTGATGTTGAGGCCGGCAACGGGAAGCCCGTCGACATGATGGACCTGTTTTTCCGTTACACCCTGGACGCCGCCACCGACTTTCTCCTGGGCGAGGACGTCAAATCACTCAGGTTCGTTTGTTGATACTCGTTTGCTTCGAGGGGCCGTCAACCCGCTGATGATCTAATCTCTCTCACAGCACCCCACGGCAGGAATTCGCCGACGCCTTTGCCGAAGTGCAGCGGATCCAAGCCCTCATCTCCCGTTTGGGGCCGCTCAATGGGCTTCTGCCCCGCCAGAACTTCCGCCGGAACATGAAGGTCATCAACAGCCTCATCGACCGGTACATTGAGCGCACGCTGCGTCTCAACCCTGACGAACTCGCCGGCAAGGGCAAGGGCGACTCGGGATACACCTTCCTCCACGCCCTCGCCGGCTTCACGCGCGACCGCAAGGTCCTCCGTGACCAGTTGATCGCCGTGCTGCTGGCCGGGCGCGACACGACGGCCTGCACACTCTCGTGGACCATCTATGAACTTGCGAGGCACCCGGAGTGCCTTCGTAAGCTGCGCGAAGAGATCCTATCGGTCGTCGGGCCGACCAGGCCGCCCACGTACGAGGACCTCAAGAGCATGAAATACCTGCAGAACGTGATGAACGAGACGCTGCGGCTGTACCCTATTGTCCCGTTCAAGTATGTCGCCCCCTTCCCGCTCCCCACACAGCAGGATCGTATTGACTAACCCCGATCTCACCACAGCGTGCGGCTCGCTCTCAAAGACACGACACTCCCGCGGGGCGGTGGGCCGGACGGGTCGCAGCCTGTGAAGGTACTCAAGGACACGCCCATCGCCTACTCGACGCTGGTGATGCAGCGGCGCGAGGACCTGTACCCTCCCGTGAGCGACAAGTTTGCGCCCGTCGACGTCTTCAGCCCGGACCGCTGGTTCCACTGGCAGCCGCGGGCCTGGCAGTACATACCCTTCAACGGCGGGCCGCGGATCTGCATCGGCCAGCAGTTCGCCCTGACCGAGATGAGTTACGTGCTGACGCGGCTGTTCCAGCGCTACGACCGCATTGACAATTACATGGTTGAGATTGACGGCGGGAACCCGACCATGAAGGCCGACATTGTTCTGCAGCCTGCGGATGGCGTCAAGGTTGCCTTTTGGGAGGCTAATAATAGTACGAAGACGAGCTGAGTGTGGTAGGATCGTTTCTTTTCTTTTCCATTTTGGGTCTTTTTCGGTTGTATTTTCTGTGGTTTGGTTGAATGGCTTTACCCTCGGTCGGGTTGAGTGGGAATCTGCTCGAAACTTGGGTATGCAAGATCGTGTGTTAATAGTAGGGATGGCTTTATGTCGGAGCACCAAAACTGGGAAGGCACTATGGAGGCAATTGCTAAGGCACCTTAGCCTCGGAACCCAACAGAAGGAAGGCGTTCGGATTGTTCACCTCCACTCCGTCTGCAGGTCAATCTACTCTGTATGTCAAGGCTTGCTAGGATGGCTCACCTTCATCTACCTTATCAACTCTCAGCTCCAACAAAACCAAACTGATGAAGTAGCCTTGCGTTGCTGTTCTTTGAACCCGTCACAGCTTGTAACTCTCCCTGATGGCCTCACCAAACCGCCTGATCGCCTCGGTCATGTTTTCGGGCGTAGCCGCGGCAAACGTAGCCCTGAAGAACAGACCTCTCGGCGCCGTGTCTTGTTCGGCGCGGAACCAGGACCCGCGGGCAACAAGCACGCCCTTCTCCAGGCAGCTGTCGAAGATCTCCTCTTCTATCTCCAGAATGCTCTTGCTCGAGCTGTGAGGGTGTAGCTCATGGTTTATTTTCAACCAGTGCTGCCAGCCACATCAGAACAAGTCAGTAAGCCCACCCGACAAAAGCCCAAATCAGGGGCGGAAAAGAAATCGACTCACAAACATGCCGGCCTGCGGTGAATTCCAGCTCACAATCTCCCTCGGCAAGAACCTCTCGCACGCCGCCACGATGACGTTCCTCCTCTTCGTGTACTCCATCCTCAAATGCATGAGCCATCGCAGGTACCCCTCATGTCCCCATGTCTCGTCCAGCAGCTTATGCATAATCACCTGCGAGAAGCCGCTCGGCCCTTGGTTCGCCACCTCGGCGTGCCGGATGTACCGCTCAACGATCTGCTCCGACGCCGTCACCCAGCCCAGCCTCGCGCCCGGCACGACCACCTTGGAAAAAGAATCCATGCGGAGCACCCTCCCGTCCACATCCATGCTGAGCAGCGAGGGAATCAGCGAGTCAACAAACTCGTCCACGGTCCGCGGCGGCGCCGTCCCGGGCGCCTGCATCTGCAGGTAGTAGTACGGCTCGTCCTCGATGATGAATACGTCGTGCTTCCGGCACACCTCGTATATCTCCCGCCTGCGAGCCTCGCCCTGCGTCGCGCCCGTCGGGTTCTGGCCCGAGGGAACTGTGTACAGGACATGAGGCCTCCTGGTACCGATAGGCCAATTGCGCAGGATCCGATCCATTTCCTCCGGGAGGAGGCCCTGGTCGTCCATGGGCACGCCGACGACCTTGACTCCGAGGGGCGCGGCCGTCTCGAGCGCCGTCGAGAACGAGTACTCCTCCGTGAGCAGGGCGTCCCCCCGCCCGGGGCCGTCGCACAGCATGCGCAGCGCCGTCTCGAGGGCCGAGGTGCTCCCCACCGTCAGGCAGGTGCGCCAGTCGGCGTAAGGGGGCGCTAACCCGACCAGCTCGACGTGCTCCGTCACGAAGCGCATCAGCTGCGCCGACCCGTTGGCCTGCCCGTAGTTGAGCCCGATCGACAGGTCGTACTCGCTCCGCTGCGGCGGATGCGTCGCGTCGTACTTACCGATCTGGACCGTCTCCTCGTTTAGTGCTGTTGCCGGGGACGGCTCCGGGGATGGGGAGAAGTTGGAGGCCCGCGGGACCCGCATGCTCAGTGACTCGATCGGGAAGTACTCTGGGCAGGGCAGCCCGCCGCCTAGAGAGATCAAGCCGGGCTTCTTGAGGTGCTTGGCCGCCTGCTTTAGTTTGCACGGCTCGCGGAGGAGGGATTCCTGGCTAAGATGGTCTAGGGAGGCGTGTCAGTACTTTGGTCTCGGTGGTTATCTTAAGGGGGAACAAGGGAGCGTACGGTCCCACCGCTTGGCTTTGGGCTTCCCTATTGTCTGTTTGCAAAAAGCAAAGTGCCTGGGTCAGCATATACTTATTGTTGGGCCTGTATCATGCACATTGGCTGCGAAAAGGGGTAGGGTAGGGGGGTGCAGATCGACACGGACTGAAAGGGTTAGGGTTAACAGACGGGCGCTTTGAACATATCCGCATCGCTGTACGCCGCCGTCGGCGCCACCAACCGTCCTGCCTTGGCCCGCCTTTCCAGGACGTCGGCGACGGTGAGGCGCCGCTGCTGGGGTGGCACGGGGGCAACGGGCTCAGCATCGGGCAGCTTGGCTGCCGTGCCGAGCGTCTCGGAGCGGTCCCGGGAACTTGAATGGAAACTGCAAGCGGCCCCCGCCAGAGCCCGGAGGCGTAAATGGCTATCCCTGACAACACCGCTGCGGTCTAGGAAGCATGCCGCAGGAGATGTGGAAGCGGAGGTTGAGTGCCGAGTTTCCCGGAGAGCGCCGGCCCGGAATCGGATAACGCCCCGCATCGCGATCGGGTGCGGAGCGGTGTGATCGGTGCAGACGGAGATGTGTCTTCTGAAAGCAGGATGCTGATAATTTATGTTGAATATCCGTATATTGTTTGGCAATAGCAAATGCTTGTTATTGATATCAAGACAATACATATGCAGACAGTCCTGATCGTTGAGATATGATAATAGGTTGTATCAGGGAGGTTGGAGAAGCGGTGTCGGTGTCTTCGGTGTCGATAAGAGTCAATGACAGGGTTGCGCTGGGGGCTACGCCCGCGGGTAACCGCTGGTAGCCCGCTTGAACAAGCTAGCGCAGGTACAATATGTACCATTAGCAGAACTACCCCTCTGACCTTGTGACTGCTACAGCTCAGCAATCGTCTTTGTATGTACGTAATAAGATACAATACATAGACAGACGTTCCCAGAGCAGATTAGACGAGTTGTTGAGCAAGGGAGGGAAAGTATGACAGCTGGAAATCCACCCCCTTAGGTAAAGTGGTCAGGGTGGAAGAACATGATCGACAACGAACAGAACAACGTGTGGTAGTCGTCTTCATGTGTATGTACACTTCCAATGTGTATGTACAACATTTGTTTTGACATAACCATATTATGTACATGTCGGGAGGAATGAAGTGGCCATGTCAGTTTCATGGTCGACTCATTTTTCTTGAACCCGTAGAGTTATGCCTGGAGTATCGTGAGCGACTCTCTCCCTGATCGCTCCTTTGTGACATATCGGCAACCGCCGTCGGATCCGTACCCATTCCGTACCAATTCCATTTCCCAGCCATGCCATGTTAGATACGTAGTGCAGTAGGTCGGAAATCAAATTCGCCCCCAATGCAAAAGGCGCTACAAGTCTCCGAAAGGAGTCGCCTCCATTGGCAATGAGTTTTGCTGCAACATGACAGTCCTCAACGTGTCGTCCCAGAGAGAGGAAAAAAAGAAAAATTGAGAGAAGGAAAAGAGAGGGTGCTCTGGCGCCAAAAAAGAAGCCGCCCTGCGGACAGGGTAATGATGGCGGGTGCTGTGGCAAAGCCCCCGACCGGGCAGCTATCTCCATGAAGCGAAAGCAAAGCGACCACGGTCGATTGAGTATTAGTTATGCCACAGGCATAGGGCAAGAGGCCGGTCCTCTTGCTATATCTGGCAAGGCTATGGTCGCGAGGCCGAATACACTATTAAGAGGCCAAGTTAACAATGTTGATACATATGTGCGCTTGCCCCCATGTTGAATGAAGGAGCGTACTGTCTGTCCGGCGTCTCATCTCTCACTTGGATTAGAGCAAAGGACGTCTTGACTCCACCGTCCCAATCTCCGAATCAGAATCTGGGTCCGAGTCCAAGCCGCCACCAGGCTCTTGGCTGTTCACAGCATGAGTCTCTTCTGGGCAGGCCTGGCCCGGCGAGGTATCCTGGGCGAAAAAGCGACGTATGCTGGAGTCCCAATGTGGTTGGACTTGACCTTCAACACTAGACAGCGACAGTCCGGTGCCTGTTGTGGTCGTCCGTTGGGAAGTCCTAGACGATGGCCCATAGCGGCCAAAATATAAAGGATTGAAACGGTTGGACTCGAGCGCGGGCACGGGCGCCTGCGGGCTGAGAATAGTCCTTAGGGACAACTCTGAGCGCTCACCAATTGAGACGCCAGAGAAATCGCACTCGCTATTGGCAGCAATCGAGAGCCGGCCCGGCGCCATGTGCTGTGCCATTTTGTGGAGGGCGACTGTGATCAGGCTCGACGCAACAATAAAAAGCGGCAGCCAGGGTATAAGCTCCTTTCTCGATGACCCGGATGACAGCACTGCGACGATTAGAAGCAGGATGGCCACGGCCGCCGTGAATGGTCCGAATCTGGACGGTGGGGTCAGCAAGCGTCCCGGAGCTGAAGGTTCTCCGGGCGGCCATCACCTAACGAATGGCTGAAGATGGAGAGCATGGAAGGCGAGCGCCGTAATGACGAATATAGCGAGCGTGCTGGATTCGGGTCAGTGCCCCTCCCGACATGAGGCTGCTGGTCCTTACACAAATCGAAATGGGAGTCCCTCTGCATTGGCGAGAGGGAAGAGAATAGCGGTGCCGATCATTCCACCACAGGACATGACCTTGAGCGCATGGCGGAGGTCATTAGCTGGGGATCTGGGGCGTGACGCAGGATCCATAGCGATGGTGCTTTGTCGCCCTGCGGAAATGGAATATCTATCTCTTCTTCGCCGCTGGCTGCTCGAGACGATGAGGGTACGCTGTTGAGTATTTCTGCCCAAACAAATGGGCAAAGTGATGCCGTAGCGGAGTTTGATGAGCGGGTAGCAAATGATAATAAGGAGCGAAGGTCAGTGAATGACTACTTGGCAAAGGTAGGCTGGGAGGGCGTGGTGTAAATAGAGTCTAGCCCCACCAGGTGTGCGGTTGTCATCGATAGGCTTCGGCATCTTTCTCTGGGACCATGGGTATTGTACCTATCGCTGTTGCTGCGCCCTCTCGAACACTCGCGAAGTTGCGGTCTGCATCAGAGAGCTGCCGCGCAAGAAACTGCGGGGAAGGGCCAATTGCGAAAAACGCGAGCAGGGAGCTCGAACTGATGTGGCTGCTCTGCAATTCGTTCGACTAGAGAGCGGGCCGAGATATCGAGCAGTGGCAACAGGAACTGCGATGTTTCAATTGTGGGCGAATTGGTTCGCCGTGGTCCGCATGGTCCGCAAAGAGCCCCTTCGAATGCGGCTCAGCGCTGCCTCACGATGGGATTGGTTCAACAGCTCAGAAGCTCGGTGAGTGCTGTCAGCCCGCCAGTCAGCCTTGGTTTCGACGAGGCAACGGGCTCGCGCCCAACCAGTCGCCTTGGGCTGGAACTGCATGGGTGACGATATGTAGGCCCGTCGACGGCTGCTTAAGGCACACTTCCGAATTCGAGCAGCTGCATGCATCCCGTGCAGGGACAAGGTGCGGTTTGCCGGGCGAATTGGCTGTGTAACTAACAACGGCTCCGAATAGCAAAGCATGAGATCTCTGCATCGCATCCTGAGGTCGTCAGATCAGACCGGAGTTGCGGAGGGATAAAGGACGCCCGCCAGGTGGTATTTATTAGGCCTCCCACCCAGGGCCGGAGAGAAAAGTGTCGAGGCTGCTTTGGAAACCTGGCGGGCCAGCATCCAAACTCCCCCCTGGCAAAGACCCCGAGGCGCCTTTTCCCTGATAGCCACTCATTACCCCAATGGATCCACGGCTGCTAGTATGCTGCTCGTATCAAGAGGACAGCAAGACGCGACGAGACTCAGGGCATCGGTGTTGGGCATCCGAGACGCTTGAGATCGGCATAGCTGCTCTTTGCAGTTTCGTGACGTGGGAGTACACAATTCAAAATGAGGGGTCTCGAGAATACAATGACAGAGTCGGTACCAGGCCGTCCGCGCTGCCGTATAGGATCTGGCTAACCCCCTGGCGTCAGTTACCCGGGCAGCATATCGTGGAAAAGCATGCCGACGGTTCCATCTTCCGACCATCTCCTAGCCTCCTGCTCTTTTCCTGTCTGGTCTTCGGCTGCTGTGTCTCCTCATTCACGCACCGGCGACAAACCGAGGATCAGTACCAGGCTGTCGTTTATGTCGTTCTCCTCGCAGGCGCTGCCGTTGCTGGGTACGCAGTTGGAGCAGACGTGCACCTGATACTCCTGGGATATCTTCCTTGGGCAACATGTGCAGCCATGGCCCTCAGCATCTCAGGCCATGGTCTCTATCGGTGGCTACAACGCGATTCCAGACCTGCCCAAGGAGACGAGGAGAAGGTGCCGCTTATGGGTTGAGTCCAAGGGACGACAGAGAATGGTCAATTGTTTATGGGTAGACCTGTCTTGTGATCCCGGGGCAGTGGCGCTGTTGCGCACCTGGGATTCGCGGTAAGGCTGGGGATTAACCATTGCCTCCAAAGCGAGTGCAGGAAGGTAGGTATACGATGCGAAAGTGGCCAAGTGCCGCAGGACGGGGACTGAAGCTCAAATTGTGCATAGACCTCAATGGCTCCGGAGGACAGGAAATGGGTGCCCAGCGGTGCTCGAGATGATAACGTCTCCTTTGTGTCCGTAGTATTTCCTCGGGGGACGCTGAAACCAGTCCTGCTTGAGAGTTTCTGGAAGTCTGGGCAAGCTTGACATCTCTATTTCTGGCCTCTTCGGATATCAGAACTTCGCGTCTCGTGTATTTCGTTAGCTCTGAGGAGAGTTTGGCCAAATCTTGAATATGGCTTTGGTGACCTGATGAATCTCAAAGGGGTCAGTTCGAAAGCAACGAGAACCTCAGCCCCAATATGAAAAGTTTGACGGAAAGTGAATCAAAGCCATGAACAAGCTTGTAACTCGTAATTGGATGACATCAGAGACAATCCAATTGCAAGTTTAAAGACGCATTAGCAAATATCCAATGCCATGGTTCGCCATGGTCTCTGTTTTGGAGGTTGATCTTTGCATACGGAGCATGCAAGAAAGGCGGGAGCTGGATGGAAGCAAGGATGTGGGTCTGCTGCGCTGCCAAGTGCCAAGCTAAGGTGCCAAGTGCCCACCAGCCACCAGCCACCCTAGCAGAGCTCAGCATCCCCACACTGCGCTTAGTTAGCTTTCTGATCCCACCAAACATGGAAACCGTTCTCCCAACCACCTCGAAATCTTAGGTACACAATCGCCAGCGTCACTGGCACCCAATCCCGAAACCCAAGAGCGCCAAATATCCACATCGTGGATGACGACTACGTTAGCACAAGATAATCTGGAGGTTGGGAGAGAATCCTTTCCAAGGCTTTGACAGCGTTTCTTTTGCGCATTTAGCCCCATAAAACCGGGAGCCTGCACCACCATGCGCTGCATCGCCCCGAGCTTGTTAATAGACCTCGATACTCCGTACTTGTATAGAGTTTCATTCTAGAACGGTACTTATCTGAGACAAGATACGAAGAACTTTCCCAGTCCATATAACCTATCCCGGCCACAAGGCAATTTCTAAGACGACGGGCCTCAAGTTTCTGAGTTCTGACCGAGCATTTGATCTCATACATTATTTTCCTCAACCCACTGTCAGGGTCAAGTGCAAAGCATCAGCCGAAATGTTGCTCTCCAGGAGATGGAGAGCACTCCTAGCAACAACAACTGCCGCACTGCTCAACGGAGCGGCATTTGCGCAGACGTGGTCAGCATGCAACCCCTTATCATCAAGTAAGTCGTTTGAAACCCAAGCAGCTGAGCTGAGGAGCCAGACTAACCCAACCTTTTCTAGCAAGTTGCCCAGCCGACACAGCGCTGGGCATGACAGTAAACGTTGACTTCACCAAAGGCGAGGTCAACTCGTTCGTGGCGAGCGGGGGAACGCCAACCTACGGCAGCGACGGCGTAACCTTCAGCGTTGCCCGATCAGGAGACGCTCCGCAACTAACCAGCGTCTTCTACATCATGTTTGGCCGCGTCGAGGTGACCATGAAGGCCGCCCCGGGTGCCGGGATTGTCAGCTCACTGGTGCTTCTCTCCGACACGCTGGACGAGATCGACATGGAATGGCTCGGCGCCGACGACAGCGAGGTGCAGACAAACTACTTCAGCAAGGGCCAGACCACGACATACAACCGCGGCCAGTTCAACCCGGCGCCCAACAACCAAGCCCAGTTCATCACGTACACCATCGACTGGACCGCGGAGCGCATCGTGTGGTACGTCGGCGGCACCGTCGTGCGCACCCTCACCTACGACGAGGCCGCCGGCCAGTACCCGCAGACGCCCATGCAGGTCAAGTTCGGCGCGTGGTCCGGCGGTGACCCGGCCAACCCGCCGGGGACGATCGAGTGGGCCCGGGGGCCGACCGACTACTCCAAGGGGCCCTTTTCGATGCATGTGCGGTCCGCCATCATCACCGACTACTCGACTGGCAAGAAGTACACATACAGCGACACGTCCGGGACCTGGCAGTCGATCCGGTCCGAGGGCGGCGAGATCAACGGCAACCTGGGCAATGCCAACCCCGTTACCGTGACAGCCAGCGCGACGGCCGCCGCGACCAACTCGCTCTCTCCAACCATCCCTCCCGGCGGCATCGGCGCCGGCAGCGCGACGACAAGCAGCTCAACGACAAGGTCGTCGACCGGCCCCATCCCGGACGGCTGGATCTTGACCTCGGACGGCAAAATCGTACCTGTAGGTTCCAGCACCGTAAGTACGTACCGTTCTATACCCCTCAGCGCCATTCCTATGCAGTAATTACTCTGCCCCCCTTTTTTAAGGTGATGATTAACTCTCCTGCTGGTCCAGACGCCCCCAACAGCATCCTTCTCCTCGCCACCCCCTTCTGCCTCATCCTTGGCACCTTCGCAGCCTACTACAGGCTTTGAGCATGGGCGCACGACGTTCACGACTGCCACCACGGCACCCGTAGCAGGGCCAGCGGAAACAGCGGCTCCTCCTGCAAACTGGGCAGTGGCAGCGAGTCCTCACTTCGCTGTGGGGGTCATTGCCGGTGCTTTCCAGTTGTTGATGTTCTGTCTGTTGTAGCAGGCGGCATTTCTGAATTCATTGGGCTTGGCGTTGCATTCCAAGGCGTTTGGAGCGTAGAGATAGGACGGGACTGGAATGGCAGGTATATAATTTCGAGTGCATATATTCTCGCGGCATGAACTGGTCGAGATAGGGAGGCCGTACTCTTAGTTGCGGCTCAAGACGGGGCATAGGCTCGCTACGGTTTCGGAATTCGACCCCTGGCCATATTGATAGGTGCTTAAGCAGATACATACATAATACGTCAATACCATGGTCACAGCGATTCAAGACTCGGTTGAGTCAGATGTGAAGACGATCTATTGAGGATAAGCTCTAACCCATCGCTTCTCTTCGTGATAGCTTCCTATGCTTTCGCAATGATAACAGCAAACCCACACTACCAGTATGCGAAGCGATGATGATGGCCATCCGGCAATCGCACTGGCTTTGAAGGCAGATGCAGCTGATCGCCTTGGGCTACCGAATCGCTAGGGTAGCAGGTTCCAAGATTCCCTTCGTGAATGCCGCTCATGAGTTGCCCAACCGGCCCGATATTCGAGCGCAGATCCTTTGGGCAATGTATGTAGCTGAACTAACGCTGTGACTGTCCCCTTCCTATCATGGGGATTTCCGCCATCGAGGCCCAAGCGTCGCGGGCTTTGGTATACAGAGAACCGTACAAAAATATGTGCGATGGTCGAATGTACCACGCTCAGAATTCCCACGAGTCGTCGTTACCCACCGATTGGATGGCCCAGTTGAATTTATCACGGAGCGTCTTGGAGAAGAACTTCTCAATCGGTACCTTAAACCTGTTCGAGAAGGCAACGGTGAGACGCGGGTCGATGTAGTTCTGGATACACTGTCAGTAGGCAAACTCTCTGGTTGTTTTACAAATAGGGAGAGGTGACTGACGATTTTTGAGGTACCCAGGGCAACCTCTTTGTTGCCCTCGCGATCGGCACATTGCAGCTCGAGCGTCTTGATGCGCTCGTCCAGCTTGTCGATCGCCGCCATCAACTTCTCGACCGTAGGACTCTTGCCCTCGGCCTCCACTTTTCCTGTCTTGTTCTCCTTCTTGAACTTAGCCTCGAGCTCTGTGGCTGCCTTCATCCGCTCCTTAAGCTCTTTCTCAGGCATTGGGTTGCCACCTTCAGCAACGAGCTTCTCGTTGTCTTTTTCAAACTTCTTTTTGATCTTGGCTTTCTGCTCCTCGACAAGGAATTGCTGATGCTGCTCGATCCACGCCTGGTCCAGGTCCTTGTCGAGTTCGAAAAACTCGGCACCCTTCTTCTTCTTGAGCTTAGGGTCCACATCGAGCATCATCATTTTGGTGCGCCATTTCTGATACCTCAAGCCTTTGATGCGGTCCCCGAGTTTCTCCATCTGCGCCTCGTGAGCGGCGCCGACAGTCCGCTTGTGGTTGCAGAGGATGGCCACCTCACGATTGCAGTCGTTGTACAGCTTGATCTTTTCCTGGATCGATGTATTGTCGTTTTTGAGTTTCTTGAGAAGCTGTGACATGGTCCACGAGGCGTTGTAGGTACGGAACACCTTTGCTGTAAGACCGGGCATGTAGCTCGACAGGTGCTTGTTCAATTGAGAAGTCTGCGAAGGATGTCAGCGAGAGGCTTGTTTTGGAATCATAGGATCAAACTTACGGTCAACCTATCAAAAATGTCGTCACCGTCCTCCTTTGGCGGCTTCTTGAACATCTTCAGGTTCTTGAAAACCTGCCGGTCCACCTGAACTTCATTGTAGAAGCGGATGCTGTCTTTGCCCAAGAAGTCGAAGATAACGGTGTTAGGCTCTCTGAGGGTGACATGCTCGTATTTCAACGAGCAGCAACCAACGGTTTCAGCCTCGTTTTCCGTGTCCTTCTCGTTACCGGCTCTTAGGGCGAACTTGTCAATCAAGTACATGGCGGTTGCCCGCTGTCGGTCCGCCATGACCTCGCTTTTGAGCTCCCTTGTGTAGTCGGCGCGGATACGGTCGATGTGCTTCTTGAGCTCGCGGGCCTTTTCGAATTTTTTGTAATCGGCTTGGCCCTTGATGGCGCTGTTGGCTGCCAGCATCACGTATTTGTAATTGCCATTGACGTTCTCTTGCCACATGGCCAGCCAAGTCGCCTTGTTATCATGCTGAACGGCCTTCCACTTGTGCCCGGGCGGAGGATCGGGGACTTTGGCCTCTTTGCCGATATTGATGGTGACTTGCTCGGGCATAACCCGCTTCTTCACCATGCCAGTCTTTGGATGCTCACCGCGGCCGCGGAAAAGACCCGGTGGTTCGACACGGAAGTTACCCACCTTCTCCTTCCGACCGTCCCATTTGCAGTACATGTAGGGCGCTTCAAGCTTCTCCTTCTCAGCCTTCTCGGCCTTCTTCTCAGCAGCGGGGCGCGCCTTCTTGGCCTCGCTGATGGCTCTATAATGCTGGAAAATCTTGGTGAAATCGAGCTTCTTGAATTCCTTGATTTCAACCGGGTCGCCGTTCAAATCCTTGGCGCCGCCGGTTTTTTGGAGGATATCTTTGAAATCGTGAAAGAAGTTTTTCTGGAAGACGGGATTCTCGACGTTTTGTGTTGAGTGAAGCATGGAGCCAAAAAATGTCGCCACTTCTTCAGCATCCACGTGCAGTTGGACGGGCTTACCATCGTAGTACAGCTTCACGTCCTTGGGCAAAGGCTCGTATGGAGGAGCGAAGAGCACACCGTTGTGCTCCAGCGTGGTCCACTTGATTGTGTCGTCTTCCTTCTTGGGTGCGTCCCACCATCGGTATTCCTCCTCTTCCTCGTCATCACTGTTCTCCTTGGACTCCTCCTTCTCGAACTTGGCTTCTTTCTTGACAGCAGCAGCTTTGGTCGTCTTTGCAGGCGTGGCCGCCTTCTTTGCCTTCTTGGCAATGGGCACATCAGAATCCGACTCAGGTTCCTTCTTGACGCCGTTTGCCTTCTTGGCGGAGGAAACTCCGTTCGATTGCCGTTTCTTGGGTTTCGAGAGAGGCTCATCATCAGATTCCTCCTTGGTAACCTTCTTGGCAGCAGCATTCTTGACCTTGGCATCAGAGCGGATGGCTTTGGCTTCTTTCGCGGCGGCTTTCTCAATGTTCGCTTTCCTCTGAGCTAGCTTGGTCCCCAGAGGCTGCTCATCATCGGATGATTCGACTGTCGCCGTCTCATTGATGGAGGGGGGCAGCTTAACGCCGTTCTTCTTTTTGGCGATTGGCTCATCGTCGCTATCGGATCCTGCTTTCTTATGCTTAGACTTTTGGCGTTTGGCCTGCAACAGTCAGTTCACATTCTGTCTGTCTGACTCTTCTGGCGCACGTGTGGTTTATCCTACCAAGGGTGCGCCATCGTCGCTGTCAGATTCGGCTCTGTAATTGACTTTGCCGGTCGAGCTGCGGGACTTGCGCTTAGCAGCACCGCCAGGAGTTGAGTCAATGTCCATCGCTTCATCAACGGGACCGTGGCGAACTGATACGCCCGGGGGCAGGGGGCGAGCCTTGGAGTCGGACTTGTCCATCTCGCGGTCGGCCTGAGGCGAGATGTTGGGAGCTGAGGCTGCGGGGGAGATTAGAATGTTAGCAGTGCTACCTGGCCACAATAGCATTCATTTAGGGAATGTCTGATGGTAGGCAGGCAGGTGCGACGCTGGGGGCTGACGAGCCCAAACCGGCTTACCACGGCCCAGCGCCGAGTATTACGAGATCAAGTGTGAAAGAGAGCGTTCAGAGGAGGCAACGAACAAAGCAAAATATTCGACTCACAGTGGCCATTGGTTCTCGCCAGAGGCATATCATCATCGGAACTATCGGAAGCCATGATGGCTGCACGAGACTGCTTCGCTCTTGTGGTCGGGGCGGCGCAACGCGGCGCAGTGAAAGCCGGTGAGAATCGCGCGGAACCGAGTGAAAGGCAGGGCCGAAAAAGAGATCGAGATTGGCTCGATGAAACCTCTTCTTGTGAGAAGGAGGCGGGTGAAAATTGCAGTAAAAGGCTCCCCGGAAATTAGACAAAGGCGATGAAGAAGGCAGAGAGAATGGTTGGGGCGGAAGGGACCGAGGGAAGGAAGGAAGGCAGGCAGAGGAAGGGGAAAGAAAGGGAAAAAAAGAGAGGGGATTCAGCAGTAACGAACTTGGGGCGATGAACGAGGTTAAAGATAATCTTCGGTACTCCACCCGCTTTAAGCCTTAAACGTAGCTGCAGCCAGTAACTTCACTGATCCAAGTCGCGACTGACCAGGGCTCAGCGTGTGGCACGACTGGTCCGGCGTCGCCAAGACTCCACTGGAACAGCCAGCGCAGGCCTAGCCAGCACCTGACTAAGCCAATGGAGTGCAGTCAGTCGAGTTTCTGAGGTGAGATGGAGCTGTCTGCCTCGTGCTTGCCCCGTGCTGAGTGGTGACCAGTCGCCAGCTGCCGGGAAAACGGGTGGGCGGGGCCGCAACTGAGAGCCATCCATGGAATGGAAGCGGAAAGCAAGTGGAGCCAACCTCAGCAAACCTCTCACTGCCAATTGCAGAAGTGCCTCTCTACCGTATCCATCACCACTTCCCCGATCAATTGACGCCAGCACACACCACTGTGGTCAATCGGGGCCACAGCCAGCCAGAGACGGTTTTTTCCGAATATTTGCAGCACTTTCCGCCATGCTGTCAAGGGCTGCCCGACCGGCCTTGAGAGCCGGCGCTACCGTCTCGTCCCGGTACGTGTCTTTCCCTAGCTCCGGGCTTTTCCTCATTTCAGTTTGAGCTCCCAATGACGGAGGGCGGCGATGGTTGGGTCGGAGGAGGGGATTAGGGAGCGTTGTGGTTGTCAGGTTACGGCAACAGAGTGCACAGAGGAGGATGCCGATACGAGAGAAAGCCCGTACTGACAGACGCCCCGAAACCGCAGAGCGGTAGCTCCGAGCACGGCCACCTTCGCAACGCTGCGTGAGATCGAGGGCCGCCTCAAGTCGATTCGCAACATTGAGAAGATCACCAACACGATGAAGATTGTGGCTTCGACCAAGCTGACGCGCGCGCAGCGCGCCATGGCCGACTCGCGCAAGTACGGCGAGACGAGCAACGAGGTGTACGAGTCGGCCGAGACTAAGCCGCTTGAGGGCGAGGGCAAGAAGAAGCTCCTGGTGGTGTGCAGCTCCGACAAGGGTCTTTGCGGTGGTGTCCACTCGGGTCTGTCGCGATACATTCGCCGGAGGGCTACCGAGAACCCCAACTTCGACCTCGTGATCCTGGGCGAGAAGTGCAGGTCCCAGCTGCAGCGCACCAACGCCAAGGACATCGTCCTGAACTTCGCTGGCGTAGGCAAGGACATCCCAACCTTTGCCGAGGCCCAGGCCGTTGCGGACCAGATCGTCACGCTTCCTGGCGACTACTCCGACATCGAGATTGTCTACAACAGGTTCATCAACGCCACGAGCTACGAGCCCACCGTCATTTCGGCCTTTTCTGAGGAGGCTTTTGCCGCGTCTCGTATGTTTGGATAGCGTTCTACATGTCCCCGCCAAGCGCCAGCTAATTGTTCGATCTAGCCAACTTCTCCGCCTTCGAGGTTGACGAGGAGCTGCTCTCCAACCTGCGTGAGTACGCGCTCGCCAACTCGCTCTACTGGGCTCTGTCCGAGGGCCACGCCTGCGAAATCTCCGCTCGCCGCAACGCCATGGATGTAAGCATCTCGTATCATCGTCTCCGCCATCCGTGCTGCATTTCTGACGTCTTATCCCTGCAGAACGCCTCCAAGAACGCTGGTGAAATGATCAACAAGTACCAGATTCTTTTCAACCGCACCCGCCAGGCCGTCATTACTGGCGAACTGGTTGAAATCATCACTGGTGCTACCGCCTCAGAGGACATGTAAACACGTTAAAAGCGCGCGATTTAATGGCCTGTAGACGAAGAGTGTGTAGATGGAGTAGCAGCAGTGAGGGGGAATTCCGCGGTTGCGGCGCGGAGGCTTGGTGTCTTCCTTCTTAGACCCGCCCAACGATAAGCTAGAGCGCCCAGGAGGACAGAGACGGTTTCCTTTGTACCAAGTAGCAAGAGTCCTCGCAATCCAGCATGCGGCCCTCGCAGTGTATGTACCAACGCCTTTCGGAATACAAAGTTCCTTGCATGTACCAAATCGAACTTGAGAATTGAAGTATCCCCTCTTTGCCTGGTGTTTCTGCGGTCTGGCACCGTCAACAAATCCGTAGTTTGATCATGATAGGTAGAATCGGTGTATGGCTTTCTTGATGTATCCTAGCCACAAGAGTCAAAGTTATGCATGGAGATACCACAGTCTGACCTCGACTGACTCCGAGGCGGGAAGTGAGAGCGGAAGCCTTTGGTGCACTTCATCATGGCACACACGCAGAGTCATGTTCATAGCATGTCCCAACATAATAAAAGATATGGCTCGCCCATGTATCCGTAACCTGTAACATATCTGCTTTCGGAAAAAAAAACCCCAATACACATGAGTACTTGACCCCGAAAGCCTATCCCTACACACAAGTTACCTTAAGTTATTACCTGGCATTGCGTAAGTATCGAGAGACGCAAGAGACCCAGGGGCTACAAACTCACTTGATGCCATGCCCAACCACCACAGCGCCGGGACGCCCACCAGCGATGATATATAACACTGACAAAGAGAAGCAAGAAGAGGAATGAATACGGAAAGCTCCACGAACCCGACACCGTTGAAAAGATCTCAGCCCCGCCCTTGTCCTCTCTCACCCTCTCCACGTTGACCAGTTCACCCTCCCTTTTTCTCTGCATCTGGCCGCGCCTCCTCCATCTCAACGTCACTACTATCAACCTCAGCATAACTCTCCACTTTCATGCGACTCCTCCTCCCAGCAGCGGCAGCGGCAGCCGCAGCCGCAATCGCATCCGCCGCTACCGCACCGCCCGCCTCGGCAGTAGCAGCATCCCCCGCAGCAGCAGCAGCATCCTTGCCGCCGACCACCTCGCAAGGATGGTCCTTCTCATACCGCTCCCTGAGCTCGGCCGCCTTGCGATCCCACTCGGCCGCGGCCTCCTTGAACTCGGCCATGGCTTTCGCATACGCCGCCTTGTGCTCCTCGGCCATGTCCACGTAGGGTTTCCTCTCCTCCTCGCCGGCGTCGCGCCACATCTTGGCGCTCATGACGCGCACCTCGTTGGCCGACGGCTTGCCTTTGCCGCCGGGACGCCGGCCGGCCTCGAGGCGCTTGCGCGCGTCTTCGTAGTGGGCCTTGCTGTAGAAGATGTAGGCGTTGGTGGCCGGCTTGGCGGGAAGGGGAGGACGCGGGCCGATCTGGCTCACGACGTGGTCCCAGAGCTCGGCCTCGTGGGCATCGAGGCGGGCCTGGACGGGGTCCTCCTTTGCAGCCGATTCGAGGAGGGCCGCCTTGCGCTTGAGCGCGGATTCCTTGGGTATGATGAGGGGGACGGGCACCTCGATGGGGCCGAGCATGGCGTCGAGCACCTCGGAGGCGGCGCGGAGGCCGGAGAGGTATGCGCCGTGGACTGTGGCCGGGTGCGTGCCACACGTGTGCTCGCCCGCAAAGAAGAGATTCCCGACGGGGCGCGCCATGGTGTCGTAGTCGTCGGCTTTCATGTCGGGTCCCGCGGATGAGTAGCTGCCTCGCGCGAACTTGTCCGAGGCCCAGCGCGTGACGACCGCTTCAAGCGGGTGGGGGACCCTGGGGCCGAAGACGCTGCGGAGGATCTCGGTTGCCTCGGCCACCAGGTCGTCGTTGCACGTCTGCTCCGTGTCGTAGCCGGCGTCGCCAGCCATGAGCGCCAGGAGGACGGGCAAGCCGCTGGTCTTGGAGACGTTGAACCATTGGAAGAAGCGTCCACGCTGTGAGGCGTAATCCTTTTGTTCAAGGCTGTGGCGGTTGAGCGGGTTCCGCAAGACGCCAAAGATATCGCGATCCTCGTCCCAGAATGGCTCCTTGTACACGAGAATCACCTTGTTCAAGACTCCAAAGCCCAGACGGTTAATGGCATCGGATTTCCAATCCGGCAGTGGCGGCTCAAAGCTGACATTTCCGTGCTTCAACACGCCTAATGGTATTGTGTTGACGACATAGTCTGCTTGTATGGTGAAGCCATCTTCGCACTGGACGGTTGCCGAACCTGCCGGACTCCCAGCGGTGTATGTAATTCTGCTGGCTGGGGACTTCTGCCTCACGTCCAAGGGCGTGGGTAGGTGCATGAGCCCCCTTGGCACGCTCTGGTATCCGCCGATGACCATGCTGTGGCTGCCCTCCCACTCGTTTCCGGCGTCGATATCCCACCCTTGGAGACTCAGTTGATGGTAGTTCGTGGCATTGCTATACTCTAGGTTGGCAATGTGCCAATTCATGAGTCTGAAATCCTGTGCGGTAAGATCTAAGAGGTCCCGATACTGAGCAATAACCCTGTCCGTGACGCTTCCAAGAGTCGCGCCAGGCTCCTTCGTTGATGGCTCGATATCCAAATCAGCGTCGTCGCTAACCCCTTGCTTTAGCGCCCATCCCATCATTTTCGCCTTATGTGCAGCCTTCAAAGCTCCTGGCGTGCCCGGCTCGGTATGTATCCTGCCTGTGGCTCGATCGGATGAGACCGGCACAAGATTCACCTGGGGTGCGATGTTCTGCTCCGATACGGGCGCTGCATACGGCTGCGCTGCGGCCGACTCTTCGGCTTGGCGTATTGTTTTGTGTGTTTCAGCAGAGCTGTCCTTGCCCTCGTCGATCAAGTCTTTGTTGCCCTCAATCAGTTTGGACGTTGGTTGCTTGAATTTGTACTCGCTAACTCGGTCAAGACAATCATTGTAGAGCTTCTCCACAAGCTGGTCCCGTTCTAGATCCACCGGCTTGCCATTCGAATCGTAGAGCGTAGTGTCTGGTCGTAGTGGATGGTAGGCGAGGCCCAGTTGGCCCCTGAGGAGGATGTTCAAAGGGTTTCCCCTATCGAATCCAGTTATTATCATGCCCCCCATCTCTGCGGTGAACCTCTTTCCCTCGAACTGAGCAGGGACATTCTTAGGCCGCGTCCTGAAGGACCGAGAGTAAACCCTGCCACCAATCCGGTTTCTGCCTTCGAGAACAACTACCCGAGGTGGTTCTTCACCCATACTACGAAACTTCTTGGCGTACTGCATAAACAGCCCCTCGAGCTGCCTCGCACAGCCGAGACCAGCCATGCCCGCACCGAGGACAACGACAGTTCTCCTCCTTCGCCCCGAAGGCGATTCTCTGTCGGCATTTTTCCGTGGCGACCGTATCTCAACACATCCAAAGTTGATGTAGCCGCGGCGGACAAGCCAATCAAAACACACACTCGCAACGTCGAACCACCTCGAATCTTTAGCGCAGCCCACGGCCTCCTCACGAGTGACGGCAATCTGTGGGTTTCGGACCCATAACCGGAGGATGCCGTTCCGGATGTTTAAATAGGTCGTCACTTGAGCGTGGCTTATGTGGTCACGAAGCATCAGATACTCCTCCTGGTGAAGCGAGTAAGGATTGAGCCTCGAGGCCTCTGCACCGGCCACGCATTGCATCGCATACTCGGAGAGGGGCAAATCACTGGGTATTGAAACCTTGGGTCGGACATCGTATCGTCGTCTCGGGGCAGTACTAGGCTGGGTGAGTCGGTCAACCCTGGGAATGGGTGCCTCCCTTGAGCTATCGACGTCAACAGGGGTAGTAGCCTTGCTCGAGCCTGATGGCGGCAAGGATGAGAGATCAGACTGGTCCGACAGGGCTGACAATGATGAGGAAAGAGATGATTGTTTATCTACTGCATCCCCTTCTTGCAGCGGAGTTGGCGGGGTTTCGGATGGTGGAAACGACGGCGGCTGTTGCACGAGAGGGTCGGGTATGGATGGTGATGATCTGGTAGCTAGCTCAGTATGAATGGAAACATATATGTGGGTGAAATAAAAACTGAGTGGCAATAGCTAAGGGGGAAGCTGGAGTACACATACGTGGTCTTGTCCTCGTGTGCCGAAGTAGCCGACGCGGGGGTTTCAGAGGAGTCCACCATCATGCTGTCCATGTCTTCAGTCCAGACGACAATCTCGGGGGCGATGTCCTCTGACCCGGTGCCGGCCGAATCGTGCCGTGCCGTTCGCAAAGTGGCTTCTTGCTCGGGTAAGGTGCTGAAGGCAGGTGACGGGGGCTTGGCAGAACTGGCGAGGGAGGTGTTGTGTGTGGAGCGTCGTGAGTCGACTTCTCTGGCGCTTTTCAGAGGTCCCTTTCTCAAACCACTAGATTGTCTGGTGCGGGATCGCAGAGAAGTTCCCATTATAGCGAGATGACCCTCCTCTGACTGTGTGGTTGATGCTTTCGCGATATATATCGACGTCGGTTCTTGAGGTGGCAGCGGCAGCGGACGAGGCCGGATCGGCCTCGATCCATATAAAAGGGCAGGACGAAGGTGCCAGGAGAGCAGTGGCCGACGTGCCACAAGCCGCCGAGAAGATAATTGCTAAATGGAAAGCGTTTGTGATTATGAAAGAGAAGCGATCGATAGTTCTGATTGTATGCATTAGCATGGTGGCGCTCCCAGCACAGGTGAACATATACAACAACATCAGGTGTTTCCTATGTAGAAAAAGACTTCGCAACATTTTCCAGACGGAGGAGATATGGTCCAGTGCCTACCTTGAAAATACATGTCGTCCTGCCAGCACGCCAGTGCAGAACCTCGACCAGGGCTCCAATATATTACAGATTAGGAACTTCGAATAATGAAGATTTGGCATCCCAGGCCCGAGACTTACGATTGTCTCGGCATGAGTCTCGGAGGGATGAGGACGGGGTCCTCTGAGAGACAGTGCCGGGCTCATCTCCACAGCACTGCCAAGCCAAATTGAGACCACTGAATCCGTGCATTGAGACAAACCCCTTTAGGTATGGCAGCGTCACGTGAGGTAGTGGTTGTCAGTCAGCTCGCCATGCTTTCCATCAATTGATGCAAATCGTCGCTAGAGATTCACCAAACTTCCAAAGGCTCCCGTCCTCGGGCCAACTTGAAAGTCTCAGTGGCACAGCTTAGCCCACCTTCTGGAGTCTCAATATCGGGCCCCATGATTTCATGGCCAACAGACGCTTCAGGCCTTCAACAACTGCCTCGTCCCCAACGCCGTAGAGACATCTCATTTGGATCGGGTATCAAATATTTATCTGGCCGTTGAAGTCTGCGGCGCCCCCTTCTCGAATGTTTCCTTCTCGATTGCAGCATCCATCATCCTATTCCCGCTAATGATCGATGTTGTACAGATGATGATGTTCCTCCGAGCTGTACTCGCAGTTGCAAGCAAGTTAGCCATCGCGCCCACTGGAGAATCAATGCTGCTTGCTGAGAATCATTGACGTACCTTCTTCCTGCTTTGCAAGGAAACGTAGAGCGGCAATCTCGGTGAATGTGATACCGCCAACAAACACAACAAAGACGCTTTTCTTGTCACCGCTGCCAGACAAAAGAGCCCGAGCTTTGACCGCTTTATCCTCCCCTTTCTGGACCTCGTCAAATGTCTGCCCTCGGGCATGCTTGACGGCGTCATCGAATCCCCTCCAGCCTTGTGCTCCTCCGGCCGCTGGCCCTGGCGCATTCGTCCCCCCTACTCCACTTCCCCTGGTTATCGAGAGCAAATACTGCTTTTGGAGCACACATTGCACGAGCCGGATCGAGAGAGGGGCGTAGCCGCTGTAGACATAGGCAATGTCGTTGGGGTCCTGCTCGTTGACTTCGTCCACGATAAGCCGAAGCTGCTTCCGCAAGTATGTGTAGTTTGTTTTGGTTCCTGCGGCACCCGCCGAGCCCGTCATGGGTATCATGGAAGCCAGCGGGGATGACCGCGACAGGAGCATCTGAAGCCGCTCCAGGTTCTGAAGGGTAAGGAGGTGCTGATATCCATATCCCTGGAGGATGAGCCGCCGAAAGTGGTCCAATTCTTTTGCCTTGATCCCACCCGATATACATGAATAGATGCACAGCAGCCTGAGAACCTGAGGTAACGGGGCATTGCGAGCTATGAGCTCCTCAATCGCATCGAATTGTGACGACGGGTCGGCCCCCGCCGCGAGGTTCTGCTGCACCTCGAGAAGTTTGTTAAACGTCTCGGTTCGTGTGTATTTGATGATCTCCTCTGCCATGCCCGTCTGTATCTTCAGGCTCTGCTGCTCGGCCTGGTAACCTGGCAGCTTCTTTACAAATTCCTTGAGCTCGGCCGTCGTCTTGGAGCTATGCCTACTTTGGTAGTCGCTTTGCAACCGGCGGGCGACCTTGTTCAAAAGACCACCGACGATGGCAAAATTGGCGTCGCGAAGTTGTTCAAAAAGCGTATCCGAGCCATCAAGTTGAATCTTGCGCTTCCGTGTCTGCCCATTGTTCGCTGCTGCCGCCGCCGAAGTGCCCTGTGGTGTCGACTGAGCCGGCACGCCAACGATGGTCGAGTCGACTTCAGTCTGGTTGTTTTGGATTCCAAATACCTCGTCTATTAAGCCCTCATAAGTCAGTTGCGTCAGCAAAGGCGTCACAAAGTCGACTTCGCGGTCGATAATAATGACGTTCTCGATCGTAGTGCTCGGGCTCAATCCGACGGCGGGCCCCTCACTCGCATCCTCGCCGGCGAGTAACTCCTGCCGCATGCGAGCAAGAAGATCAGCAACCCGTTTAGCATTGTCACCTTTACCAATGATTCGGGGAAATAGGCCGTGTTTCAGCTGGATTCCCATCAATGCACGGGCAAGTAGAAAGATCGGAGTGGGATCCTTTGCGAGGTACATGTCCCGGAAGGAGTCATCTAGTTCTAGAGACAAGACATCTTTCTCTAGTGGGAAGAAGAACAGAGAAAGTTCGGCGACATTTGTATCGCCCAGGACACCCGCCTCTTCCAGGACCTTGTCTGAGAGCAGCGTCCGCCGTGGCACCCAGAAGACGTGGAACTCGTGGGGAGACTGGCTATCACGTTGGAGTCGTTTTATCTGGTCTACATACTATGTCAGCACGCGATGATAGCACCAACTCAAAGTCCTGCGACATTTCCTGATGCTATAGGACCGCGCTGGCCTGCGTTGGCTCCATATACGGCCCATCTGACTGACGAACGCTGAGTGGGGGCACAGCTCGGCGCTGTCTACTCTAGAGCCGACAAAGGAAGTGAAAGAAGAATGGCGAGGGTGACGAGATGCAACTGTACTCACTCGCAATGGCATGAGCGTTGTGCGCCGACTCGCCTCGAGCGATGAAGACAACATTTCGCTGGCTTGTGTCTGTATTGTTGTTCTCAAGAAAGAAAAAATTGTCGACACCGTAGTCGCGCAAGGTCGAGGCCTTGACAATCACGCCTACTGGTCCAGCCAATGCCTTCTCAATAACGAGGTTCTTCTTGCCGCGGACCTAAGGGGCACGCCGGCCGTCAGTTCCAGCGGCCCAGCGCAGCGCAAACGGAACTAGAATCGCCGGCGCAGTCAGACCGGAGACATCAACTTACTGCCTCGAGGAGAAAAAGCAGGTCTTTGCGAGCCTTTTCTCTCACCTGGTCCGTGTCGAACTCGACACGAGGAGCCATGGTGGCGAGCTCTCCATTTATTCAGGAGCTTGGGTTGTGGTCGAAGTCGAACAAGGCAGCAGACGAGATGCTCAGATGAGAGCTAAGCTAAAGCCTACAAATACGTAGGCTCCGTAGGGCAACCTGGTCTTGGCACAAAGCCCCGTTTTATGCATATCGGTGATCGGTGTGCAACTTTACCGAGATAAGGCTGTCCACTGTAGGTAATCTAGGTCAAGCTCCCCGTAGTGGTAAGAGAGCTTCTATCATTTATGAGCTCACGTCATAGGTATGCCTCTTAACTGACTGCTCTTGTACTGCCTCAATGAAATGGTACCACGTCTTATTGTTTACTCTGTCTGGGCAACCAGTCATCTACTGCTGCTAGGCCTAACACATCGAGGGCTACGGAATCGTCAAAAATGGTTAGTAAATTGTTGTGTGCAGGCGTCCATGCCAGGCAAAGAGACAAAAGGGGCCGGGCACTACATATTCATAAGCTGCCCAAGCCTGTTCATCTTCATCGGAGTCCAGGCTTAGAGCTACCGCGCCTACGATGATTCCAACGGTGAAACTGAACGCAAAAACTCCTTATCAAACATGGCCCAACCGGAGGAGCTGCCCTTCGCTCCGTAATGCACTCACTCCAGTCCAAATGCCCTGCCACCCACCAAGAAAGCGAACGCCCATATCCCAAGCCGAAGATAAAACCTACGCAACTGAAATGAAACGCACTCGTCTCCCAGTGGGGCTGGATCACACATTGTTGTCATGGTAGTAGAACTCAATGTCCTTTGGCCGCAGTCGGTTGGCGCGAACAAACTCCTCGTCTCCGGGAGGGCGCTCATCTTTGGTATTGCCCGTCAGCATGCTCTGCAAGCTCATGCAGACGCTCTCAACGTTCTGCACCGGGCTCCACCCTTGCTGGCCGAGGAGGTCAAGGCAGATGATGCCATTGGAGTAGATGTGGGGGTGGATGGGGATCGGTCTGTCGGGAAGCTTCACAAAGACCACTTCGGGCGGTTCTGTGTGCAGGAACCGTCAGGTCAGGTCAGCAGCGGACTTCCTGGACGCAGCGCAAGAGAGAAGATGGCGCGAAGGGAGGAGCAGGACTTGGCCTACCGATGGGGTACGAGTGGCTAAATCGGAACTTGAGCCTGTAGGTCTGATTTTGGTACAGCGGGTTGTTGTCTAGCACCCGGATATCCAAGTACCATTCCTCAAGGTTATCGGCGGACACAAGCTCGATGCCCGGTGGTAACGAGGTGTTGATCTAACGGCGGCAACCTCAATTAGCTAGGCGCGCGGCACAGGACAATTGTTTGTATGTAGAACCTTTTGGAGCTCTTTCGACAACCTCTTCGCAGCAAATTGCGCAGTCATCTTCAATCGTCGCGGTGGCCGGGGAGGCCAAGGCGGATGGCCAACCGGCACTGGTCGCGGGGTGAGCGCTTAGGCGGGGCCCGCTAGGTACTCAGGTCGCTCTCACACCACAAAGAGACGGGAGAACTGTAATGGTGAGGGGAATGGAAAGCAACGCGAGAGAACCAGAGGGCGTTCAGAATAGGCTCTTACAAGCCACCTCAAATTGCTGTTGACGGTTTAGAGCTTTGGTAACGGCAATGCTTGGGAGGCGGCGTTGGACGTCAAGAGCATCAGTTTAGGCGGGGATGAATGCGAATGGTGGGCGAGGTTTCGAAACTACGAGATGCAAGGCTCCACTTGCCGCCTACCTTGGCGGCCGGCGATACCAGCCGAAGGGAACTAACCACACACCTCTGACAACAGCTTATCGATTGGTCGTTCGCAGGCTGTTGGGGAGATCTCCGGATCGAACTCATGCATGTGTTGCAGTGTGTTGTTGGCTTGGCTTTGAATATGGTATGTACGGTATTCCACAGTCAAGGAGCACTCTTTTATCACGGCAGGCAATCCCCGTCGCAGAGCACCCATCAGGCGGTCTTTGTCAGAACGCCGATACCTATATGTAAACATGGTCTGGAGGGAACCGGCTTGCCTGCTAGAACGTCCAGGCAGGGCGTTCTATTTGGACTGGAAGCTGGTGCCTTATCGGGCAATCGGGTTCATGTCGTATGCGCCTCAGCACCAGATGTAACCTGATGGCGGCAGCATTGAATTTGCAACTCAAATGTGTGAAAGCCGTACAGGTGACTAAGGTAACTTACTTTACCTTGTAGAACAGTAGACCATTTATACCGGACCACCCACCCGACCTCAAACTAAATACCACAACCCTCGGAAAGTGGAAAGGTGATGGAGGTCTTGGTTCGGTGCTCTGCGCCGTTCACTCTGCGGTAGGCGGTGAAATTCGTGTGTAAGATGCCCGGCATCGAACTGTGGGCATCGCTCGGAAATGAAATTGGAATCGTGCACACGTCCGTGAGCGGAGGGTGAATGAAGGTGAGATTGAACTAGACATAGGTGTGACTGTCGCCCTCATGAGTAGGACGTTAGAGCCTAGGGCACTTTGGTGGACTGCGAAGCCCAACGCAGCTTGAGTCCATTGATGTTCAAAGACCATTTCGAACTCGACCTCTGATTGACAGTTCCGCCCAGCTCAACGGGTCTGGAGTGCGTATAGTGAAGTTGTACTGTATGTTGGCACTTGGTTTTTGAAACTTTTTTTGGTTTGATTCCTGAGGTGGTAAAGTAAATCTCATCGTCCATAAGGTTACATCTGCCCCTCAGGAGCGTTTGTTGTACAAGCACCTTATCTGTCGTGTGTGGGAGGCAAAGTGCCTGGTGAGATCTCAAGGGATTTCAATCCCTCCGTATGGTGAGCGGCTTAGCTGAGGGGCTAAGGTACCCCCGCCGTTTCCAGCACAGCCTGGCGCATGGGATGGGATCCTTGGGAACGGTACGGAGGTAAGGCATGTACTGTACAGACAGTAGTGTACTGTTACGGATACCTAGGCTCTCTAGGTTCCAAGTTGCTAGGTAGACCAGCCGCCGGCGCCAACGAAGAGCCAACAGACCGAGTTCCCTCACTTCCATGAGGGAGGTCATGAACAAGAGCCCATAAATAAGTGCGAAAGTGCGACGCCAGCAATTTTTGGGATCGCCATCGCGAATCCTCATTGCTTCACCTCTCTCGTTACTATATCAGACCTTCCCACTCAATCGGCGCGGTAGGTAACTATACATACCTTGAGATTACTCCGTACCCCTCGTTCAGCCCAACTGCTGCCAAGGCGTCCCTTCTCCTTCACAGCCATACCTTAATTACTTGCCAACGCCTTGGGCTTGTCCGTTCACTGCAAAGGTTCAGGTAACGGACTCGGGTTGTCAGCTCCTCAGCCGCTTTCTCGAATATCGCACCGCCGCCCGCTCTGCCCTCCGAACCTTTTTTTCTGCACTTTGCAACACAGCCTAGTGACGCTTTCCCGTGTCAGCGCGACAGATCCGAGTCAAACCATCGAATAGTCCGTACTTCTTCTACCTTGCCGCCCCATTCGCTGCATCGTGGTTTCCGCCCCGAGTCTCTTTCTCCTGCAAAGCTCGGCACAATGAGCTGTAAGTCAACTTCTCTCCGCAGAGCGCTCTCGAGCTTTGGTCTGTTTTACTTTCAACCTCCCCATCAAGACTCTCGCTGTCGAGACCCCACCCAACAGCCAGCTCAATGCCTTCTCGTATGCGGAAGCTGACAGCAGTATGTCAAACAGTCTCGTCCATGTTCAACCGCCTACATGGGCAACCCGAGAGCTACGAGAAGAAGTGTGTATCTGTACCGCCATCTTTCCCTTTGGTACAACGTGGTACTGACCAGCCCGGCTCCAGGGCCAAGTACCGCTTCGGGCGCACGTTGGGCGCAGGCACCTATGGCATTGTTAGAGAGGCAGACGGCCCAACGGGCCGGGTTGCTATCAAAATCATTCTGAAGAAGAATGTCCGAGGCAACGAACGTATGGTCCTCGACGAGTTGGCGATGCTCCAGAGCCTCCACCACCCGCACATCGTCAAGTTTGTCGATTGGTTTGAATCCAAAGTGCGTCATCTGCTCCTCTTCTCGGCAGCTCCTATACATGCAGTCAAGCTGATAGAGCCCTCGCCTTGTTCTAGGACAAGTACTACATCGTCACAGAGCTCGCGACCGGAGGGGAGCTGTTCGACAGGATCTGCCAGCAGGGCAAATTTACGGAGAAGGACGCGTCTCAAACCATCAAGCAGGTTCTGGACGCTGTCAATTATCTGCACAAGAACAATGTTGTCCATCGTGGTAAGTGCTCTCGTGGTTGCTCTGTGTCGGGATCGTATCTGAGTATAAGACAGACCTCAAACCCGAGAATCTCCTCTACCTCACCAAGGACCCCAATTCGGATTTGGTCCTGGCCGATTTTGGTATTGCGAAGATGCTCGGAACAAAGGACGAGGTGCTCACCACCATGGCTGGGTCGTTCGGCTATGCGGCGCCCGAGGTGATGCTGAAGCAGGGGCATGGCAAACCTGTCGACATGTGGTCTCTGGGCATCATCACTTACACCCTACTCTGTGGCTACTCGCCGTTCCGCTCGGAGAACCTCCAGGATCTCATCGATGAGTGCACTGCTTGCCATGTCGTATTCCACGAGCGATATTGGAAGGATGTTAGCGATGATGCCAAGGATTTTATCTTGAAACTGCTAAAGTCCAAGCCTGAAGAACGCTGGACGAGCGAGGTGAGAGCGCTTATTTTCGAGCTGACGTATTCGCCACAATAGCTGACCGCGGATTTCACACCCTTATCAGGAAGCCCTTGCCCACCCTTGGCTGAGCGGCAAGAACGCGACAGACCACAACCTGCTGCCCGAGATCCGCGCCTACCTCACGCGCGCGCGCTTGCGGCGTGGTATTGAGATGGTCAAGCTCGCCAACCGCATCGAAGCGCTAAAGATGCAGGAGGAAGACCCTGAAAACTCGGACTTGCCCAAGGACGCGACACTGGCAGCTGACCAAGCGCGTCATTTCCACAATGATAGTGACCCGGTGAATGTTGAGAGCAGCAGTGGCGCCGAGGGTGGCAAGCGCAAGCTGTCCAAGACGATCAAGGGCGCCATCTTCCGGGAGGTGGTTCTGGCCAAGGTGCGCGAGATGAAGCAGCAGGAGGAAACACTCAAGGTGACGGAGGAGGCAACGAAGACCGCTTGATGTGCTCGAAAAAGAAGCTGGTTTGAATAGATGATACCACTGGCGGGCCAGGATTACCACAGGCTGGCTGCAGAGGCCTGGCCGGTCATGTCGGATGTGCTAACCGGAGGGAAGGGAGAGCATCCCACCATTACCGGATTGATGAGTTGAATACCCGAATAGCTGGCAACTGTTGCTCTTGCGAGTCACGGCCTGATGGATAGTTGTTTTCGAGCCATTTCTGTATCTTTTTGGTTTACTGCTCCCATCTTCCTTGGATCTCCCAACCGCCGGGGTTGCCCAGGGTGAACGGTTTGATCCACACAAGGTACCCCATGCAGATTGGTTGTCATCATGCTGGAACCCGTAAGCCAAGGCAAGGGGTGAGGCTTGATTTGAGCCCTGGCATCGGCTTTCATGGTGGCACAGATCCTCTCACCGAGCTGGGATCTGAGTAGGCGTCCGGCTTTGGATTGGACTTCAAGAACTTTGGGTAGCACTCCTAGCCTTTGCTGGAGCGATAATGGGTCGTGTAGCTCCAAGCTTCTACAGCCGACAGGCGAATGCCTTGCTTAACAGTCATGGGAGAGTGGTGTAATAAGCGATATATGTATAATGGTCAGCCCGTACAACGATAGCACTACCGGTACACCCGATCATACACAGAATGCAAGATTAGCCGGCAGTAATGTACATTGCTTTGAGCCTTCTAACAATATCCACATGCCAGGCCAGCCCTGACGCCCAACCTTCCCTTATATAGCACCAAGCCCATGCATCTACCTAAGGTAGCTAGATTAGAGTGATCATGCTTGGGTGGATTGACACACCATCCAGCATGAGAATACCCAGATTCCGAGACCAACTCCGCTCGTTGCCCGGCCTCTCCGGTGAGCAGTACCGTCTCATGCTTCTCCTGATATAGTCGCTTTCGTTTACATGCCAGTAACAATGCTAATACATTCCCTGAACAGGAACACCAGAAATATAACCACATCCGCCTATATTACCCACCCCATAGTCCGTCCAACACTGCGCCGTGAACCATATGCTCCCAGTCATAACTCATAACTTGCGCCTTTACCATGCCCTTCTCCGTTCCTGTTCCCGTAGCCATCCTATTACCCCCCGCGCCCGTGTGTCACACACACTCAGTTCAGCTCCGCCATGGCGGCTTCGCAAAGCTCTTCATACCTCCTCGCATCGAACCTCTTCCGCTGCCACCCGCACTTCCGTAGGCGCTCGATCCTTGCCCGTCGGTCGAGGGCGCGGAGCTCTTCAGCACTACTACTACTACTACTCGCCTTGCCCGGTTGCCCGGCGAGATTGTCTCGCTGCTGCTGCTGCTGCTGGTCGGTGGGTGAGAAGGATGACGCAGAGAGGAGCTGATCAAGACTTGTCGAGTGGCGCACGAGCTGGGTCCTCAGGCCAGAGAGGTGCTCGCAGCAGCGGTCGATGGAGCGGGCGACTTGGAAGGCATGCCCGTCGTATTCGTCCGACGACGACGGGGTGGGTGGTGGACTGGTCGGTTCGCTCTCGCTAGCATCCTCTGGAATGGTCTGAAGCGGCAGCTCGATTTCCTGGAATTTTGGTGGTGGTGGTGGCATAGGCAGATCGGGAAGTGCTTGTCTTGTCGCGCCGGCCTGGAAATAGGCGTCGTCGAATCCGAGAGTGGGTGAGTCCGGTCGGATGATGGGCTCCGGCATCTGGATCGACTCGTTGTCAGGAAGGGAAAATGATACCTTCTTTACACGCTTGACTGGTGGTTGGCCTCTCGGAGAGAGATCCTCGAAGGAGAAGACCGAGGTGGTAGGCGAAGACACACGTGTGTCCGACGTCCATGCTTGGGAGCTAACGGACACGGCCGGGGAATGACAGGCGGAGCTGGATGAAGGTGTGGCGGAGTAGGGGCGGAATCTTGCGACCACGGACTTCTCGGCGGCGCTGATGAGCGAGCCGGCTCGGTCGAAATGGGTCCGCGCCTGTTTTAAGAGGCTAGTCCGGAGGGAGGAGCTAGAAGGGAGTGGCCGCGCGCATATCTCCATCGATGTTGCCGCATAGAAATGGAGATATATGAGATATACGGGGTCCACTTGGGATGAGTCCTTGACGGCACCGAGGACCTCGAGGCACCTTGAAGAGCAAGCTCGATATCTCTTGGCGAAGTACTCCTTCTTAACTTCGGCAATTATCGCCTTCCACTCTGCCTTCGTGTCAGGCAGAGTGGGGAGAGGCTCGGGCGGGTAGAGTGACAGCCGCTTGGGGGACCTCATCCTCGGTGGTTCTGTTCGAGTTGGCGAGATCATAGCTGTTGACTGGCGTCGAGAAGATAGCTGGGACGCAGTATCGGAGCTCGTGCGGGTGCTCGAGGCGAGCATGAGAGGTATTAAGCCGGCCATGGTTCCTGTCGGTTCGATGGTGATGGCAGAACCGATTATGGTGCTGAGCCCCGTCTGATGAAAGGAGGAGCTGAGCAACTTGAAAGCCTCACGCTCAGATTTGTCTCGGCCAGGCCAGGGGAGGGGTTATTAGCGGCCTGCAGGCATCCGCCCTGTTGCTCCGCAAATGAAGCGATTGAAATGATCGCCGAATACGGGAAACAAAAAGCAATTCGCTAAAATGAATCAGGGTGGGTTCGACGAGATGAAACAAGCGAGCTGGCGCCTCGACCGAGACAGGATGTCAGGGCTCGTCTTTAAATAATCCGTGTATTCGTGGTTTCTGTTTCTTCAAACGACGTGTGGCATCTTGATGGTTCTGTCGTCGGGCTCTGGGACAGAACGCTGATCTTGGTAGCTTTCGAGACAGGACCAGACGTGGAGCCGATCTTCGAGTGTTAGGATATTAGGCTATCCAGGAAAGCAATCTCTCCAAGCATCACCTATGCCACTCGTCCAAACGCCGAAGAGCTGGTAACCAGCGCAGTGACGTCCGGCAATCCAGCACCAAAACACGGTCCGAAAACTGTACCAGAACCGCGATGGTTGAGGTCCGTCAGGCGGTTGAATAGGCCCAATTGACAGCAACGAGGGGATTTCAACAGCGGCAGGACGCAGACGAAGCCAGGGAGACTCCTGGTTTATGCAAATATGGCATATATGTACTGTATTGTACAAGCAACTAAAAGTACAACAACGAGAGTGCAGGGCAGTGAGTATGTTGGTGAGAGAGTGAGAACCACGACGACGAGTGAACGAGGGGACGGGGTGAGATGCCCATGAAAAGCTGAAGAAATGTCTCGCACTACGGACAACGTGGGCGGGACCACAATCCTTTAACTGCCAGGCCGACAGGGGCCATCTCAGAGAGTCAGCACAGTTTTCTTCTAGCGCGGTGACGCCAGGGACGATTTTGGCGCTTTTTTGTGTAAAAGGAGGCGGCGGCGAAGATGGTGGAAAACAGAGTGGCATCGGAGCGCCGGCTGGTGCGCCGGTATGCAGACGCAAGAGCCTTTTCCGGGCTCGTGCCCTGCTTGATTCTGCAGGGGCTCGAGCCCAGCTCCCGGGATTGGATCCAGGAAAGGGAAAGCGCGGCCTCCTGAGGCTTGCTCATCTCCAGATGGGAAGGTGGGGGGCTTGCATCCTTCAATTCGTGCTCCACCATGAGGGAAGTGAACTGTGCGCTTCGATTGCCGGTTTGTGAGCCTTCCATCAAAACAAACAGCTGGAGAGTGTCTCTCTTTTCTTCGCAGCTGTACAAACGCCGCTATGCGTTTCGAGACGGCGCCACTAAGACGCCACACATTCTAAACTTTGAACTGCACTAGGGAGTACTAACGTTATGTCAGGCAACGTCAAGTGTGCGATCTCTTGCCTCTCACTTGGGTTGCAATGCCGCTCTGAAGATGCATCATCCTCCCTCCGCTAAACCTCCCTTCCTGCACCAGGAGTGCCCTCGTAGACAGTCCATCACCACCCTGATATAAGGGGTAGCCCGCGCACTCCCCTTACACGCAGTTTAGTAGCTTTAGGTATATATTTACAACTACGCGCCCACACTGGGAACGGCTGAAACTGCACGCAATCTTCCAATTTCACAGTCCTGTTGGCCGTTGCATGAAAGCGGCTATTCGTTGTAAGACATGACTAGAGCACGCAGTTCACCACGTAGTACTAAAGTGAAATGCCTGAACGTTGATCAATCACGGGTTATCCAGAGAGACATCACATCCCCGAATCACCCGCTCAAGTGGAGCCCGAGGGTCAAGATCCGATCTACAAAACTCAACGCGACACGGCAAACCCATAGCCTTGTGATGATGCGGGCTTCTTAGTAGTTCACATGATCTTACATGTCTACCTTCGGAAGAGATGAAACATTACACCAGCAGAACCATGACTCGTCTTCAACTGGATTCGAGTTTTCCGTTGTCAATTCCATCAGGAAGTAAACGCCGCAAACCAACCATCAAACAGAAAAGGTGCGATGCGATGCGGTCAGATTCGGACTTCACACAAACGCTGTCACTGGCTTCCCCCTTTTTCTCTCTCACCACATGTCGTTTGGTCCCATTGGGAGGAACTCTCGTAAGCTTCGTTGGCCGTTTTGCTGCATGATCGCACTGCAGGCTGCGGTTGCATCTCCCACCGCATTGACACTTGCCAAGCCCTCACAAGCGGTGACGGAGGTGGCAGACGGGTTGCAGTGCCGTAGTCAGACATCGAACCCGCGGGGCTCGAGGGTTTTGCAAGAGATGGGGTCGCTCAAAGATTCGAAAGCCCAAATGCTAGGACCTCGCCCATGCTGGAAGGGAATCTATTTCTGACAGGAGTCTATCCTTTCCATGCAACCTTGAAATATCCTTCACCCTTTTGACCTCGATGTAGTCGGTCCAGGAGCTCTGACCTCTCTGGCAACTCAGTTGACCTGCGCGTCTAGTACAGATGGCTGCGGAGGGGTTGAGTCGGCTACAGCGGCCTTGACTTCCTCACCCTTGATGCCGTCAACGACTCTCAGACCCTCAGCTTGCTGTGCGATGGAGTCCAGTTCCTTCTTCCGCGTAAGGCGTAGCTGCACCTCCTCGGTGAGATTGTCGAGGCTGATAAGTTCGCCCTCCTTCAGCGGGTGGTCTTCAGGGAGACCCATCTCCTTGAGTCTTGCCTTCCCCTGAGCGAGCTCATCCTATAACAGTTGTCAATAGGTAGATAGATGATTAAGGTACGACAGCAAAGAGGTACGTACCTCGCCTAGAATAAGAGCAAACGGCACGCCGTTCGTCTCAGCGGCCTTGAACTGGTTCTGCAACTTCGGCTTCACCTTGTACAGGAACTCGGCCTGTTTGTACATTAGCGAGAAACTCACCAAATCAGGAAATGGCTACTAGAGGGTTTGATGTTTTGACCGACCTTGATCCCCGCATCCCATAGGCGGGAGCAAATCTGACTTCTCTCCTTGAGCAGCCCTGTGAAGTCCTTGCCACCGCCAAAAGCCATGACGAATACATCCACCTCGTTTCTCCGTTCCTTCTTCTTCTGCGATGCCTGAATGATGGAGAAAATCCGGTCGATGCCGAAGCTGATGCCTACACATGGGACCTGGGTCTTCCCAGAAAACATGCCAACGAGATTGTCATATCTGTGCCAAGGTAAGTTCAAATCCAATACAAAAAGACAGCAGATGCTACCAACCTGCCGCCTGCCGCAACGGAGCCTATTGAATAGCGTCAGTGCATGGCGCATCATAGCCACATATGGAAGCTTACCTATCCCAACAGTGGGGTCGTCAGATCGGTCTTCATCAGGGTCACCAGGCTTAACCCCCTTCTTCTTAGCCGCCTTCTCGGCGGCACCGTCTGCGGCTGAGACAGCTGGCGCTGAGCCCTCCGTCACGACCTCATAGATGACTCCCGTATAATAGTCCAGACCTATGATGCCATTGTGTCAGAAATGCGGTACATCAAGGGATGAGGCGCCACGAAATACAACCCAAAATCGATGCCCAATTGCAATTCAGGTGAGCGCCTTGTACGCAGTCCAAGGGGGCAATCATACCTCTGGCTAGTGAGAGATCGAAGGAAACAGTGTGCAGAGCACCAAAATTTTCGAGATAAGTAAAGAGCAGATCCATGTCTGCGAAGCCCTGCTGCATGGACGGGTTGGCCGCCAGGGCTTCATCCTTTTGCAGCTTCTCAAGCAGGTCTCGTTGCCCTTTGAGCACCACATACTGGCCTGTAACATGGTTAGCTAACTTTCGGGTGGCCGAGGCAGTCTCGCGCACCAATCTTGTCTGCAGCTTCGGGCGCTAATCCCTTCTCGTCAACCATCTCTTTCCTGACATCGGCCCAGGGCATCTTGTCGAGCTTGTCCACGGCCGAGGAGATGGGCCGAATCAGGCTGTCGGGTACGCCGCAAACCTGGAAGATGCCGTCGAGGATCTTTCGAGAGTTGAGCTTGATTGTGTACTTTCCCTGCCATCCCAGGCTATCAAAGACCTCGTTGATGATCCTGATCTAGTCGCCTTGTTAGAAACAGCATCGAAACGAGATTAGGTGTCAAGCTGGACCATACAATTTCGGCGTCTGGGATCATTGGATCGTACACGCCCTGCTTTTGGTTAGCCTTTGCCTTCACAGCAGAATCTTGCCTAAAGCCCCGAAGGACCAGCACGTACTGCAATATCAAAACTGAATGCAGGCATGTCGTCAGTTTCCAACTGGTCTGAAAGTATTCACGGGGCAACACTGTTTTCTGGACACCACGTACTCGCATTGGTACTAGGAGATCCCGTTAGCCCCTATTGTCATCTCGCCAGCAGGAAAAGGGGCTTACCCACAAACTCTCTCATGCGGCCTTTTTTGACTGCCGGTTGATCTCTGCGATACACCTTTGCGATGTGATAGCGCTTGATTTGGGTGACGTCCTTGTTCATGGCCAAATACCGGGCTGACGATGGGTTCAGTACCATTGCAACTCAAGGGGCTGGCTTCTTGGCATACCGAAAGGAACAGTCAAGTCATATCGTAAGCTGCATAGCTCGCCGCCCTGATCTGCTAGGTCGTACTACAATAGCGTCAAGTCAGCCTCGATCCAACAGCCATTTTCTTGGGTTGGCAGGGCACGCACAATAAGTTTGCTGTCCTCTCCGTATTTGCCTTGTTTTGTCTTCCTGTCAGCGAAATTCCGGACCGTGAACGGAACGGTATGCTATGTACCCGCGAGAATCTCTAGTTGATGTTAGCGCCGAGAGCATCCACATAGCGGAAAATGGAACCGGGCATACAGACCTTTCAGCTCGAACACGGGCGTGTCAATTGTAATGCCACCATGGCGCTCTGTTCGTTCCGTCAGCCCCGCTCCCAGTAGTTGTTGTCCAGACCCTGCACATACTGAAGACTTCGGTGATGGTGTTGAAGATTTTCTCCCTGAGAACCATGTCCCCGCCGGACCCTAAGTGGTGTCAGAGAGAATTTGAGAGAGTATGCAGATTCAAGAGGGACGGACGCACAGTCTCTGGTGCCCTTGGGGGTCCTTTGAAGAGTGGTTAGCCATGCGCAATCTAATCTGAGGCATAGTAACACGAGATACCGCGTTCCCAAAGCAGACATACTTGATCTCGAACTTGGGGGCTTTGGGCGCCATGTCTGTGACGGGGACCTTCGCTTGGTATGTCACCGACGAGGTTGCAAATTGCTGTGCAAACCCGAATTTGAGAGCTGTCGAAGCCCCTGAGAAATTGGCCAATACTGTGGTCACTCGTCGTTGTGGTCTGGCAGACCGAAGGGTCACTAGCCACAGGTTCGGCATTCAAGATGTGGGTGGAAATCCGGCGCGCGGGGTGACTCAATCTTTTTGCCTTGCACATATCGACAAGTCAGGAAAACCCGTGCAACTGCTCAGTGAATGCGGGTCCAATGCAAGGCTGAACAAGGCTGAGATGGAAGACGAAGTTAGATTGGCGGGATGACAAGGGTGGGGTGACCCATGAACGGTTAAGATGGATCGCTAACTTTAACCTTACGCGCAGCCAGGGTGGGCTCTCAACCAACCCGCGAGTCGATTGGTGCCCAAGTTCCCAAACGCAACCTCCCAGTTTCCTGGTCTGGATGGGCTTCTGCCATCCATTGTCTTCCATAGAGAACTATCTACTTTATAGCTCTAGAGAGAGGACCTTGATCTTTACGGGATGTGAGGGCATTCATGAACAGGCCATAAGTAGATTATAAGTACTAGCAGCTATGCGCAGAGCCCTGGGTTGACTTGCTTCCCTGCCACCGTGGTCTTCGACCTACTGTATTGTATGTACGGAGTACAAAACACGCTTGTTACCTTACTGCTACCTGTACTGTAGGTATGCACATCTTTGTACGTCGAGTTTGTTTGTTTACGCCAATTAGCGGCTGGCGATTGGAAACAGATGATAGAACAACCGTTCAATCCGGACGGAGTGCATTCGTATGTATTGTACGCGTACTAGTTCCATGTCATTTCCGGAACGTTACACGATGCCGACAACCCCATGTTCATTTATACCTCCCGAACGCAGAATGGAGATGGCCCCATACGCGTATTCCTCGTATTGCTACTTCATAAGGACCATAGTATCTTTCACATAGGATGTAAGATAGACCCACCACGAAACCTTCTTGTAACATACCCCGACAAACGTGTGCTCACTGTCTTTGGACTTCGGAGTCCACTTGTCCATTGCATCCAAGCAACGAACACCATCTCTGAGGTGGAAATGCCGACAGATATCCAGTTTCCTCGTCTCTCCTATATACATACACTTTGTTCGATGACAACCTCCGGCAGAAATGTGGTCGTTCGGCAGTGACCAGTGCTCGCCGATGACTCATATGATTACGCTGTATGTCCTATGTAAATGCATGCATGAGCATAATGTTGATCAGATTCTGCAGCGCAGGGCTGAATCTAGGTACCTGGGTGTGAATCCAGAGAATTACTCGGTAATGCAGAGCTGGGTGCCTAGTGGCGGGTATTTCTGATCCCCGCGTGGTGTCTTGGACTGACCCGCATTCCCCGTCTCCCATGTCCATTCGCCGGCTTGTCGATGTGAATTCTGGTCCTTGAGACCGCGAGGCTAAAACTTCCAGGCCTCTTCGTTTGCACAAGACAACCTCGCACCCCATATTCCATGGCATACGCTTTTATGAGAGCGGTGTTGGCGGGGGCTGAGTCATTGGTTTGGACTTGCTTGGCTGAGTTGGCTCCTTAGTAAACTTGGGTTAGGTTGGCGATGAAATTAAACTCACTTCGTAACAACGTTGGAATCTAAAAAGTTCCACCGCGGTATGCGACCCTGTCAACACCCCCCGGCCTGCCCAATCTGACAGGCTGCACTAGGAAATTCACACTTGGCAAAAGGCCAGACCACCACCATGACCCAGATGCAAGCCAAGAAGTGTCCTTCGTTTTCGAACTTCTTACTGTCCAGGACTGAGACTATCTCGGGCTTCGGGCTTTTTCCGTGTCCGTCCAATCACAGCCGTATAGGGCGGGCTACAGGCAACCGCTTCCACGCCTTTCTCCCTTCCCGTCTCGTGTCTCGTCTGGCTACGAATGCCTACTTAACCTGCCTTGACCAGTGTCGATTTCGGACCGGGATTCAAATGGGAACCATCTAGAGCTCCACCTCGTCTCGCCCCGAGCCAACATCCGGGACACGCACCCGGAGCTATCACGATGACGAACGGCAGTGATGAGACCAATGGAAAGCCGGTTGATACGCCGGCGACGACGACTCAAGATGCCGCGGGCAAACCACCAGCCCAAGCCCAAGCCAATGCGCGTCCCGAGAGGGAGGCAAAGCCTGGCGACTACTTCCGCGTCTTCACCTACGCCACGAAATGGGACTTTGTCCTGATGGCGCTCGCCTGCGTCGCCAGTCTGGGCGCCGGCACCACATTGCCCTTGATGAACGTCATCTTCGGCCGTCTGGTGGGTGATTTCAACAACTACTTCACGCCCAGTGCGCAGACAAGAGACGAATTCATGGAGTCCGTCAACCGCATGTCGCTCTACTTGTTTGCCCTCTTCATCGCTCGCTTCGGCCTCAACTACATTAACAAGTTCTGCTTCCGCCTCATCGGCATCCGCATGTCGGCCGCCATCAGGCTGCACTACCTTAGGTCGCTCTTCGCCCAGACCGTCCATGTGCTCGACTCGATGCCCTCGGGGTCCGCTGCCAGCACCATCACGTCGACTTCCAACACGCTGCAGCTCGGCATCTCCGAGAAGCTGGGTACCATGCTTGAGTTCTTGTCCACCATCGTTACCGCAATCATCATTGCCTTTACCTACAGCTGGTCCCTGACCCTCGTGACCGCGTCCGTCATTCTCTTCATCTCTCTTAGCATCTCTTGCCTGCTACCCTTCATCGTCAAGGGGAATTCAAGGATGACCAAGGCCGACGCCAAGGGTACCTCGGTTGCCACCGAAGCGTTTGGCGCTATCCGCATGATCACGTCGTGCGGCGCCGAGTCCCGTATGAGCCAGCGATACGCCGAGTGGACAAGAAAGGCCAAGCAGGCCGCCCAGTTCAGTGCACCCTTTCTCGCGACCCAGTTCGGTCTCATCTTCTTCGGCCTCTACGGCGCATTCGCTCTGGCCTTCTGGTTTGGCATGAGGTCGCACGTCGAGGGGAGGGTTGACGGCATCGGCACCATCATCATCGTCCTAATGTCCGTCATGCTCATGGTTATCTCACTCGAGCGCATATCGACCCCTCTCATCGCCATTTCCAAGGCCATGGTGGCCGCCGCCGAGTTCTTCGCCGTTATCGACGCCCCTAAGCCCAAGATGGGCACGTTACGAGAGCCAGACGTCTCGGCCGATCAGGATATCGTCTTCGAGGACGTCCACTTCGCCTACCCCAGTCGTCCGTCCAAAAAGGTCCTGGACGGCTTGAGTCTTCGGATCCGCGCAAATATGAATACGGCAATCGTGGGTCCCAGCGGGTCCGGCAAGAGCACCATCGTGGGGCTGATTGAAGGTTGGTACACGCTGCACGAGCAGTACGTGATTGCAAAGGCTGTCGAGAAGGACAAGAAGAAAAAGGAGAAGGAGAAGGAGAAAAAGAAGGAGAAGAAAAGTAAAAAAGGAAAGAAAGACGATGACGACGCCGATGAGGATGAGGACGCTGTACTCCCCGCTGATCCCGAGGACGTCGGTCCCCCAGTCGAGCTGAAAGGCAGCATCTCGACATGCGGAAAACAGCTTGAAGAACTCGACATCAAGTGGTGGAGGTCTCAGATCGGCCTGGTGCAGCAGGAGCCCTTCCTCTTCAACGACACCATCTTCAATAACGTCGCGGCGGGTCTGATCGGAACCCAGTGGGAGAATGAGCCAGACGAGGTCAAGCGGGAACTCGTCAAGGAGGCTTGTGCTGAAAGTTTTGCGGACGAATTCATCGATCGGCTGCCGGACGGATACGATACCAAAGTGGGCGACTCGGGTGCCAAGCTGAGCGGCGGGCAGCGGCAGCGCATCGCTATTGCGCGGAGCATCATCAAGAAGCCCAAGATTCTCATTCTCGACGAGGCCACTTCCGCCATTGATGTCCGCGGTGAGCGAATCGTGCAGGCGGCGCTTGAGAGAGCCTCGATAGGCCGGACCACCATCACCATCGCCCACCGACTCTCTACCATCAAGAATGCCGACCGCATCTGCGTCCTGAAGAACGGACGGGTTGTTGAGGAGGGGACACATGACAGCCTTTTGGCGAACGACGAAGGTGTGTATTACGGCCTGGTCCACGCGCAGAAGCTGTCCTTGGGCGAGGACACGGGCGATGAACTACTACACGAGGAAGACATTGGTGCTGTGCTTGCGCGCGAGAAGAGTGCCGCCCAATCGGCGGGCGAGAGCGCCAAGCAGGACGCTAAATGGAAAGACAAGAACATCTTCAACGGCTTCGGAAAGCTGCTGTACGAGCAGCGGGGCCGCTTCCCCTTGTACATAATTGCCCTCATCGGCGCCATGGGCGCAGCGGCCTCGGTGCCCATTCAGGCATGGCTCTTCGCCCAGGTTGTCGAAGTTTTCCAAGAGCAGGACCCTGCCGCACTCCTCGACGGCGCCACCTTCTGGTCAAAGATGTGGGCCATTCTCGCCGCGGGAGTTGGGCTGAGCTACGCCGCCACCAGTCTGGCGTCCACCACGATAGAGAACTTCATCGTCGCTGTTTACAAGCAGCAGTACTTCGAGTCCATCTTGTTTCAGCCCACGTCTTACTTTGACGAGGACGAGAACTCGACAGGGCAGTTGACGGCGCGGCTCTCCAGCGACCCTCAGGCGCTCAAAGAGCTGCTGGGTATCAACATCATGATGATGCTCATCGGCATGTTCTCTCTGATCGGTGCGCTGATCATTTCGTTCACATACGGGTGGAAGCTGGCACTGGTGGCCTTGTGTGTGACAGTTCCGCTCGGTATCGTGGCTGGCTATTTCCGGGTCCGGTACGAGCTGCAGTTTAATGCCATGAACGAGGCTGTCTTCCAGGAAAGCTCCAAGTTTGGTGCTGAGTCTATCAGCGCCTTCCGTACCGTCAGCGCTCTCGTCATGGAAGACAGCATCTGCGACCGATACCAGCGGCTGCTACACGGGCACGTCATGAAGGCTTACAAGAAGGCCCGCTTGACGACAATCATCTTTGCTTTCGCCGACAGCGTCAGTATGGCTTGCCAGGCGCTCATCTTTTGGTACGGCGGCACGCTGCTGGCGGACAGGGAGTATGATGTCGTTGCTTTCCTCGTGACGTACATGGCTGTGATCCAAGGCGCCGAGTCTGCCGGTCAGTGGCTTAGTTTCGGTCCCAACGTGGCGCAAGCCTCCGCGGCCGCTAACCGCATCCTCCGCTCCCGCGACACGCGCACCAAAGACGCCGTTTCCACCTCGGAGCAGATCCCAGACACGGACGGAGGCATTAAGATCGAGCTGAAGGACATTCACTTCAAGTACCCGACCCGTGACGTCTCCATCTTCAAAGGGCTCAACATCACGATCGAAAAGGGCCAGTTCGCCGCGCTTGTGGGCGCCTCCGGATCAGGCAAGACGTCCATCATCAGCTTGCTCGAACGCTTCTACGAGATCCCCAAGGGACAGATCCTCTTCAACGGCAAGGACATCTCCAGCATCAACGTCTACGAGTACCGCAAGCTCCTGTCACTGGTGGCGCAAGAACCGTCGCTGTTCCATGGCACCATTCGCGAGAACATCCTGCTGGGTGTCGACCCGGCGCAGGTCACGGACGAGCAGCTGCACCAGTGCTGCAGGGATGCTAACATCCACGACTTCATCGTCTCGCTGCCCGACGGGTACAATACAAACATTGGCAGCCGCGGCGTGAGTCTGAGCGGTGGGCAGAAGCAGCGGTTGTCGATTGCCCGGGCGCTCATTCGAAATCCGCGCGTGTTGCTGCTGGACGAGGCTACCAGTTCCCTGGACTCGGGTGAGTTGACCTGAACAATTGTGTTTTCGGTCTTTGCTAATAATACTTACCCCTGGAATAGAAAGCGAGAAGCTTGTCCAGGCTGCGTTCGAAAGAGCATCCAAGGGCCGGACCACGGTCGCGGTGGCACACCGTCTTGCCACGATCCAGGGGGCGGACATCATCTACGTCCTTGGGGAGGGCAAGGTGCTTGAGAAGGGCACACATTCTGAGTTGTTGAAGAAGAAGGGCGTATACTGGCATATGGTGCGTAGGGATCCGAATCGGAGAAATGACTTTTGGCTGACATGAACAACAGTGCCATAACCAAGCGCTCGATAGGTAGCAGCATTTACTGCGCCCGCCCCTCTCCCCTCCTTCTCTTTCATTCTTGTTCCATATTATATGTCCCTTTTTATTGTCCCGGGCCTGGGAATGGCGACTCTGCTCGTTTCCTGCTCCAAATGTTGGATCTTAGGGAACCAGGGTAAGTATCAAGCTGGCGAAATCGATTGGAAAAGAGTATTGGATACCATTGGATACCACATTTGACGTTCAACCGCAGAATCATTTTCATTTTAGGGTATACTACTCCCTTGTATCAACAGGATACTCCACTCTGTTACATTACATCATACACGAATAAAGAGGAAAGAGATGCTAGAGAGCAGAGAGGCCATGCATCTTCACGTTGGCTTGCTTCTGTATCGCACCAACACTTGCATTGAGGTGAACGAAGAGAGCGATGTTTGACAGACATAGAATAGGGGTGCTATGAGTCTATGACCTCCCCAACAACTGGTGACCATAGGGATGGCGGATTTTTACTGACAACAGTAATTTACAGTAAATAACAGTGATTTTACTAAAAAAAAAGGATCATGACACTGCCAAGGCGCCAAGCCTCTTAAGGGTTAGGGTTATATATAGCAAATTCTCCCTTTTTTGAGCTGGAATTGAGGTCCCGGGAGGCCTAGAACTGGAAAAACTAGTATACTAAAAATACATACATTTTCTAGCTCTAGTAAAAAGACCTTGAATTTGAGCAAATTGGGCCTATATTCAACTAGGCTACTAGGGAGGTAGGTAGGTATAACGGCAGATGCCATCAGGAGGATTGGTTACATTATACGACTGGCTGGATTGACTGGGTGGTGAAGGACTGCAAGGTGGGCACGCATGGGTCACGTGGTCACATAACCCCACTTCCACAATGCCCTACTTCCTACACCCTATTGTGACGAATCTCGGTCCCCTACCACTGAAAGGGACTCCTCAGACTGAAGGTCGACTTAGACAGGGTGAGGTTCGGTAGAGCCAAAGGGTCTACAACAAGTGCACAAGCAAGTGTTCACACAGTAGTAAAGACAACTGCTTGCATTGCTTACTGGAGAACCTCTGGCAGGTCCTCCAAGGGAATAGCTAGCTATCTAATATACTAATGATTGTCTTTGAGAATCACTCCTTGCTCCTAGTGATCTCTGTGCTGACTCACCTGGCTCACTTCGTGATCCCAGTGATCCTTATGTTAGCTCACTCTCCTTCCCTAGTGATCTATTCTGATTAGTTAATTGAGCGATTGGCTGCCGCGGCTCCCCGCGCTGCGGCTGTGACCATGCCTGGCCGCCAGTAAGGTCTGTTCGTAACACCTATACAGAGCTAGTATAACCTTTCTCTTTGGCAATTGATAAGGGCGCACTAGTACTTTATTAACAGCGCACTAGTACTTTATTAACAGCGCACTAGTACCCTATAAGGGTTAGGGTTATCGCTAGCATCTGCCCATCTTCCTACGCTGACCTTGCGAACCCATCTTACTACAGTTCAATTCAAAGTACTAGAACTCATTGCAAATGGCTCAAATCGCTAAATTCGTTAAATCCACTACTTTACTAAAGGTTACTCAATTTACAACAGTTAGCCCAACCTCCTTAGTCATCCACCTACCCTCCCTACCTTACATCCTCCCTACCTTACACCCTCCCTACCTTACATCCTCCCTATCTTACATTCTCCCTACCTTACATCCTCCCTACCTTTGTTGCACCACGTTGCTCTAGGACGCCCCTTAGCGCCAGTAGCCCTCTTCCTCTTCCTCCACTTCACCTGTACCTACGTCTATAACCGCTACTATTAAGCGGATAGTATCTAAAGCTAACCAGCAGCAGGCCCACCAGGAGGAGTCACGTTACCCTCGGCGATACATCTCTAAACGTATCCATGCCCAGAACTGGACTATAGCGGACCGTCGTTCGTAATCCAGCCGTATAAGTCTTCACAACAGTCGGCCAGCTAGTCGGCGAGCTCCCATTGGGAGAGGTGACAGCAAATACTCGATTGCAGCCGCGGGGCGTACCTCGCGGCGCGGGCAGTACGGGAGCTTGCGGCAGTAGGGGAGCCTGATGTATCTGTATGCGCGTCGCTAGCGTTGCTGGCGTAGCTCACGGTCCCCCACGACGAACGGATCGATTACTTAAACAGGTCTGGGAATCCTTCGTCACACTTGTACTAATAGGAGTGATTGATTTCCCAAGATTCGAGGCATATTGGCGATGGAAAAGGCGGTCGGATTCAAGGCAGTCGGATTCGAGGTGGTCGGATTCGAGGCGGTCGGATTCGAGGCGGTCGGATTCGAGGCGGTCGGATTCGAGGCGGTCGGGTTGAACGCAGTCAAATTGAACGCAGTCAAAATTGAACGCAGTCAAAATTGAACGCAGTCAAAATTGAACGCAGTCAAAATTGAACGCAGTCAAATTGAACGTAGTCAAATTGAACGCAATTGAATTGAAGTGGAAGAAATCGCTGTAATTGCGTTTCCTAAGCTTACTTTGCATTGAATTGAAAGGCAGTAAGATGGGTTGTCATGGTGGGCGCAGGAAGATAGGGGCGGATGCCAGCGATAACCCAAAAAGAAGTACTATTAAAAGTTAAAAAAAAAGACGTTAAATATACACCTACTAGTATAATCCTCAAACTCGTTAAAGATAATATTAATTTATAGGCTTTTATAGATAAATAGATTTATAATAGTTCTCTTTAGGTGTGACGAATCTCGGTCCCCTAACCACTGAAAGGGACTGCTCAGACTGAAGGTTCTCAACAACGGGGTGAGGTTCGGTAGAGCCAAAGGGTCTACACAATGACACAAGCAAGTGTTCACACAGTAGTAAAGACAACTGCTTGCATTGCTTACTGGGGAACCTCTAGGAGGTTCCCCCCTGAGGGGGTGACTAGCTAGCTAATATACTGAAGAGTTTCCTTTTGTCCTAAGCTTGCCCTTTGTAGAGCGCTGGGAGCGTCCTTTGTCCCTTCGCTCCTAGGGAGCAATGCCAAGACCGCACGCTCTCCTTGTGATTGGCATCTGTCTTATTCTTGAATGATTGGCTGGAGCACGCCC